GTAATTTTAGCTTACTAATTTACTATTACTAGATTTAAAGTTAGATTTAAAAATCTTTTAGTTAATAAATTTATACTATAAATTAGGTAATGTAATGCTTATTAAGCTTATTTTATATATACCTAAAAAAAACTTAACTTTATACGTCTAAAAGAAAGTTTTAGCTAGTTAAAATAAAGAAAAACTTTAGGGTTTACTTCTAGCTTATATATTAATTTTACTAGATAGTAAGTATATTTACCTTTAATTACAGAAATTCTAAGCTAGGTTTTCTCTTTTAAAAACTTCTTTTTTTATATTTATAGCTCTATTACTTACTAAGATATACGCTCTTGAAATAGTAGACTTTTAAAGTAACTTTTTATTTGTGTCACCCTACTGTATATTATAGGTATATTATGTAATAAAAAAAATATTTACTATTTATATATAGTCTAGTTAGTATAGCTACTAGTTATATATAGAGAAGTACTAATATAAGCTAGAATAAAAGTGTAAAAGAAGATTATACTCTAGTCTATTAAATCTTAGTTATACTATAGGATAACCTATAGATACTTCTTTACCTTATAACCTTTACTTTAGTATTTCTTTTCTTTCTATAAATAAAATATTAATTTTAGGATATTATAGTTTATAGAGTATATAGTATTAATAGAAAAGCTTCTTAGGAAGTATATAGTAGGTAGGTTAAGGAGTATAGATTAGTAGTTAACTCCTTTATCTCTTTTTAAGTTATTAAACTCCTTATCTCTTATTACGCCTTAAGAATACTTAATCTTATTAATATAAATCTTAAAGTTATAGTTAACTTCTACTTTTAAATTTAGGCTATTTAGAAAGAAATAGTTACTTCTTTTTTTTTATATTTTAAAGAATATATATATTTAGTAACTTTATTTTAACTTCTCTAAACTCTTTATACCTATTATATTTATAATAGTAGAACTATCTCTAGTAACTAATATAATATAAGCTTTTAGCTAGAAATTTTATTTAATAGCTTTATTATATACTACTACTCTATAATATAACTTATATAGCTTAGTTATAAGAGGGGTAAACTATATATTAGTATATATCTTATTAAATCTGCCTAGTATAATATAGGTAGTAAAGGTATTAGAGGTATTATCTCTTATTCTAAAGTATAGATTTAATATATAAAGTATAACTAGTATAATACTTTAGTATTTTCTTAGGTACTTAATAATACTAATTATATCTAAGGTAAGCTGTAGTATAAGGTTACATATATCTTAGAAATATCTATTACTATAGTATTTATAGAACTAACTTTTATTAAATATATTATTTCTTAATCTATAATTAGGTATAGATAAATTAAAAGTAGCTTTATATAATAAGAGCTACTATAACCTTAATATATAACTATACTAAAGATAGAGGTATAGTAGGAAAGAGATATATTAAAATATATATCTTAGCTAACTATAATTATTATACTATATCTTACTATATAAGGGGTAAATAGATACTACTAAAAGCTTACTAATAAATACTATATACCTATCTATATAGTAGTTAATATATTAAGGTTTAATTATATTTTTAATAGTATTATCTAATACTCTATATCTAATCTAGATAAGGTTTTCTATATTAATATTATCCCATGGTCCGCTGGAATAAACCCGCGGATTTTGGCCAATAGGATTATGTAGCACAGGTCTAGAGAACATTAAAATTAAAACTCTACACTAAATAAACTCTAACGTAGGGCATAACACTAACTTGCTAATGTAATCTAACTGGCTAATAGCTGGCCTAACATCCGCAGGTTTATTCCAGCGGACTATAGGATAGTAAAAACCTAATTATTATACTTTTTACTACTAAGTATAACTTTAATAGTATTATTTTCTAGTCTAGTATATTTAGGTTAAGTAAAGGCTTTTTTATTATTAACTAGCGTAAAGTTATATTTTAAGCTACCTATAAATAGTTTACTTATAGTAATATAGCCTTAATATAGCATTTAATCTATTAGGTACTATACTAGAATATATAATTTAGTTAAGGCTTAGAAAGAGAAGGTAGTAATTATATAATAATTATAAATAAAAGTTTATTTTTACTTATTTTACTCTTTTTCTCTTATAAAGATTTCTTATATAGTAGTAATTTAAAAGTAATAAAGTATATAAATCTTTTAATATTAGTATAAATTACTTAGAATATTAGGTAAATTTAGCTAGATACAGTGTAAAAGTATAAATTTACCCTTATACGCGGTGTAATTTTACCTAACCTAGTGTATTTTACACTGACGCGGTACCTTAGTGTAGCCATGCCTCTGAATTAACCTTGCGAACGCTGTGAACGATTGTTCACAGACCCAGCCACCCTAGAGTTGATGATAGTAGCGGAATACAGATGGGTTCGTGATTTAAACGCACTTGTTTGGTCAGCCTTGAGCGGCTGCTCATTCTGCCAGTTGTTATCGCGCACCTTCGAACTCGACAAGCTAGCAAATTCAAGGAGTGCGGACCCTTTCCGCCACCAGGGGCAATTGATAGAGGCTTTTGCAGCAGGACAGATCACATTCAGAATCAGCTGGCTCAAAGGCTATGGAACAGATATGAAAGTACACCAATTTGCCTCGCTCCAGATAATTGCGGAAGAAGTCGAGGTTGAAAGAAATCTCCAACACTGGGGGCTGGGTGGAGTGTTCTTCATCCAGTCGAGGACAGAGACTTTCAAGGTGATGACTCCGGAGGGTACGTTCACTGAGCTGGCTGATAAGGTATCTTTATTGACATGTTTCACCACAGACAACGTAGCCACTGATATGACCCGAAAAGGTTTACCTTCGTTCACTCCCGATCTCGAAAACAGGATCAGTCGATCAATTGCCTGGATGGCAGAGTGCGAGAAAATGCATGAGGTGTGCAAAGGGCTCGGGAGTGGACCGTTACCCACCAGAATCCTAGACCTTGGAACCCTGGAGCACGGAACTCATCTGAAGCTTCGGGATGATCTGGCTGGAGCTCCAGGTCGTTACGCTTGTCTCAGTTATTGCTGGGGCTCGGCCCAGTCCACGATGACCTAGTCCGATACCATAGATGACTTCAAGAATGGCATCCAACTAACATCGCTGCCAAAGACAATCCGAGATGCCATACGTGTCACTCGGAAACTCAATCTGCGATATCTGTGGGTAGACGCACTCTGCATATTGCAGGATGATGAAGAGGACAAAGCTAGAGAATGCTCGAAGATGGACCAAATTTATCAACAAGCATATATCACGATCGCAGCTGCTAGAGCGGAAGACTGCCATGATGGATTCCTGGACGCAACGGAATCGATTACTGATAGTTTACCAAGGTTGCCGATTGTATACCCTAATGGACGACAAGGGTATGTTTTTATCCTTCCAAGAGAAAAAGATCTGTTTGAAGACCCGCTCATGTACTATCCTCCCGTGTGCTGATCTGGAGCAAGTACCAGCTGCTTTGGCTGTGTACCAACGGCCTTGAACATGAGCAGGATGAGATCTGTGAATTGGCTGGACCTTATTCCCAAGGGATGAATCTAGCCAGTACTCCATTCGATTGGATATCGGATCACAAGCCGGATAGACACTGGCTGGCGAAGATGCACCAATTTTTAGCAGGCAAAGCTCCAATAACCAAAGGATATTTTTGTTTCCAATTCGCGCCATCTTTCGTCCACGATGAGATGCAGGCACTATGGGAGCAAATGATGCAGGAGTACTCGAAACGGAAACTCTCAGTTATGTCAGATAAACTCTCTGCGCTTGCTGGACTTGCTTCAAGGTTCAGGGAGTTTATCCAAGACGATTATCTCGCCGGACATTGGAGAAGATGGTTACTGCCTCACCTACTCTGGAGGTGTGTCGATGAGAGGGGCGCCGTAAGATTGCCATGCTGTCCATCGTGGTCGTGGCTCTCGGTGGACGGACCCATTTGCGTCGAGAATCAAGATTCGTCTGATATAAGGATTTTCTATCCTCAGCCGGTTGCAAAAATTATCAGTTGTAAAACAACTCTCCGCTTCGATACCGCTCCATACGACCAAGTTACTTCCGGTACGTTAATCATCCGTGGGTGTCTTCACGCCGTGGCGCTCGACCTCGACTTCCAAGAATTTTGTTACGACCATCCAAATGATCGGCGAGCACCAGAGCGAAAGATGCGGAAAATCACATTGGATGACCCGATCGCATTCTGGGGCTTGGAGGGCACAGACTATCGCAGTCTTTCATCTGACATGACTTCTCTAACCACGGTATGGTGTTTACCACTTTATATCGTTCCCGAAGGACGGAGAAGTCACCCATCGATGGTGCGGGGAATTACTCTTGCTAAAAGCAGCAAAACACATTACAAACGCGTCGGCTGGTTCTACGGAGATGCAAGTTGGTTTTATACAGAGGGGTCAAAAGATTTACGGGAGAAAGATATCTCTATTATTTGAGCGTGATTGCCAGTTCTGTCTTCTTGCTAGCGGTAGAGAATGCAAGACATATCCAAGAGCGAGTCTACAGATTATCGGTGCGTATAAGTCTAGACTTGGGCTTTTGCGTGCGCTTTCTGATATCCTCGCCTTATACATATAAAGCTTGCACACTTGCTCGTCGGTTTACATGATCCGTCTGTGGAGTGTGTCCACACAAAGCCCCCTCTTCTCTCTATCTGATTTCCCATCCTCGTCTTTCTCATGGCATTACATCCTAACAACTGCATAACCATGCTCTTAATCACTCGACCTATAGGGTCTTTTGGCTCACAACGCTTTGCTTTCCACCCTGCCGACACATTATCAAAAAGTAACGAGGAGGCCGAAGCTATCTACGGCTGATAGATAGTCAACAACCTCAGAGTATTGCGTACGGCGAGGGAAAATATGGATTGATCATGATCATACTGCTCTCCCCATCTTCAATCGTGTATAATAAGCCTTGATCAGACGTATTTCGCTTACTACAGTGGTGCACATGGCGGCGTCTAGACGAGCTAGGTGGAACATACCCTTTCTACGAAGCGACTGACTGTGTTTTTACATCTGTTGATCTACAGTAAAACAGTGGCAGACAGAAGAGAATACAGACAAGAAAGCGAGTAGCACCACAAACAGTGAACAGAATCATTCTTGAAGTCGTGATGTGACGCGCACTGCTATCGAGGAGAAGAAGACAAGGTGATCCGCAAGCAAAGATTGTACTATACAGTGCTAATGTATACATCCAATATCCTACCCGGTTATCTATCTATCGAGCCTTGATGATATCCGCAGCCTTCTCCGCAACAGCATACATCGTCGCCTGGAGATGCGCCGCGGGAATCATCGGCAAAATGCTCGCATCCACAATCCTCAGATTCTGCACCCCATACACTCTCAACGTCGGATCCACACACCCGCCCAGCTCCTCCGGCATAAGCGCACACGCTCCACTCGAGTGCGCATACGTCGGATCCAGCACGCCGGCGGTGATACTGGCGTCGAAGATCTCCTCATCAGTCTGATATTGGGCGCCGGGCACGGTTTCAACGGGACTGAAGCGCTGCAGAAGGGGCTGCTGCGTCCAGTGCCTGCGGTTCCAGCGGACGAGTTCGCCGAGCACCATCTTGTCGACCGGGTTTTGGAAGGCGTTACGGACGACGATGGGGTTTGCGGAGGGGTGCGTGGCGTTGAGCACCAGCGTGCCGCGGGAGAGCGGCTTTTGGACTGCGGTTGTTGCGCGGCCCCAGGGCTGGATGGGGTATTCACCTGTTGCTGCGTTGTCGGAGAGGTAGTGCTCGATCAAGATGGTGCGCTGGGCGAGGAAGCCTTTGAGGAGGGCTTTGTTGTTGGCGTACCGCGTAGGGAGGTAGGCGAGTGGATTTTGTGCTGAGATCTGGGCGGTGATGTTTGCGTAGTTGGTGGAGAATTGCTTGAATGGGAGGAAGGCGGCGGCGTTTCCGCGGCCGAAGGTCCAGGGGCCGGTGCGGTTTGCTGCGTAGAGTAAGGCGGCGGTGGCGTTGAAGGATTGGTCTACTGCGGTGCCGACGAGCATGTCTGGGTTCGGGATCGATTGGTTGGAGAGATTGTATCTCATGTATAGGGCTTGGTCTGAATGTAAGAGTCAGTGGGGTTGCACAAGCAGAGATACGGCGATGTTTGCCGGAAATCTAGGTCATGCGTGACATATACAAGGGGCTTTCAAGCATGTTTACTGCTTATGAGTCGGGGGCGAGTACTCGTCTGAAGCTAACCGCAGGACTTCAATGAGACAGCACCGAGAGGCTCGCCGTGCTCCACTGACAAATTTTGAGGGGATATTGCACAAATTGGGTGTCACTCACGGTCTTGGAAGTTAGATCCCACAGCTGGGAGATTCTTTTTGACAGAGATCTTCGCTGCGGCAAGGACGTCCTTGGGTCCAATACCAGAGAGCATGAGGAGATGGGGAGTGAATACTCCGCCAGCGGCAAGGATGACTTCTTTGGCCGCGTAGACGGAGCCCGTGTTGGAGTCAGTGTTAGAGGTCATCTTGACACCGCTTGCGCCCAACCTCCTGCCACCGGTGAAGATGATCTCGTCAACGTGCGTGTTGGTTAGGAGATGTAGGTTAGAGCGTTGTTGCACTGGATCGTAATACGCAACACGAGCATGGCAACGTTCTTTGGTCGAGTTGTCGATTGTGTTCGGGGTCCAAAATGTGCCTAGTGGTCTTGCGAATCCTTCCTGCGAATGTGAAATATTCTCGGCAAGGAACGATCCCATGATGTCCTTGTAATCTTCGTACTGATAACTCGGGATGGAAACCTTCAACGGGCCATCTCCATACGCTCGCGCATCGTACGTGATGTTAAGTCGTTTGCGAGTCGCCTCCGATGGGCCATCAAAGTGGGTGGACTTTTTGAAGTACTTTGCGAGACCTTTGAAGCCCCACCCAGGGCTTCCTAGCTGCTCCCATGCGTCGTAGTCAGCGTCGGAACCGCGATCGAACTGCATGCCGTTGATGACAGAACCTCCGCCCACGACGTTTCCTACATGTACACTCCATGTCTTGTTATGCATGAATGGTTCCGGAGCAGAAGTGATAGGATAGTAGTTGTCCACATTTATGTTGGCATAGTAGGGGACCTTGGTGGAAGGTCTGTTGTCGATCACACCATTCTCGATGATCAGGACAGAAACTTGGAAAAAGTTAGCAACTACTATGTAGATTTGTATGTTCAAAAAGCTTTTCAGTATTTTGTGTTGAAGCTCGATGATGTGTCTACAATTTATGAAATTCGCTTGATGAGATGAAAAGAGAGGGTGGAGCTCAACAAGACATACCGTTCCTATCCTCAGTCAGACGATTAGCAACAACCAGACCGCTAAGTCCTCCTCCTACAATAATGTAGTCATAGGTCTTCCCTTTAGTGGATGAAAACAGAGTGTCATTGGCCGCAGACACAGAAGAAGAGAGCACGCCCAGGGCCCCAAGGAGCGACAGTACCTTCAAAGAAAACGACATTCTGAAGGAACCTCAAAAGTGTCCAGACTGAGCCGTATTGTATGGTGAAGTAGCGATTGTAGTTATATCCTTGTCTGAAATTGGCAACATCGTTGCGGTATCCGTAAACTTACCTCAGGGGGAGTAGGCGTTTGGGAGACGCGAATTAAATGAATCGCAAAAAGAGGGGAATTACCAAATGTGGCTAGCATCACATATCATCCTAGTACTCAGTGCGTATCAGTCTTTGTGATGGATCCTGCCGAGTTGACAATTCAGTAGCTAGGATATGTTCTGGCTGCTCGTGATTGGGGGTGTCGAAAAGATGATCCTTCATTGATTGACTACCTAGGACAGCAGTAGAGTGTCCGATATACCTACCTACTGCTTAATTAGCTATCTACGCCTCACTTGTATTCGACATGTGGTACTTCTGAGGATTACTCCTCAGCAGTCATCTTGGCCACGCAGTGATGACAAGGGGTCTCAGAAAAACAGTCGAGCTTTTTTTGCGCCTTCATCTTACCTGTTTAATTGAACCATGCTGCGATGTTGATCCTGAATCCTTCGTGATGTTCGAACAAGCATGTTAGATCCTGCCAAGACGCGGCTAGTCTCGATGTCCATGTTGTGCCGAAGCCGCAGTTCGTCGTTCACAGCACAAACCCTGCTCAGGAAGATGTTCCTTGATCTCAGCCGAACTAGCCCCAATCTTATCACCATTGTATAGCAGACACCAATCACTTCTCAACATGATCCATGAGTTGGAGCCTTGGCAAATGTGAATGAATCCTCTGCCTCGGCGACATGAGTCTTCATGTTACACGCATCAGCGCGGCTTAGGAGACTGTACACGGTCGAGCGGATATATTGGCAGCCCTGTTTTACCAAAACTCGCACGGGTCTCCATCGAATTCATCTACGCACGGAGATGTCTACTCTCGTCTGCCATTTTTAACCTACGTCACGGAACCTTGCCAATGCCGAATGTAGCTCTAATGTATGTGCGCCGTCAGCCTTCTCCAGACTTACGTCGCAAGTTACGTACTACACTACACTACAGTTGATAATTCTCCGAACGTTCAGACCTATTTCGGCAAATCTCACGCCTCTGAATCCTGCGGATATAATCAGTTTCGCTCCAGCCAATAGGACATGCATATAGAGAATCCTGCGGTCCACTTTGATTTCCTTATACCATTTCCTGTCGTTCCACCAATCACCAATGCTGCGAATGGTTCACAATCATCAGCTCAGAGCCTTGTAAGGCAAGGGTTTCAGAATCAGCAAGCCCATGGTCAAGGGCGATCAAGTATGAGCAAAGTATACTGGGTTACCTTCTCAATGCTGGATCCCGTCAGCTTGGATAGGACGGCTCATCGTGCGATCTCTTTTGATTTTCAGACGTTTTTCCCCAGCTTGCACACCACTCAACATCTCAACATGGCTGCTGCTGACGAAAACCTCCCGAATCGGCAATGGGAACTCATCATCTCTTGCATTTTCATGCTAGCCATAAGTACTGCGTTCACTATCTGGAGGCTCGTCGTTCGATTCAGGATGTCGCAGATGTCATGGAGTGACTGGTTGATGTTGCTTGGAACGGTACGTACCTTCATCTTTGTTGCGCTTTAGGGTTATCCTTGAAGAATCATTACGAAAATATTGAACAATGTCATATCCTGGTATTTGGTTTCCAGGTGGATTTGTAGTCGTTGGTCGGAGAGCGACTCATTCTGAGGCCATTCATACTAGTTTTTGTATACTGTATCTGATAGCCGTTCTACTATCGTGGGTAGCAAGTATTTACAAGCCAAGACTGACAAGACACACAGATAATGAACGATGCTGGTATCTCGCTCGCAATCACATGTGGCTTTGCAGGCACCGGTCGACTTCTTCGCGATCCATTCTGGAATATAGAAAGAATGGTCTACAACAACCACCTCACTTTTGCTAGCCAACTACTCAATGTATACGGCATGTTCGTGGTGAAGCTTTCCATCTGCGCATACCTCCTAGCGCTGAACTTCTCCAAACGATATCGAAAAGTGATCTGGGGAACAGTAGCATTCGTGACCGTCTTCAACTTTCTGCTGCCGGTAACCCAACATTTCGGACTTTGCAGGCCGCTTGCTTCCAGATGGGATATCACCATAGTGGCGCCGATTAAGCAGTGTTGGCCGCAAATAGTTCGTATCGGGATTGCCTACACCCAGGCAATCTCGAATATTGTCACAGATCTGGTCTATGCTACTGCACCTATCGCATATCTGCAGTCCATCCAGTTGAGCAGACAGACTCAGTGGAGCGTGCGAGCTGTGTTCCTCATGTCATTGGTGTAGGTTATCTCATCCTTCCAATTACTCAAGGCTGACGACTTTCTCGCTAGCTGCACAACTATCTCCGCCCTCAAACTATGGTCATTCCAACTCTTGCAAGATCAGACAGAAACGTACTACGAATCGGTGTCATTATCAATCTGGAGCACCACCGAGGTCTCTATAGGCATCGTCGTAGCGAATCTCCCACCTCTCCGGAAGTCGTTTGACGGCATGTTCAAGCACATCCTGCCTGCAGCTATCTTCTCGGGGAAACAGTCGAGCAGCAGGTTAAAAAGCTTTAACTTGCCGACGTATGGCAGCCAGTCAGCCCGAAGAAGCAAAATCGAGGGACGCTCAGGACGCAGTGAAAGGCTACCTTCCATTGCGGACAACGCGAGTGAAAGAGCTATATTAGAAGATATCGAAAATCAGGACGGGGCGAAGAGCTCGTCTGGAATCATGAGAACAACACAACTCATGGTCAGCAATGATCCAGCGGATAAGATTCCGACTGAGAGACACTGATTTGAGTACGGTCAGCTCTGACCCATAAAGATATTACAATATAATCTGTATGGTTTCCATCTACGTCCATGATTCTGTTAGTAAAATCATAGCTTAGGCACCAAGTCTTCCAACTCTTAAATACTCTTCTCAGACTCTTCAAGTCGTAGGAAGATTACATCTACTAGCTTGGGTTCGAGCGCTAAGGAGTTCTGGACCATAGCCGTCTGTGGTAGGAATAGTTCTCGTGTCGTTTCGAATGCCACAACCGAAGGTCTACGGGCGTTGTAAGCCATCCATTCAGCAGATTCCACACGAACATGTTTGGTACTTGATGGTGATAATATGTTCGTTTGGAGGATACATGGCCTACTGCAGCAATGAGAGTTACCTGCAGGTCGGACTCAGATATAATTTAGCGACTCAACACGCGAGTGTTGAACTTCGGCGAACGCATCGTATCTACTAGAGTGTTCTATTGAAGAGACAAAGGATGTCGCGTCGAACTTGGCTACTTTGTTAGCGCTCCTCGGCCCGCGTCGCGTGACCCCACAGCGTGCCCCACCAGGGAGCTCGGACCTTCGATGCGCGTCGGGCTGTGCAGTGGCGGAAAGCGTACAACCGCCAGTCCTCGCGCCTTGTTCTTTCTCTAACATGAAGTGCTAGTCTGCAGCGTCATATATTTCGTGTCCAACTCCTCTAACCCTTCATTCAACACTCGCACAACGCCTACGAGATATAGGATTGTGTCTCGGAAGCCTGCATCATGCCTGCGCCACTGGCCAAAGGTGAGCCATCTCCACTATTGCGTTCTCCTGCTGTGTTCCCACCGATGTTTCAACGTGCCCTTGTACCTTGTCTTTGTTTGACTGTTGTTTGCCAACCTGCTCGCAGGACCTTCTCTTTCCACTGCTTCAATGTCCAACACCCATACTCCAACACGTAGACCTAACCACCCTCTCGAAACAGGCATCATAATCGCCGCGTCTGTTCTTGTCGCCGCCGGCATCGCCATTTACGAGTCCCCGCAAGTCCGACAATGGGTCGACCAGTCCCGCCGCAAGATCGCCGTCGCCCTGAACTCTCTTGGTGAGGACCCCAAGCCTCGCCGTCGTAGCGAATCGTCCGACATCTACGCTGCAAGGACGAGACGGGAGGAGCTTGTCAGGAAGAACCGTAATGATTTCATCAAAAAAGCCAGGGAGGACGGTATTGCCGTCGACCTAGACGAACTTGCCAAGATCGGGTCTGAGAACATAGAGATGGCAGAGAGGAGATCGCGATCAGACAGGACAAAGAGCTTCGACGACTTGGTTGGTAGCGATGGCATGCTCAGAGCGACTGGAAAAGACACTTCACACAGCGGACTCAAGAAGCGCGGTGCAGCTGGCTTTGCGGCCGGCTCTGCTGCTGCGGCTGCCCTGGCGAACCCCTTCTCTGACGACAACATACTTTTCGATGTCGGTGACGATGAGGACGACGAGGCACCTTCCCCGAAGCCCTTCACCTACAGCGAGAATGACACACGCGAGAGCTCTGCTACTATCAAGCCCGACTCCTCTCCCGTTGTTCCAGTCGATGAGTCTACTGCCACCATCTCAGCCAACACCGTCTCTCCCGCCACCACTTCCAACGACGCCATCTCCCTCTCTACTCCACTCATTGACCTTTCTCCCGAGACTCACCCCGAGACCCACTCTGAGACCCACTCCGAGACCGAGCAAGCAGCACCAGTCCCATACACCGAAGTAGCCGACGACGCCGACGCAGCAGCCCAATCCTTCTACTCCTTCACATCCTCCGCCTCGCACACTGAAGACCTCGCTCAAACCCAATTCTTCGATGACGAGGCGGAGCACGTCTCCACCGGCACACTAACACCCCGCTCGCAACGCTCCAACAGCAGCGCTCCCTCCTTTGTCAACGCCCACGCAGACGACATCGCAGTCCTCAGCATGCAAACCGACGCGGATCACGATGCGCGCTCGGAGGTGTTTTCCGAGGGCGGCTGGACAGACGCGGGCCTTTCCGAGGCTGACGACCGGACAGGCGTCATGACGCCGAACTCGTGGACGGACGTTGGGAGTGATGACGAAAGCGAGTGGGGTGGCCAGGTGCATCAGTAGATGTGCATTTTCTGTGCTCCTCGAACTATCTAGCGGATGAATTTGGCATCAATGGCGTTTGTGTGCGTATATAAAACCGCATTTCGGGATACTGGTGTGGCGTTTGTTTTGTACCTTGGCTTGACTTGGATAGAATGGGATAGTAACCATGAATCGTAATTGTTTCTCTAGTTGTCCTTTTTTCCTTGATGTATTGCATTTTGAACACCCTGAGTATTAACGTGTATCAACGTTCAGCGTCCTATCTCCACGTTCTACTCCACGGTTCAATGTAGAAAGTACCCCCTATTGATTCCACCCAAGATTGTTTGTAGTGGAGAAGGGTATAGTACAGCGTATTATGCAAAGTATGTCACAGACTAGACCAGACCGGACCATCAACTCGCCGAGAAAGAAAGGAACGGATATACACTTGTTCTCCTACCCCCACACACCGCCTCAATTCTCCGTTCCATCCATCTCCTCAGCCCTCTTCTTCAACCTCTCCCCACTCCACAACACCGGCCCATCCTTCCCATACAAAGGATCCCTCTCCAACCACCCCACCCTCCCCACAGCCTGCGCATTCCCCTCCTCGCCCTCCTTCCCATAACACATATCCCAGCTACACCCCTTAGGATACGCGCCCACCATCTCAAACCCGCCCTCAACATCCCTGACCAACCGATGCGCCACACCCGCAGGAACCACCACCGCATCCCCAGCCTTGACCTCGACTTCCACGCGCCCCGGGTTCGCCTCACCGCCGAAAAGAAGCTGTGCGCGCCCGCGGAAGACGCAGAGTACTTCGTGGGTCGTGCTGTGGTAGTGTGTTGTGGTGTACATTGTGTAGCGCCATTGCGGGGAGAGGGCGTTGGTGCGCAGGTGGGATTCTAGGGTTGAGGGGGAGGTGGTGGGGGGGAAGGCTGAGTGGTAGATTGTTAGGGGGTGGGCGTGGGGGGTTGTGTTGGGGAGGAGGGCGTGGGTGGGGATTTGGTGCGTTGTGAGGCGGAGGGTTGTGAGGGGGGTTAGGGAGAGGGGTGGCATGGTGGGGTTGGTCTGTGTGGTGTCTTGATGATATGGGTGTGTGGGTGTGGTGGGAGTGAATCGTGTCGTATGGCTGAGTAGACGTAGGTTTCGCTTTGGTGGCGGTAGGTTCAGGTGCGCTAGAATCGCGATGACTGAAGAGAAGAAGCTGAAATAAGGAGAAAGAGGATAGTGTAGAGAATGGCGAGAGTGTTTGAAATTGCAAAGATTGATGGAGAGACCTGCACGTTGATAGAATAAGTTGAGGCTGTCACCTCGGTGATCTCGGCAAGACGTCATCGGCGCGTTTAGTTGACATTGAACTTGTAGAACGGCGTTCAAGGGCTTCGTAACATGAACATATTCCATTCAGTTCCATCATGTCCATACGCAACCGAACATGTGACCAGGCTGGTGAGGTTAGAGCACTATACTGCTGATGTGGTGAGTACCGTGTTTCTGCAGAGGGGCAAGACGACGTGTCGCAGCGGCAGGAAACGTGGACGCGCATACGATTGGTCGCGTAGCGCGCTGATCAGATATGTCGAACAAAGAAGCCATGACAAGTTGTTGGGTTCATGTCGAAAAGCACAGTTAGCAGGTGTGGAGATGCAGCCTCAAGTGAATGGGTTACGCCGCGGCCAAGCCCTTAGGCTCGCGGGTGCCTGAACCATGGAGGTGAATCAAAACCCGCCGCTTCTCGACTTGACGGCTTCACCGTCGTTGTGACTCTTTCTTTCCCTCTCCAGGCGTGATATACGCTCAGACCAGCGTGAACGGTGAATCAGGCGCACGGTACCACAAAAACTGCCCGCATCTTCCAGCGCCTCCACCCTCCACCCTCCGCCTCTCCACCACATCTCACCACCCACCTCGCACCCAACCCACTGCGGCGATACCTTGCACGCCGAACTATCATTCCAGGCGTGAAGAGACTGTTTGCGAGAGGCGTAGCAAGACACGCGCCAAAACCACTACCACCACAGCCCACCATGGCCAACATGATGCCGCCCGTCCCCGCAAAGGACGACGTGAACGCCACGTAAGTGATTTCCTCTCCTCGTTCTGCCAGAGGACATCCACTTGTATTGCCAGAGAAGAGCCACTCGCACTTCCAGCGAAGAGATTGCCGGAGAGCTGCAGCTGACATGGGCGTGCAGATGGAAGTACCTCGAAGCGGGCGTCGAGAAGATCATGACCGACCTCCGCGGCGGCATGGACATGAAGACATACATGGGCCTGTACACTGCCATCCACAACTTCTGCACAGCGCAAAAGGCCGTCGCGGGCTCGTCGTTTGCCGCGACGCACAACCGAGGCGGCGCGCACCTGCTCGGCGAGGACCTCTACCAACACCTGATCGAGTACCTCAAGACGCATCTCCAAGGCGTGCAGACCAAGTCGCGGGAACATGTCGACGAGGCGCTGCTCACATTCTACATCAAGGAGTGGAACCGCTACACAACGGCAGGCACGTACAACAACCACCTGTTCCGCTACCTGAACCGGCATTGGGTGAAGCGCGAGATGGACGAGGGCAAGAAGCACATCTACGACATATACACGCTGCATCTGGTGCGCTGGAAGGAGGACATGTTTGTCGGCACCCAGGAGAGCGTCATGCGCTCCGTGCTCAAGCTCATCGAGAAGCAGCGCAACGGCGAGACGATTGAGCAGTCGCACATCAAGTCGGTCGTCGACTCGTTTGTGTCGCTCGGTCTGGACGAGGCCGACAGCTCAAAGTCGACGCTGGATGTCTACAAGGAGTTCTTCGAGACGCCCTTCCTGGCAGCCACCTCGGAATACTACGAGAACGAGTCGAAGCAGTTTCTGGCCGAGAACAGCGTCGTCGAGTACATGAAGAAGGCCGAGGCCCGCCTCGAAGAAGAGAAGGAACGCGTTCCACTTTACCTACTTGGCGAGATCATGTCCCCACTGATGCGATGCTGCGAGCATGCACTGATCACGGCCCACTCGCAAGCTCTCCGGGAAGAGTTCCAGATTCTTCTTGATAACGACAAGGAGGAAGACCTGGGCCGGATGTACAAGCTCCTCGCCCGCATTCCCGAAGGTCTGGATCCTCTTCGCAACCGGTTCGAGGCCCATGTACGAAAAGCAGGTCTGGCGGCGGTGGAGAAGATTGCTCAGGAGGGGGAGAACCTGGAGCCGAAGCTGTACGTGAGCGCGCTTCTGGACGTGCACACCAAGTATGCGGATCTTGTGAACAAGGCTTTCAGCGGCGAGTCGGAGTTTGTCCGATCTCTGGACAACGCGTGCAGGGAGTTTGTCAACCGGAACAAGATCTGCAAGTCAGGGTCGAACAAGTCTCCAGAACTCCTCGCCAAGTACACGGATACGTTGCTGAAGAAGTCGACCGTCAAGGGGTTAGAGGAGGATGACATGGAGAAGTCATTGACGCAGATTATGACCGTCTTCAAGTATATTGAAGACAAGGACGTGTTCCAGAAGTTCTACTCGCGTATGCTGGCCAAGCGTCTGGTACAGAGCACGTCTGCGTCCGACGACGCCGAGACCAGCATGATCTCCAAGCTGAAGGAGGCCTGCGGTTTCGAGTATACCAACAAGCTCCAGCGCATGTTCCAGGATATGCAAATCTCAAAGGATCTGAACACGGCCTACAAGGATTGGTCAAACAACCTGGGCGCCGACGAGACAGACGCCAAGGCACAAGTCGACGCATACTACCACATTCTCGGTACCGGTTTCTGGCCACTGAACCCACCTACGACGCCATTCACACCGCCTCAACAGATTGTCAAGACGTATGACCGCTTCGCCCGCTTTTACAACCACAAGCATCAGGGACGTAAGCTGACATGGTTGTGGCAATTGTGCAAGGGTGAAATGCGAGCCAACTACGCAAAGGTCCACGGGCTGAAGACCCCTCCAACACTCCAAGTCTCGACATACCAAATGGCCATCCTGCTGCTCTTCAACGACAACGACACGGTCAGCTATGATGAGATGGCAGAGGCTACCAAGCTCAACAAGGAGACGCTCGACCCTAGTCTCGGCGTGTGCATCAAGGCCAAGGTGCTGCTCGCGGTGCCAGAAGGCGCCAAGGCAGAGTCGGGCACGTCGTACAAGGTCAACACGGGTCTGAAGGTCAAGAGGCCGAAGCTGAACCTGAACATTGGTATCAAGTCTGAGCAAAAGGCCGAGGCGGAAGACACGCACAAGACGATTGAGGAGGATCGGAAACTGCTCATGCAGGTGGGTGTTTTTTCTCACCCTCTTCTTGCCTTCCTTATACTCTTGCTAACAATCCGTATAGTCGGCCATTGTCCGCATCATGAAGTCCCGCAAGAAGATGAAGCACCAGCAACTCGTGTCGGAAACCATCCAGCAGATCAAGAACCGCTTCATGCCGCGCATCCCCGATATCAAGAAGTGCATAGACATCCTGCTCGAGAAGGAATATCTGGAGCGTCTAGAGGGCGACGAGCTCGGTTACCTTGCTTGAAGTGGAAACATCATGTGTGTGCGTGGTAAGTTCGACCGTCCCTTTTTTCTTTCTTTCTTTTCTCCACTTCACTTTTACTTTACTTGAGGGGGGTAATGCTTGGGTTGGTGGGATGTGTGGGCGAGAAATTGGCGTTTGGGATGGACGGACGGACGGATGGGATATGATGTGATAAGGGAGGGTTTATGAAAGGCTTTGTGAAAGGGGGAGGGGGGTGTGCTTCTTGTGAAAGGGGAATGCTGTCTGTGCGTTCTATGGACTCGGTCCTGTTTCCTTGTGGACGGATAGCATGGGAGTGATGTGCGAGGGGATGACTGCATGGGTGATGGAAGTGGAAGTAGAAGTGGTGGGAAACCCAAAAGACGAATAGGAATGACAATGCCGTTACCCGTATTTGCATTGCGCTGATCATTTTATTGACTCGACTTGACTGGACTCGATTCGACTTGTCTCATATGATCGGGTCTTGGAGGTGAGTGACCTGGTATAACATACTATACATTCAGATTACACACATACTTACATCGTCAAAAAAGAGTTCGTATATACTCGTAAAAAATCCCCATCTACAAAAGCGTCCCACAGTGGTATCATGCCTCATCATCATCTCATCGCCTCATCCCTCCCCATGCACCAAAACTCCCACTACCTCTTCTCCCCAACCACCCCCTTAGCCTTACTAACAACCTCCCCCTTCATAGTCTCAAACACCCCCTCCATCCCCTCCTTCTCAACCCTCTTCTCCACAACCTCATCCTCATCCTTCTTCTCCACCGCCTTCCCGCTAACAGCATCCCGCACCTGCTCAACCGCACGCTCAATCTCGACTTCCATATCGGGGAGGTCGAATTTCTCGGCGATGAGCTTGCCGTTCCAGCGCTGGAGGAGCATGGTGTCGGCTGCGGTGGGGGTGGTGGGCGGGGAGGTCAGGGAGTGCGCGGTGGAGGTTATTTGCTCGGCGGTGGGGGGTGGGGATGAGAGGGCGAGGGCGCGCGTGGGGTGCAGGAGGCCGGCTGTGTAGAGGGCGTCGAGGACGGGGGAGGCGGAGGGTTTGGGCACGTTGTGCTGGAGGAGGAAGTCGAGGTGTTTGGAGCCCGTGAGCGCTGGGAGTAATTCATATCAGCACAGCATCAATACAGTAGGAGTAAGTTTGGGTTGAGGGAGTGAGAGAAAAAAAAGAACATACCCTTCCAATGCGAATACGCGCGATACAGCACGTAAAAGAACGGCAAATTCGGCACAATCGGCACCAGCATAAACGGCGCAGTAAACGGCATAATAATCACACTCCACATCAGCTTACTCCGATGCATACCCTGCCTCTCCCTCGCAAGCTTCTCCAACAACCCCCTCACGCGACCCTCCTCAATATACGCGCCCGGAAACACCACCTCCAGCCTCTCCTTCCCGTTGCCGTCGAGAATGGCCTGCTTGCGCGCCGCAGACAGCGCGGGCATCGTCTTCAGCCCCCATTCCTCGTACGGGATGCGCTTGAGCAGTTGGTTGCCGTAGTGCGTCGTTTTCTGCTTCCAGTTCCAGGTCGAGGCTGTGTCTTTTTCCCAGGCGGACCACGTTGAGTCGGCTTTTATCGTGAGCTTGTCGAGGTAGGAGCGTTCTGCCGGGGCTTTTTCGTGCAGCTTTTCGCAGTAGAGGAGGGAGCGCTGTCGCGAGATGGGGAGGAGGAAGAGCCGCATTGTAGTGTAATTGAGTTAGGGGTAGGGGGAGGGGAGGGGAGTGCGGTAATGTGTGGTAGTAGGCGCGGGAGACATGGTTTTTTATCGAGACGTGGTGCTTGTTCTAGGTTGGAGTGGGTTAGAGGTTTGTGACGTACTTGGTGTGGCTGTGCAGGGTGTGTGTCTGGATGTAGAGGTGCATGCGATGCGGCGGTGAGATGTGGCTTGAATGGTGACAGGGGTGCTGGCAGATCTGGCTGGGAAGTAAGTGCAATTTCCCCGATGGAGCCCTGAATCCTGTCCTGACCCGAACCTGGAACCTGCCTTGACCCTTCGCACCAACGACGACACCACCTAATTACACCCACTTACACCACGCCGCGTGCCCCGACACGCCGTCCGCTTCATTCCCTTCCCCCCCCGCCGGCATGCTGTGTGCGCGCATCGTCTACTTTGCTCCCACGTAGTCGCTCCTCGCCGCCCCTGCCGCCGTCGCCGTCGCCGTCTCCCGTCCCCGTCCGCCAAGCAGGCTTGCTGACGCGCGACGTTTGAGGCTGGGCTCCTAGCCAGACGACGGACCTGCTGGCTGGCTGGCTCTCCCTCGTTTCTCGCCACGGCCGACCATGGTCGAGCCCCGAAAGAGCGACAATGGCACGGCCTTTTTGTTCCCCCCGGCCACCGCTGCCAACACCTCCACCAACAACAACAACCGCCTGCTGCCCTCGCCCATCCCGCCGCCCACCGCCTCGTCCGTAGGCTCGCACCGCCCCCGCTCCAGACTCGGCAGCTCCGTGTCGGGCATCTCGCGCGACGACGTCGAGGGCTCGTCGTCGACGGCCGCCGCTAGGAAGCAGTCCGTCTCGAGCACTCCGCGCACGCTGGCGTCGTCAAAGGGGAGTGCGAGTGCGGCCGGCACAGAGGCACGTGAGAACAGGGAGAAGCAGCGTGCTGTGCGATCGCTACCTCGTAAGACGTGCTGACATATTCTATATAACTGACGTGATATGCTAATAACATACCCACAGCATGGGTGCAGACAGCAGACGAAGACGACAATGCAGACGTCACCTCCCTCCTCCTCCCGCGAACGCCCACTTCCATCCGCCCAGCCTCGCACCACTACATGCCCACGCCCAAATCAAACGTCCCCGGCCGCAAATTCGACCACGCCCGCGAAGGCGCCCCCGTAACCCTCACCACGCACGTCACCGACAGCGCCTCGAAATGGGCGCAATTCGCCGCCGCCTCGCAATTCGACGCGCTGGACCGGCCCCTCTCGTCCCGCGGGCAGATCGTCGACGACGCCTGGATGGCGGAGAACATGCCCGACCTGGAAAAACCCTGGGAGCCCATCGAGCAGGACGACGAAGCCGAGAAGCTAAAAGGCTTCTGGCTCTTCAACCCCGCCAAGCGCCGCCGCAAAGTCACCCGCTGGCACAGGACCATGATGAACCACCCCATCGTCCCCGCCATGATCCGCATGGTCGTCCTCACCTTCTCCATCCTCGCCCTCTCCCTCGCAGGCGCTATCTTCCACCGCTCTGATTCCGCGGGTTGCGAGAAAAACGCATCAACATGGATGGCAATGGTCATCGACGTCACAGCCGTCCTGTACACGGTCTACATCACCTACGACGAATACACATCTAAACCCCTGGGTCTGCGCTCCCACAACGCGAAGATGAGCCTCATCTTCCTCGACCTGGCCTTCATTGTCTTCGAGAGCGCGAATCTTAGCCTCGCGTTTCAGGCCCTCACGGATGATACCTGGGCGTGCACGCAGTCTACGGGCCCGAATAGTCAGTGTGCGTATACGCGCGGCATATGCGTGAGGCAGAAGGCGCTGGTGGCTACGCTGCTTATTGCGCTTGTGGCGTGGTTGGGCACGTTTACTATTAGTACGCTGAGGTATGTTGTCTCCTTTCCCTTTACTTTTTACTTGGTGGGGAAATGAAGGCTAATCTGTGGGTAATTAGGTTGATCCATCGTGTTGCTAGATAGGTAATAGGTAATTCGTAATTCGTCGAATGGAATGGAGTGGAATTGAGTGGAGGGGGGCCTTTCGTTCTTGTATCTATTCATCTATCTGTCTGGTTGTGCTTCTTTTGTCTTCCTCTCTCTCTCTCTCTTGCACCTACGCGTTGGTCTACGATGCTCACTATCCTATCCTATCCTATCCACCTCATCTCTCATCATCTCGTTTCTCTCTCTCAGTTTGTCACAGGCATGTTATATAGCACGGCGTATTACGGTACGGTACGGCATGGCATGGCATAGTACGGCATGGCGTGGCGTTGGCGTCGGTACATCGTTTTGTCTTTCCACATGCGTCGGGGTCCTGGAACATGTTTTTCTTGTTTTTTATATGTTGGATTGAATTGCATTGTGTGTATACCGTAAGGAGTAGAAGGAAGAGGAGGAGGATAGAAGAAAGAAATGCCAATATCAATTGCGGTAATGACTCTATCTTTGGTTTTTGGTTTAGTTTGGGTATGTTTGTGTTAATAGATGGATGGATATTTTCATATGTCAAGAAAAGTAAGTCATTCCAAGCAAGGACTTTACAAAAAGTCCATCCCGTTCCTCCTTGGTTTTCCGTTTTCCGTTCCCATTTCCTAACCCATTACGCCCGACCAGCTCATCGAGTCCAGTCGCGTCAAGTCACGTCCAACGCCATACACCCTCCCAACCCTTGCAAAACAACCCACCCACCCATACGCCACGACCATGCCCAGTCAACCCCTAATCATAATGCATAAAAAGCTGACTCATACTCTCGCCATGATGATTCCTGCGAATAGCCTCGGCCAGCAAATTATCAACATGGATAATAACCAGCTTATCATACCCTTTGGCATGAATAAGTTTGTGGTCGGGGATGGGAAACGCATTGGTGACGACGATCTTATCAATGCACTCGCAAGCCAGCATTTCATCGAGACAGTCGCCGCCGAACAGGGCGTGTGTGGCGAAGCAGTAGACTTTTGTGGCGCCGCCGCGCTTGACGACTGTTTCGGCTGCGGCGATCCAGGATGCGGATTTGTCCATCATGTCGTCTACGATGAAGACGGGGCGCGCTTTGACGTTGCCGACGAGCGTGACCATTGTTTCGAGCTCGGGGTTCTTGAGGTCGTCTTCTTCGTCTTCTGAGGAGGCGGCCGCGTCGTAGGTTCCGCCTAGGGCGTGCGAGTGCTCGGGTTCTTTGTTCCAGGTTGACGAGGCCGTCGACATGAAGGAGGACATCATGTTGGTGGGGATGTCGTCGTTGTCGCCTTCGGAAGGGGGGCGGTTGCGCCACGTCGAGTGCGAGGTGGCTGACATGGAGGGCGAGGGATGCGCGTCGTCGACGATGTGACCTTGGACTAGACGGCCGCGGATGACGTTTCGTGCGCGCTGCAGATGTTAGCATTGGGATGCGCGGGACTGTCGACAAGCATACCTCATCTGTGTATTCCTCTGCGCCGCTCTCGTCTGCGCTTTGCTCCGCATTTGCTTCCTGGTTCGCCTCGGCGTCGCTTCGGATCGGGTCTAATGGTGTCTCTGGCTCGACAATGGAACTCGCTCGCATCGACTTGTACAGTGGGCTGCCCGCCGACTCGGATATGCCATTCACTCGCCGCTGCAGCGGATTTAATGTTGTGTTCGTTTTCAGCTTCGGTTTGCCAGCTTCAACCTTGGCATCATTCGTGGCCTTCGCGCCCGCCTCCGCATCCAACGCAGCTTCAATCAGCTGAGGCGTCTCGTATGTGCCATCCAGCCTGAGCTGCTCAAACATGGCGCTCTCATTCCATTGAACGCCTGTCCTACGCCTGTCTGTGGTGACAATGCCGAAGCTGAGCTTCATCGCGTCTGCCAGAGACGTGACTCGCTTTGTGCCGCCGGGGTTCTTGCTCACCACCACTGCCTCTCTCCAATTTGGGACGTTTACGCGGATCCAGCGAGCGATGAGGGGTTCGGCGACGAGGTTGTCGACAGGGCACTTGAAGAAGCCCTGCATTTGCGAGGCGTGCAGGTCAATCGTCATGACGTGGTTGACGCCGGCAATGTGGAGGAGGTTCGCGACCATGCGCGCTGTAATGGCCCCGCGGTGCTGCTTCTTCTTCGACTGGCGCGAGTATGGGAAATACGGCATGACAGCTGACCCCGTCAGTAGCTGACACAGCACCCACGAACAGCTCCACTACCTGTGATGGACTTGGCCGAGCCGCCTTTGCAGGCAGATATCATAATCAGCAGCTCCATAACCGAATCATTGATTCTACACCCACCCATCAGCGGCTGAAAGACCAGACAAGTGGGGTAATATACTTTTCGCTCCCGCTCTGCACAATGAAGACATCTTTGTTCCGGATCGAGGTGTCTACAACTCATGAGATGATGGAAGAGGCAGACAGCCGACAAACAGCAGACATACGAATCGTGACCGACGTCTCTCCATTCTTGAACTTGCCCAGCGTCGCGGAGCCGGGCTTCATGCCCAGGCAGTCGCACATGCCCTCGACCAGCCTGGGGTGCGAGGACCCGCTGAACACAATGGCACCGCGCATCGTGGGAGGTCCGAGAAGAGTGACGTCTTCGCAGTGATTGTGTCGCGCGGTCGGTGGAGGGACATTGAAATTTCGAGCCATGGTCGATATCGGAGATCCAACAGGCAGTCTTGGCGCGCCTAAACAGGAAGGATCGGCGGCTCCTGACTCGCGTCAAAGCGAGGGGTTTAGCTGTTGATAGCAGTGGGAGAGTGAGAGAGCATGCGACAGTTGAGGAGATGGCGAATCTCGCGAAGTGGTTTCCTTTATGCACATACCTGCAGCAATCCAGCGTCCTACAAGCACTGCTGCGTTGGCACGCGACCGAAACAGAGCCACTCATCGCGTTTGCTTCCATCATGCGGTGCCTCCGCATTCAATCAAACATGCTCCAACGATATCTCTCAACATCGTTATTGTATTCGCGCCAGCCTTCCATCACGCTATGAAATACATAAAATGGTAGTAGAAGCAGAGATTGATCATAAGCTGAAGATATCAATGAGATGTTGCAGCCATACTTAAACATAAACGTTTGAAACAGACACACTTGCGCCATCCGCGATTGACGATGAAAAGAGCAAGTCGACCTGACGTACCTACTCGAGGAACACAACTGATTGATGCAAAAGGTGGATTCTGAGAAAGACCCATCCTCACTCACCTTCAATGGCCAATACTCGTAACATCTCCAAGTGCTCACCAAGTAGGCAGCCTCGATACACAACATGCACAGATCCGATCGCAAATTTCGAACCCGTCCATGACCTGGTAATGGGATATGTACCGCTAGCTTCACTTCGCCCTGCAGGACATAGTACAAGCTCACCGCCTGCTCGAGGCTATAGCACACCCGCCATTAAACGTTGCTCAAGCTGCACTTGCACTCCAGACCGGAACAACCCGATGGGTCAATCTGGATAGGCCAAGCCGTGCTTCCCTTGTTGAAGTGGATGCATTTCCTATTTCACGTCCTAGATGTCCGTCTTGGTCGTCAAATTCAAATGAAGCTGCTCCGCGGTCACGCGAGCTGCAAGATTTCATTGCTCGTTGTAACATCGATCCACCAACACGACGATTCGTTTCTTTTTGGAAATGGACTGGCCAGACTAGCGATCTGAGGTGGTTGGAATGAGGCAAAAAGTCTGCCAAGGCCATGGGTAGTCGAGTCGTAAGGCTATTTAGTAGTGATGAGTGTGGAAATAATCGACAAACCTAGAAGCAAAGCTATGGTATAACCTCTCCGTGCTAACAAAAGACAAACCCCAAGGCTGAGCGGTGTGGCTGTACGATGCGATCTAGGTACGGTACCACGTGGACCCTTGTCCGAGATGCCAGTCATAGGGAAACGCAGGCTATATGAAGGCAGTCGGCGTGCGTAACAGTGGTGGAGCAGGCGTTGCCGAGAAGTCTGTACTACAATTGACGACTTCCAGAACCAGCACAGCGGCGTTCGGTTTAGAAGACAGTGCGAGCCTGATTCTCCCCATTCAACTGATCCAGCAACGGTGGAGTCCAAATCTCGTAAGGCTGATCGGAGAGTTCCCGAGTTGGAACATGGCAGGGTGTCCACCATGGCAGCTGGTGTCGTCGCTTACCTTCCGTGGATGTTCGTGACTTGAGCCGTTTTTCAGGGTTTGGGGGGGCATGCTTTCTGCCATGTGCTATGCACAGGATGGCTTGACTGGGCGAAATGACAGAAAACGGTATGCACGACAGCGAGCGGGATATTATCCCGGCCAACAACCCTTCCATTTTGTTGTGTGTTGCGCATCCAGGTACCCGGTTGGGATATCAGGCCGAATTTCGGAAACGCGGGTCGGATGTTGTGCTTCGTTAGACGTGCCGGCTATACCGATGTTTCGCGGCTCGACAGTGCTGTTACCCCCGAGAGTGTTGTGTGATGGTCCTGTTTGATAGCCATCCTGGCTGGAAGCCTACCTGCAAAGTGATATTCAACCCTCGGCAAACGTACCTGAAGAAGAAGACATGACTGATCAGGAGTGAGACAACACCGTTGATCATATCATGTATTTGCTCCGAAGCTGCATCTTCAACGGAGAATGTCTCATCGTAATCATGTCTGACAGCCATGATCAACCCACTAACCTGGTAACAGGACGGTGTAAGTCACTCATCATGCCGATGTAACTCTATCTCAACTTACAAGCAACCGCCTTGTGCGCATCCGGAACATCCCGCACAGGCATTGACTAGAATACCGCGTGGATGCAAGACAATCAGAGTCATGGCCGTTCAACTGTTCGAAAAAGCAGACAATGACACACGGTGATCAGACAGGGGAGGTACGCACCTGGCTGCTATAGGGAAGCGCCACAAGCGCCTTGATCACAGGGTAGAATCGGTGGTGACACTGATCTAGCATATGTGGAACCGTGCGTCAGATCCATCGCGGTTCCGTGTAACAATGAAAATTCAAGCGAGATCATGCTTCTTACGGACGTTAATGGCAGTTCAGTTTACTGTTCATTGTATGATAGATCTGAATAATGCGCAACGGGCTGCGCGACATTAAACTGCTGCTCTTTTCGTCTCGTACCTTGCATTTCGGATCGAATCGGTTAGGGAGACGAATTGATCGACCGACTGTGATATAGTTAGCGGCGTCGAAAGTTGTGTGGCCAAACGAGGCTCATGAGAAAACAAGAGTGGCGTACTGATAGGCTGATCGTTCCAATCGCCGCGCGGCTATCCACGATCTCCCGGGCTGACCGTGCAGAGTTCCCGCAATAGTCAGTGTGTCTAGCCTAAATACGCGAAAAGAAACTTGGTGGACGAATCCTTCTCCTGGACAATCGCTCTCCTCCGAGCTTCTCCTGAAAGCCTTCTCATCAACGCTTGCCATGAATCATAAGACTGGGGCTATATTTTGGATATATGCATACCCAGGGAGTTAGTTCATCGCCAAATAAGGTAGGTTACATACTGGGTTGATAAGCTTGATATAGAAGCAAGCAACGCCGAGTTATCCGACAGTGGGTTTCCTCCACATCACGAAGGTGTGGATCAACGAATGGGTCCCATGTTTGTAGCTCTTTGCGTGTCCGAGAAAGATGCAGACTCATGGTGTACCTCTCTACTGGCTGGGTCGAGTTCCTGGCGCTACTGCAAGGCGCCTGATGCGCTACATGGGATGAGGCTGCCATCGTTCGCCGACCAACTGAACCAGGTTGAAGGACAATCGCGTGCAGGGATGGGTCCGCATTGTCTCGTCTGCAGTGACTAGCTGCATTTCCTCTGCAATGGGCGTCGTCATCCTTGCAAGCGATCAAAGAGGAACGGGAACTCCGCAAAGGGTTGGATCGCATAGTTGGGGACCGTGTACATACCCCTGTGCTACCACGTGAAGGGCTCTGGCGTTGAAGGTCGTGAAGCAGGAACTACATCACCTCGTCAAGGTTCGCACATTAGCGGCGGGCGTAGAGATCTGAACACTTGCTGATGAGTGATCGAATTGACAGAGGAAGAAGGTGAACAAATGAAAAGTGAGAGTTGGGAGATGTGGTGGTTTGGAGGCTCATGCATGGCGACGTATTTGGCAGTTTGTGTACAGATCAACTGACCGCATTTGCCGCGCAATTCTCGAACGTTTTAGCAGCATACCGAGCATACTTAGACTGAGAGGATGGTAGTGTATGCTCTTGTTGTGAAGGGTGAAAAAAGGAAGCACAGAGAGACTCATGGTTGGTGACGTGATTCAGGATGAGGGAGCATCCGAAAAAGCAACGCGAGTGCGAGTAAACTCAAAATGCGAACCCTACTCAGGTGGCGCTAGTTTATCCCTGTCGTGTTGGAGATAGGCTTGGGAGACCCTGACCATCTGCAGCTGTGATGGGGAAGTGGCGCCCTCTGATTTTAGGACATTGCGACGCAACGAACATGCAGCACGGTTTGTGTGCAACCCAGCATCCGTCGGTTCATGCTTGAAAGATTCCGGAGTATCCACGTTGCGCCTCATCTTGCAATAAGGTTTCGCGACTTGAACATGTTACCACGACCACGTCTGCGGAACAGCCAGCCCGCGTTTGACCAAGTCCACAAGTCCACCTCGCCGCTTTTTTTTGAGGGCCTCATGTTGAGGATGAGTAGAGGCACATCTCATTCGATCTCGTAGTGTAACCGCCTGTGTATCTTTTTCTCTATTTGTCCGAGGCCATCCGCATTCGAACTTCACACTCTAGGGCAACAAGACTGCGGGACGGCTGCACGCTGCTTGTTGTTGTACACTACCACATTTTGTGGATGTGGGATCGGTTTGGGTTGTCGATGAACTCAATTTAATATTGGCCTGTCAGTCGCAGAGATTGTGTATAAGATGGACGCAGGTCCACTGTATTAGCGTCTCTAGCCCGACACCAAGCAACTCAGCTCTCCTTCAGATCAATCTGCAGGCTAGTTTTCCTCTCTCTGCGGCCCTTACTTGCTTTTACCAGCCACGACTCGCCATAATTTCGAGCGTCCCCAGTCTTCAGAGCAATTGCCACGCTAGCCTCAAACGGTCCGTCTGTCACAGCTCCCTTGATGAGTTCTCCATGATCCTGGAGTACATATTCAGGGTGCACCCCAATTGCCTTTTGCTAACGTGCTCACAGCTTACTTCACCGTCTACTTTACATCAACCAATCGCACCTCGGCGCCCTACAACAACCAAAAGAACATCAACGCTGCACCATGGCCAAGCCCGCAAGTTGTCAACACACGTTCGAGGTGATCAAGTCCGATACAACACTCATCTCCTGGAACTGCAATTTGTGTCACTTGGGACCCTTTCCGTTCATCTACGAGTGCAAAACTTGCAAACTCAAGACGTGCCGCGGATGTACGGCCAAAGCATAGGTGAGTTGAGCCATCAATTTCTCCGAAAATCTTCATCACTCGGCGAAGACTGTGGTTTGAGTCAATTCTACTGAGCTTTGACATGTGCAAGTTTTCGGTGTTGACTCGTTCACAGACCATCTGCTTGTGCGGGCGCGGATCGACGACATCGACAAGGATCTTTAGATCCCAGATACCGGGATCCGTAATCCTCTGCTCACTGCACGGCGCGCATTCACCTCGGGTTCGCATGCGCGACTCGCAATCCTTTTGACCTTTCCAATTATTACGGCACTCCTTGTCCTGGGCCTTCCTTATGCGTCGGTATTTCTCAGATCGGCTTTTATCGATTTAGCACGGCGTTTCGGCGGCTCAACATCTGGTATTATTTGGAGCTAAAGGGCGGCACCTAGTCTCGAACGGCATTCGCTAGCTCGAACCTCAAAAGAGTACTTGCTCTGAATAGTTTCATACTCGACATGGGAGTTTTGTGTATGGACTGCGAGATCTTGGTATGGCCTCTCCATCGTGCAAGGTCCTTGGTTTCATGGTTTTGCTCATTACACCTCTTGGCACGCTCTTACGATAGATGATTGGTACCGCGAGGTTTTGGTCTCTTGATTTTGGGCATCTTTCCTTCTTATTTGGTACTCTTCGAGTGGCCTTTATAGCCAACGATGTCTGCTTCTAGTCTTCTATTCTGTTTTGCGTCTACAAGTGGGGACGTCTGTTTCACACGCCCTGAAAGTACATCTTGGCAGCTTAATAGAGAATGTTTGCATTATACCAAGCAGGCCTCCTGCAGCCAGCCGGCCGTGAAGCGTCCTTGGACCAGACGGGCAATTTTGCAGTCACTTTTATCACACGTCTATGTTCCCACCTTAGCCGCCCCGACCAAGTGGGCACGCCTCGCATGTTGGCGACCGACGGATCGTCATCCTACTCAGACTCTACATGGGGTGATTTGGGCCAACGATTGGTGGAGTTTGAAAGAGCAGCAAAAGCGAGCCGTTCCTCGGAGCATCGTCCCAATCATGGAAGTTAGGATCGATTGACCGCGCAAATTCCTTGGTGTTATCTTAGAAGGATTTGGCAACCAAGATGGGTGGCACGGCGCTCCCGCTTGCCGTGCAGTGTGGGGCGGAAGCAATAAATGTGTGCATGGAGTTTGCCGACTGCAAGCAGATGACGATCAATGGCTTAGTCCAGTACCTCGGCCGGCGATGGAAAGGATGCATGGGTCACTTCAATGGAATGTTGAAGATAATTGTTTGTGTTGTCGTGGTGGCGAAGTAAAGATCGCGATTGCCTCCCAGAGAGGAAGTTGTTAACGCACCAACAAATACCTTGCAAGTTTGAAGAATTGAAGCCAAAAGGAAATTAAATATAGACGTTTTCAGGTTAAAAAACAAGACGCATATTCTTCTATTTCAAATGCTATAGCTGTATAGTAGGTGCATGTTGTTGATGTGTAATTATATCAGCTCAAAGGAAATGTGGTTCACTCTGATTTAGGATGGTGGGCCTTATTGTCGCCCACATGCCCCGCGACGCGTTATCGCGATGGTACCGATCGTCCACGCGTCGCGGCGGGCATCCCGCACACCTACCATACACAGACTCTCGACGACTGAGGAGATGTGCCGCTACACTTCAGCGAACGAAAAATCGAAAGATGTGCGCGATGCTTACCGTCCTCCCGTTGCTCGTCCGCTTCTTGTCATAGGCTGCTCCTCCAGCCTCGACATGCGCAGTGCTGCAACTCTCTCGACATCTGCATGAATACCAGGCATCTACACGGATGCCTAATCATCTGATGCCTCGTTTGGCGCTCATGTGTCACTTCGTGGCTAAAGTAGGCCTCCCGTTCAGCCGCACGCTGCTGCTGCAAGCATCCAATGCTTTATCTCGATAGCTGGCCCCCATTTCACGAATTTGTATGTAATCGTCACATCATGGGCCAGGCCAGCTTCGGTGTTCCTCCCAACACTCCGTCTTTCTCTTGTGTCACCTGGAAAGAAAGAACAAGAAATACGGCGAAGGTTATTCTAGATTGCTAAAAGTACAATCGTAGGTGGCGAGAGAATCGACGGTTGTCATTACCGCTAACCCTAACCAGAACACATTATGAGCTCTGTTTCCAGTGACGGCGAGCTCAACGTTCCACAGGAAGTCATCAATGAATTCTGGGAGAATCTCATCACGAAGAAACCAGCCAAGGTCACCAAGATCTTTCCTTCCAGTCTATACGCCCATCTACTTCCACCAAAACGCAAGCAAGGCACAGCCATAGGAAAAAATGCGGCAGAGTCATACCAAGCTGCGGCCAACGAATGTCGCGCTCGTGTCAAACGTGTTGTGCGAGAATGCCACCGAACGAATGAGAAGTTCACGGACCCCGAGTTCGACATCGAGGACTTGTCAGACAAGAACTGTCTCGAGGGGTTGATGCACTACTACGAAGAGCAACCGGTCGCAGCTGCCTCATCAGTGAGCCCGAGACAACTGGGGGACGCGCTTTCGACTCTCATTCGAGCGGATGTGCTCATGCAGAACATAGCACCTATCGATTTCGCCACCACGGCAAAAGTTCTGGCTTCTGGTGGCGAGGAATACAGCTCTGGACCAGGATCGGTGCACCGTGTGCACTGGGTGTTTGACAACCCCAAGTTTGAGATTGACGGTTTCACGAGCTCCGACGTAGTGCAGGGCTCCAATGGCGATTGTTGGTTCATTGCTGCTGTAGCAACGATCTGCAGTAACCCAGACCTCATCAAGAAGGTTTGTGTTGAGAGAGACGAGGAATGCGGAGTCTATGGCTTTGTCTTCTACCGGGATGGCGAATGGATTTGGACCGTGGTGGACGATAACCTGTACCTCAAGTATAAGAACTTTGACGCCTACGGCGACAGATACGATCCGACAGGCGCGATAGAGAAGAGGGACAAACAAAACAACCTGACGGGGTCAGACGCACTGTACTTCGCCTCATGTGCCGACCAGAACGAGACTTGGCTCCCGCTGCTGGAGAAGGCGTATGCGAAGGTCCACGGCGACTACGATGCCATTGCTGGCGGCATAAGTGGTGAAGCGATAGAAGATCTGACGGGTGGTGTTACAACGATGATTCTCACAGATAGTATCTTGAGCAAGGAGCGCCTCTGGAAGGAGTTGGTACAAGTCAACAAGCAGTTCCTTTTCTCCGCCTCGTCACCTGCTTCTTACGGGGATGGCTCCAATGTAAGACGAGGCCTTAAATTAAGCCATGCCTACTCCATCATCAAGGCTGTCGACGCAGAGGGCGAAGATGGCAAGAGCCACAGATTGGTTTTGATCAGGTACGCTGCTTGCCATTCTTTCAACCTTGTACTAATTCCTGCAGAAACCCATGGGGCAAGAGAGCCAACGCGGCGATGGGCGAATGGACTGGCCCATGGTCTGACGGGTCGAAAGAATGGACGCCGTACTGGATGAAGAAGCTGGGCCATGAATTCGGCGACGACGGACTCTTCTGGATGTCGTACGCAGACCTTCTCAGCCGCTTCGATCTGCTTGATCGCACGCGGCTCTTCAACGAAGAGTGGACTGTGGTCCAGCGATGGACAAGCTTGTCAGTCGCATGGGTAACGGGCTATTTAAACACCAAGTTCTCCGTCGAGATCAAAAAGGCCGGCCCGACGGTATTCGTGCTCTGCCAGGTACGTACATTGCAGCTGACCATTTCGTACCGTCATCTACTAATCCCATCTGCGTAGCTCGACGATCGTTATTTCTACGGCCTCGAGGGAAAATACAGCTTCGACCTCCACTTCCTCCTGCAGGAAGCAAACTCGCCCGCCGGCGACCACATCGTCCGCGCCCGCGGCGCCTGGTTCGGCAACCGCAGCATCTCGGCCGAAGTCGACCTCGAGCCCGGCATCTACGAGGTCATCCCCAAGATCGAAGCTTCCCGCGACGCGAGCGTCCCCGAGGTCCACGACGTCGTGACCAAAGTCGCCGAGCGCAACCCGCAGAAACTGAGGCAGATTGGGCTGAACTACGATATCGCGAATGCAAAGGGCGTGGTAACGCTGTCTGATGAGGAGCAGAAGAAGAAGGCGCAGAAGAAGAGAGATGACGCCGAGAAGAAGAAGAAGGATGACGAGAGGGCGGCGAAGGAGAAGGCGGATTTCGAGGCGTGGAAAGCAGACGACAAGGCCGATTACGAGGCGTGGAAGAAACACAAGGCCAAGCACGCGGCGGAGAAAGAACAAGTGCCCACAGCCCCGGCCAAAGACGAGGAGGACGTCAAGAACGACGAGAAAGTCAAGAAAGAAGATTCTGCTACTGCGCCTCCCACTGAAAACGTAACCGACAAGCAAGAATCCCCATCCACCATCTCACCCACCAGCCCCGACGACATCCCACAACCTCACAACACGCACGAACATTTCAACACCGCCTCCCCCCCGCACAGCGTCTACACCCCCTCCCCGCCCGCGACTCCGCAACCTCCACCCACACAAGACACCAAACCCAAGCCCTGGAACGCCGTGTGCGTACTCGGCCTGCGCGTGTACACGCGCGACGCTGGCGTGAGTATCGCGCTCGTGAAGCCGCGGGACGACGAGGAGGGGGCGATATTGGATGTTGATGGGGGGACGGCGGCGGGGGCGACTATGTAATCTAAACAAATATATGGGTGGAATGGGAAGGGAGGTAAAAAGTAGATATATTTGATATGCAAAAAAAAACAAGGGAGAAAACGACTATGTATCCGCCCAGACGTTCTTTCCGTGATCTGGATCCAGACTCGCACTGGATTTCTTGCCATGTACATGTACATCTTCATCTTCATCCTCATCTCCATGATCCCGCTCCGCATCGAAGAATAAACTCGACCGCTTCGTATCTGAACCAACATCCGCATACCCATACCCGTACCCATCCGTGCTCGCCGAGACAGTGCTATCGACCGACTCGCTCCCCAAACTGCGATACTTCTCCCTCTTCTCATCGCGTTTAAACTCCTCCGCGCGCTTCAGGTCGCCGGGCACCGGCTCCGTGGGAGACGAAGCGTTCTTATTGCCCCAGCCCTTGCGCTTTTCGCTAGCCCAGGAGCCCCACGAGGAAAGATACGCGCTAGCGCGATTAGACGCGGGTTGAGCGTTCGCCGACGACGCGGCCGCGGGGTCAGACGACTTTGCTTCTTTCTCAGCGGCTTGTCTCTGTTCGTCCTGGCGTTTGCGCTGGGCTTCGCGCATGGCTTCCATTTCGGCCCAGAGGTTGTTGAAGGCGGAGGAGACTTTTTGCTGGCCGACTGCGATCTGCTTGCCGATTACGTCGCGGGATTTTTCGAGCCGCTCGTCGAGATGCATTTCGGCTACCTGCCTAAGCGCGAGGCGAGAATCAGCACACAGAGGCCTAGAGAGAGGACTTGGAAGGTGGTCGAGGCGAGCAGACTGGGGCAGAAACTTAGCCGCGGGTCGACGTCGACGAGATCATGGACATGAATATGGACAAAGGGGGACGAAGAAGAGAGTGAGGAGAAGGGGACGTACTGTGCTAAACGGCGCTGGACGTCTTCGATGGAAAGTCCGCCCGAGCACGGGTGCTTGGGGTCCACAATATCGAAGAGGTGCGAGTCTGTGAATTTATTCCATATGCGAAAGTTTTCCGTCGTCATCCACGCGTTTATCCAGTCGGTTGAGAATTCGCTTGCCGGGTCGCCGTCGACGTCTGCGATGAGGTTTTCGCGGTGCGGGTTCTTTTCCTTGTAGAGCTTGTATTTTGTGGCGCTGAGCATGGCGAGGAGGTACTCTTCAAACTGCATGCGGATGAACTCCTCGCTGCCGGCGTAGCCGTGGTCTTTGGGTCGTGCGGGGTTGGACTCGTCCCATGTGTTGTATATCGTCTGTGTTATGAAGTCTATCCATCTTCTATCAGGCGTAGACAATACTAGTGCTTGACGGAGCGCGGCTGAGGTGATATTGACGCTGTGGTCGTCGAGGTTGATGAGGATGTCGCTGTAGCGATCTCTTTGCTGTAGTAGCAGGGAGTTTGTGGAGCCAACAATGTACGACTTGGTGTCTTGGTCAGCCAGCATGTCGAGCTGCTGTAACGGGGTGTATGGCCCAAAAAGGGAGCCTTTGCCAAACAGTTGAAGCGGAAGGCCCATGTATGCAAGCACTAGCTGTTGTCAGTTTGCTGCACAACTCAACATTGGAGGCAACTCACAAGACGACCTCTCAGAAGTCTTCAAGCTCGTAGGCGTTACAATATTCTCCTCCTTGGCATTGAACTTGGGATCAGCAGCATCTTGCAGGTGGCGAATGAGGCCGGGTATCAGAGAAATAAGAGCAAACTGCATCATGCACAATCGTTCACAATGGGAGCCAAAAAAGAGCATCTAATCACAGTCAGCACCCGCCCAGCACCTGCCGTAGCCAGCCTACCTTTGGTTGAAGTAGAGCACACTTGAACAGAACCAGCGTCTGCCACTTGAACTCATGTATGAACTCGCGGAGGGAAATGCCTGCACAAGCTTGTCAGCAAAGTCCGCCAAACCTCCACCAAACCCTCATACCAAAGTAGTGATCCACCTGTCCCTCCTGGTTCTTCAGCAGCTGCGGTAGACTCTCATGGAACCGCTGCAATATCTCGATATCCGTAAAGTCTTTCTGCGCAAACCACACCTCGACTACAACGCCCAACGCAGCTTTCACAGCGCCAAAAAACTCCGGCCGGTCGCTGATAACCACAACGGCTTTTTGTACTGTACTCCTCGTGACCTCGGGTGGACGATTGAGTAGTTTACTCGCGTCGAGCTGGCGTGTGCACGATATGCCGAAGAGACTCGTTGGGGGGTTGGAGCGCCGGAGCGTGAAGTAGGAGTAGTCTTCCGTGGAGCTGGTGGAGACGTCAGTCGATGGATATGGAGAGAAGGTAGCGACGCAGAGTTCAGGACGAATGTGACGAATGGAGCGAAGAACTGGGCAACATACGCGTGCGCGCCATCACTCAACGCCATGAATGGTAACAGCGGCCATTCGTTATCGATCGCTGGATCTTCGTCGGCACCAACACCAAGCCAAGTTTCTACCTCCGGGCCTCTGTATGATACTGTCAGCCAATTCACATCCTGCCCCAACAGTGGTGGGGTCCTCCTCGTCGCCTTCTACATTCAGCCCCCTCCCTCCATCCCATCTCTCGACCCACCTCTTGCGACACACGACTTACCGCGCATGGTGAAAATCCACTATACAAACAAGCGGATCCATCATATCTTCACACCCAACAGGTCAAAATCCGATGTTCGAGAAGAGGTGTTGCTGAGGAGGTCGGAGCTCAGAGAGCCTCAAGCAGCGCGTCCAGGATCTGGGATGGCGGGACGCGATGCGGTGACGAACGGGGTCAGCCTTGCGGGACTAACCCGTGTTGAGCGCCTCGGTAAATATGTGGGTCGAGAACAGGTCAATGCAGCCAGGAAGATCTGGAGAATTAAGTTTCTGGGGTTCGGGGTGCAGGATTTGGATATCTGCTCGCACTACGAGTGATAGGGTTGCCAAGTGTTTGCTTATTCGGCATCACAAAAGTGTCTTGCGCGTTGTGGAAAGTCGACAAACCCCCAAAACGGCCCACGGTGTTATTTTGATAATGTCATTTCACTTTGATGATCGTTAACCTGGCCTGCCCTTTCATAACACACACATGTGTAATAGTAATGGAGATCCAAAACTTGTAAAGCAACTCGCTTCTCCGTCTACCCTGCGTGTCCGCATCCGTGCTGGCCCTCGAGATAGAGGAGATGAAGAGAAAACTATGAACCCGCCTGCAACAGGCAGGCCAAAACACTATTTGTGGGCCCAGGCGGGAAAAGACCCTCCTCTCTGACTAAGAGTTGAACAGACTATTGCTAATGACGACCCATGGCTTTAGCTGCCGTTATTCTCCTGTTCCTGAGTGGCAGCGTCGACGTTATGGTAGTCAAGAATTTCCGAGTACCTGCAACATGTTAGACTAGCTTATGTTGGACTGCCAAGGGGAGACGAGACGTACATCATGATTTTCCATGTGTCTACAGGGAGATCGGCATCGTTGAACGACCAATCAAACTTCTCCTCTGCACCTGGTTCGTCGGTCGGGTCGTGGTATGGAGCGAGGTATGGGTGAGCGAGAGCCTCTTCCGCTCGCACACGCTTCTTGGGGTCGAACACCAGCATGTTCTCGAGCAAGTCGACAGCTGTAGCAGTCAGTATAGCGTGAGATTTGTGCTTTGGAAGAACATACCCTGTGGCTCGGCGTTCTTGAACTTGTTGCTCAGGGGTATACGCTCACGCTTGGGCAGTGACTGAACAAATCGCAGTGTCTAACAGAGATTAGCAAGAAGGAGAGAAAGTTTGAGCCGGGTGTCCTACGTTCTCGCTGCAAATGCCCTGGATGACATCGTCCGGAGGGGTACCCAACAACTCTGTGATGATGGAGAATTGATTTACGTGGTCCTTTCCTGGAAATAGCGGCTTGCCCTCCAACATCTCAGCGAAGATGCATCCCGCACTCCAGATATCAACCTCCACATCGTACTTCTGCCACGTGAGCATGATCTCGGGCGCCCGGTAGTATCGAGTAGAGACGTATCCCGTCATCTGGGGGTCTTGTATACGGGCCAGACCGAAGTCGCAAATCTTGAGATCGCAGTTCTCGTTGACGAGAATGTTACTAGGCTTCAAGTCACGGTGAACGACACCAGCCGAGTGCACATATTTCAGTCCACGCTGCCCTAGTCAGCTAAACGTTATTTCTTGTGATTTCTGCCACGCACCAGGATCTGGTAAAGGAAGTATTGGATGAACTGCTTCTCCAGCGGTCTGGAGGTAAGCAAACGGTGAAGGTCGGTGCCGAGCAGCTCGGTAACGAAGTAGCTGCATAGTGTTAGCAAGCTTCTGGCGATTGTGAAGGGCTGGATGCGGACATGTCCTCGAGTGGCGAGATGAAGATGTCGCTCAAGCTGATAATCTGCTGCATGTCAAAATCTGCGTCCTGAACATTGGTCTGCTGGGATGCCCACATTCTCGTGTCGGAGATGCTTGAGGAGCTTCAGTTCTCGGTAGGTGCGCTTGGACAGGACCGGAGTGCTGAAGGGCTTCATGATCTTCTTGATGGCCACGGCCTGGCTGGTGAGCTGGTCCTTGGCCGAGCTGCGCTCGAGTCAGAGTGCGGCGTGCATGTGCATGGGGAGGGCATTTACCAGACGAGACCAAAGGCTCCCATGCCTACTGGCTGCAGATCAGTGTACCTTTAGGATGTCAGTCCCGCGCAGAGTCGCGATGTGGGGTTTCCGCCGCACCTGCTCGTGATCTCAAACGTCGTGCCGAAAATCTGGGCGCGCACGAATTCAGCCATGATGGTCTGCGGTGACGTGTGTACTGCGACGGGCGCGGGGGGGGAGTGAGAGTGGTGGAGGGGTGGCGGTGTTTGTGTGGTAGAGAGGGTCGCGGTTCAAAGTCTAGCAGGTTTGCGCTGCAGAAGCAAGGCACCGTCTGGGGTTGGTTGGTGGGGTCCGCGGAGACGTGTGATGGGGCGACGACAAGCTCAAGTGCTGCACAGCGTAGACACGACAGCAAGGGGGTGGATTGGTATATGTGTGCGGTTGATGCTCAGCGGGCTTCCTGGAGAACGACAACAGACGCGGTCGGCAGAAGGAGGTCGGAGGGGCCGATGAGGACACAAGGATGGCGCAAGAGGCGGCAATGCTGATCACTGCCAGGCCAGGGACGAAACGTAAGAGCAGAGGATGAAGGGGAGAGGGAAAAGACTGTGGAGGGGTACGGGCACCATGTAGCGTTATGGCTGGGCCGACAGGTTTCGGCGTCTTACGTCATGATCAGAATGCAAAATCCCATGCAGAAGCGCATGCATGCCGGCCATTGCCAGTCTCCTGACGCTCATAGATATCGCCTACTGTGGGGTGCTCCCCTGGCTGTGTGTTTCATATTTTTCTAAACGTACACAGTACACGCGTGTTATCGCCTGCGTGTTGGAGGCTCCCATCGTGCATCTGCGTTTTTCGTCTATCCCACACGTTGATTGGGTTTGGGTTGAGCGATGTCACCCTGATTTCCCCCACCACATGGCGCGGCCGTGTCCTGGCAGACCAAACTCTCTTGGGGCAGCCAGACCATGTCAACACCCAGCAACAGAAGGCGGAGGTACCGGTAGGTCTAGTGTTGCCAGGATCACTAATCTCGATTCCGACTTCAATCTCCGTCGCAGACTCAGCTGTCCGTGACGAACAGCGCGGCGTCACCCAGGACTCGATGCGGTCGCAGTAGGCGGGCATGTTTGCCGGGATACTCGAAGGGGAAGACGTGTGAATGATGGATGATGGAGAGTGAGCTGTCATGTGATTGGCATAATTGGAATGCAGCCCTGGTCTCGATACGAGCCAGCAGGGCCGATTGTAGTTCGTGCTACATTCTTTGTGGCTCCTACAAGCCGCAAAACGACACGATGGAAATTTGTCAAAGTGCACGCAGGATGTATACTGCTTATAATCCAGGCACGAGATTCCTACACTAGACTTGGCTGTAGTTGTCAGGCTGTTGCATGACTTCGCTGCACCCTGGTTCCTTGTATTTCGATTGGCCGAGGGTTCGTGATATGGGCCTCTGGTCTGGGAAACTACACACGAGCAGCGTCTTAATTTAGACTCCCCAAACCTTGGGACGACGTTCAACGCGTCAAAAGCTGTGGCTGATTACCGCTTAGGTTTGCCAGAGAGTCGCCCCCCGTCTGCCGAGCACACGAGGGTTGCCGACAAGACTGGCCCAAGCCCCCATGCTCTCGCAGCGGCGGCATGGCTGTGAATGCGGTTGGAATGTGAAGTGGGAGTGGACGTATATATAGGCACAAACGAGGCGTAGGGGCGGCGCTTGTGACGGACGAGTGGGAAATAACCGCAATCCTCACCTGCCAATAACGCGGAGGGGAGGCCTCGAGACGCCTCAACGCATCACCATCCGCCGCTCGGTGCTGGCCGCAATCACACTTCACGCTGCCTGCCTGTCCACTGCCCACTCTTCACCTCCCGCCGTCTGCACTGTCCAGCCAGCTGGCTCGTGCTGCCCGTTTTCCCGACGATTGCTTGGATGCACGCCTGTTGAAGCCTGCAGCACTGGACAGCCACCTCGCCGCAGGCCCTCGCCGGGTGCATCGTACCAGCCACTGCACACACGCCCTGCACGCCCTGCACGCACTGCACACTGCACACACACAGACTGCAAAGGCTCGCTGCTGTCCACGTTGTCGCAGGCGCCGCAGCGGAAGCCTGTCCGTGTTTGAGCCCTGATCTCCCGCCTTCCCTACCCTACCACTAGTTGACGAGCAGGGCGCGCCCGAGGCCCCAACCCGCGCCTTGCCTCGTCCAACACGTCGTCGCAGCTGCAAATCCCACCTCCCCAACGCCGGCCGACGACGTCTCCCCTGCTGCATCCCCCGACCCTGGCGGCCACGCTGCTGCTCTCATTGCCGGGAGCTGTCTGGCGGATCGCGCCGACGCAGCCATCGACGACACCCCCCAACGCCGCCGCACCGCCGCTGCATCGCCTCGCTGCCCTCTGCACCCGCGCCCCGTCTCGCCCGGTCGCCGACACCTGACGACAGCCGCCCTCGTGCCCCCGTCCGACTTTCTTTGTCCTCCCGCGGCCGCGAGCCGCTGCAACGGCAGTCGCCATGGGTGTCTGCATGAGCTCGGGCACCGACGATGTCGAGCAGAAGAAGCGCAGCCAGGCCATCGACCGCAAGCTGGAGGAGGACTCGCGGCGGATACGGCGAGAATGCAAGATCCTGCTGCTGGGTAAGAGGCGACGGCTGCACCCACGCCGCTGACGGACGCTAACACGCACAACAGGCTCCGGCGAGAGCGGCAAGTCGACCATCGTCAAGCAGATGAAGATTATACACCAGAACGGCTACACGCAGGAGGAGCTGGCCATGTACCGCCTGACCATATACAAGAACGTCATCGACTGCGCCAAGGCCCTCATCGGCGCAATGCGACAATTCGAGATCCAGCCAGAGCACCCGGGCAACGACGAGCACTGCACCTACCTGCTCGAGTACACGGTGGACCCAGATCCAGAGAAGCCCCTCGATGCGCGCGTCGGGCAGGCCATCACAGCCGTGTGGAGCGACCCCAGCATCGGCAAGGTGCTCGAGCACTCGAGCGAGTTCTATCTGATGGACTCGGCACCATAGTACGTCCAACCCAACCCACACCGCACACCAGCCTTTGCGCACATCTGACCATGGCAGTTTCTTTGACGAGGTAGTGCGAATAGCAGACCCCGACTACATCCCCGTAGAATCCGACGTGTTGCGAGCGCGTACCAAAACAACGGGCATATACGAGACACGTTTTAAAATGGAACAATTGAGCATACAGTACGTGCGCACTTCTGCAGCATGCGCAAGCCGTCCACGCTAACCTGAAACAGCATGTTTGACGTGGGAGGCCAGAGAAGCGAGCGCAAGAAATGGATACACTGTTTCGAAAACGTCACATCAATCATTTTCTGCGTGGCATTGAGCGAATACGACCAAGTGCTGTTGGAAGAAAGTTCACAAGTACGGACTCTAGCTGGTTTTTTGGACCCTGGTACTGACTCGCTCGTAGAACCGCATGATGGAAAGCTTAGTACTCTTCGACTCGGTGGTGAACAGCCGGTGGTTTATGAGGACGAGCATCATCCTCTTCCTCAACAAAGTCGATCTGTTCAAGGCAAAGCTTGCGCGATCACCACTCGGCAACTACTTCCCCGACTACTCAGGAGGCAACGACGTCAACCGCGCCGCGAAATACCTGCTCTGGAGATTCAACCAGGTCAATCGCGCGCATCTAAACTTATACCCCCAGTAAGGCCCATACCTGCTTATAGAAGACACTGATCGCTGACCCTGCCTAGTCTCACACAAGCCACCGACACATCCAACATCCGCCTCGTCTTCGCCGCCGTCAAAGAAACGATACTGCAAAACGCACTCAAAGACTCTGGCATATTATAGTTCAACGCGCAATGTCACACCCCCCCACCACGAACGATCACCCAGATATCATCGAATATGGAAAACCCCGCCATTCATATCCCCGGCACATATACTACATAATACACGCCTTACGATCAATCACTCCCGCGCTTGCTCCCATCTAATGCAAAAAAAACCCTCGCCCTCACCCTCACACATACACACAAACAACCCACCCCCTTTCGCTCACGGGACTACCACCCGAGGAAAGGGAACCCGTTTCTTCCTCCTCCTCCTCCTCCTCCTCCTCCATCTTCATTTTCCATTGGGAAGGCGCTGCTAGCGCAAAACATTTTCTGCCAACAATTGCGGCCAGCGCTGGAGTTTCTGGGCGTTGGAAAGATTCCCTGGGATGGGCAATTCTTTGTTTTTGTTTTTTTTCTTGTTTGTTTTTCTTCTGCACTGTAGGGGGGGAGGGGAGGAAACTCGATTTTTTTTTTGCTTGCGAGCGAGCGAGTGAGTGCATTCCAATTCGGCTTGGCTTTGGGCTTTGGGCTTTGGACTTTGGACTTGAAGGGATGGATGGAATCTTTCTATTTGCAACAATTATTTATTTTTTATCATTTGGAGATTTTGTGTTCTTGTTTGGTTTGGTTATGTGTAAGTGGGAGGGTTGGGGGGTTTGTCGTGTTTGGAGACGGAAAAGCCTGAGTGTATGTATGTGTGGGCGAGTAAAGTTAGTTGGTTGGTTTTGGTTCGGGGGCTTCTTGTATGTTATTTGTCTTTCTCTTTCTCTCTCTTTCTTGAATACTCTCTGTATGTGTGTGAGCGTGTCTTTTTCTTTCCCTTCCTTTTTATGATGGGGGAGAGAGGATGGATGGTGGGGTTCGTCGTGTTGAGCTAGGGGGTGGAAGACGAGGGGAGGGAGTCGTGTGAGATGCAAGATGCAAGATGCGTATAAGTACGGGCTGGGATGTATCTACAAACACCCACCTCGACGACTTGGCGTCTTAGAGAATAGGAATAGGAATAGGAATGTCAATATCTACCCATCAACATCATCCCCTCCCCACCACCACCTCAGCAGAACTACCAACCCCCATCTTCTCCCATATCGCACATCCTCTCCTCTCCTCTCCTCTCCTCTCCTCTCCTCCACCCAACCCAAACCAACCCACCAAACAACACCCCCGGCTGCACACCCTCCCGTCCCTCCTTTCCGCCCAAGTATTCAGATCGCTGTGCATGCGACTCATACATGACCGCGGAATAGCGATCGCCGGCTGGGCGGTTTCTGGGTGTGTCTTGGCGAGGGAGGCTCCGCGGGGAGGGGGGAAGAGGGGAGGGTGGATGGATGGATGGATAGATGAATGTATGGGTGGTATATGGTGGTCTGGGACAGGGTTTGGTGTGTACTCCATTCCCCCTAGTAGGAGGAGAACAGCAACGGCAGATGTCCACGTATTTGAAAGCGAAGGGTAAAAGAAAGAGCATACCACCTCCACCTCCACCCCTTCTCATCCAGCGGATGATCTGAAGTCCCTCACCTACACACCTACACAAAACCCACACAACACAACACAAACCCCAGGCCCAGACCTCCCACCTTCTCGCCCCTCAAATCTTCCGCCGGAATCACGCTCACACTTATCCCCGGATGAAGGACCGACTCGGACCCCCCCACCCGCCCGCCCCCTTTCTCCACCCCGCGACCCCACGAATCATGCGTGATGCATCGCGCTGCACAGTGTCACGTTGGTGTTTCTTAGTTTACGGATGACGGGAACTAGTTGGTGGTGCGAGGTGCGAGGTGGGATGGGAAGGGATGGGCGTGGAGCGGGGCGGGGCGGGAATTATGTAGGGGGGAAGTGGACAGTTGGCACGGAAGACAGTGAGACAAGTGAGCACAAGGTCCGAGAGACTGTATCCGTCTCGATCTTTTTGGCATTCAGAAATGCTATACAGCTATATAGTTATGCCAGTGCGAAAGTCAACCCCCAAAACGCCCCCGCACCCCCAATGTAGGATATAGGCTTTTCGAACTTTCTGGACAAGAGTAAGGAAAGGAAAGAACAAGAACAAGGAAAAAAGGTATCATGATGTCGTGAAAACGCCTGCGCGACCCGATTCAAGCCAAGCCTCCTTGCTCGGCTACCGGTGGTCGACGATGCCAAACTCCGGGGCGACTAGTTTGCGTGAAGCATGCAAAGCAAGTCGATGACTGATTTTTTACGCCAACCTAGGCCCTATTGGACAAGAAGCCGCCGGGGATGAAGAACGTCTTTGCGCTCACCTCGCGCGCAGTTGACGGGGGAAGAACATCATGCTTCGCGTTAAGCGCCAGAGGAGCGAAGACCGCGGGGCCCAGGCGCGGAGAGCCGGCTGAGTCGGGGGCAAGTGCAGATGGTGCGGCTGTGTCGGACACGGAGCCGATGGAGGAGAGGGAGGAGATGGAGGCGTGGCGTGGCCCGTGGTGAGCGACGTTGGAAAGAAACCCGTGAGCAGGCTGCTCGGGCTCGGCGGCGGCAGGCATGTTGACTTTGGACTTTTTGATGGGCGTGTTGACTGAGAGGAAGTTTCGCGGGAACGGGATGTGGAAGCTGCTGCTAGTGGTAGCCATGACGCCAGGGTGGTGATTTGGTGATTTTATTTGGTGGGTTTGGTGAGAGAGGATGAGGTTGGTTGGGGGGGTTGCTGGAATTTTTTTAAAGAGGCGACCGGCGCTTCTTTGTATGCGATTGGAAATTAGGGTCGTGAAAGTTCTGTGTAGCTCTGTGCCAAGACTAGATAGCTGGTCCCGTGGGTATGGGATGGATGGATGTGGGATAGTGCGAGTGTGTGCGTCAGATGGCCTCTGTGAGTGGTTGGACTGGAGTAATGATGATGATCTTGTGGAAAGCAAAGTGGCGGAGGATTTATACAGCTTTATGAGTCTGCTAAATTCCGGATTAGGTCGTGTATCGAGTGGTGTGGGGTTGTTCTAGCACAAGAGGCTTGGTAAAAGCAGGGCAGACCCTGACCGTGCAGCGCGGGATGTCGCAGCTGTGTCAGCACGCGCTAGACTTGGCGATGGAGCTTTGATATCACGGAGTTAATGTGAGTGGCCTAACGAGTCGACGATGCACCGACAATCAAGCCTCGGCGGGTCGATGCTTCTGTGGGGTGCGTATGCTTTGATTTCGTCTGTGTCGCGGCTAGTGGCAGGTGGAGATTCCAAGCTTCTTGGTAGATCTCCGTGTTTCGACGTAGTTATTGGTATGCTGTGAAAATGGTTCCAGCAAGGTTTGAGAATTTGATGAACGCTTGGGAGTATCGAGGTCGGGGAGACTTTGATGGTTGATCAGGACGCTTGGCGAGTGTTGAGGGAAGTTTGACGCGGCGGAGTGGGGATGAGATGAGACACAGCAAGACGTAAACAGGAGGCAATTAGGAACGACACCAAGCTGGGTTAAATACGGGGGATGGGCTCTTTCTGCCAGGGTGGTTAGGCGCGGTATAAGAAGTTGCGATCGGGCTCACGGAGTTGAACCAGGAAAAATTGCTCCGAGGTCCAGGTTATGCAGCCATGAGACCATGAAAGACCTGCTCCTAAGATATGAAATTTTCAACTGAAAAGTATTCAGATACGAAAATTGCAGCAGCTTCATGCAGTCCCGCTTGGTCGAGACTTTCGAGCGCATGCATGACCATGTTGAGGCGCTAGAAACAATCGCAAGTGGGCCAGATTTCAGCACAATCACCACGTTTGTACAGTGAGACTGCTCGGTGGTCGTGGACACGGTGTAGTCCTGTCGAGGCGCCATGCATGACGAAAAGGCTTGATGTAGATGCTGCAGACACCCACAAACCCACAAAATCTTGTCATCCGGTCACTGATTGACCGAGCTTGCATAAGCTTGCCTGCGTGTGACGGCCTATGATTGTCCATGGCCCACGGTGCCCGTAGCTATCTACAAGCGCTACACATTCGGACAAACGTTCCAGGACCAGGACAGCGGTGAAGGGGCGGGTTTCGCGGATAAGGGGATTAACTCGGCATTATCAAAATGTAGAGTGTAAGCCGTGGGTAGCCTGGACGCGTGGAATCGTATTAAAATTCGCAATGGATGGTGTGATGGAGAAGAGCTGGACGAATGGATGGCGGGGGTCTAGTGCCGAAGGCTGACATACGGCACACCCATGCAACAACAACAGCAACGACGACAACAACAAGAGCTGCGAGCGCTCTCACGCGGTACCCCTCCTTGTCAAATCTATATGCAAAAACGACCTCGACCTTGAGTATGGAGTTGCCTGTCTTCTTGTCCTCTCGTCTTTTCGTCTTTCGTGTAGGACGTTGCGTGAGACCGACAACGACGGGCACGCACCTGGATTGGCATCACGTCGGTTTTAGCGTCCTAGATTGGCGACTTGCGTTCCCCGGAACGTGCAATGAGATCGAAGTGTGGAGAAATGGCGGGTGATTTTGGTGGTGTGACCATCATCATCTTGTGGGGGTTCCGTGTCTCCGCAGACAACATGTCGCAACGCTGAGTGTCTGCTACACCGTCGGCTCCATCTCCTGACACCAATAGATCCGTGCATACTGAAGCCATATCTTCCCAGTAACTTTAGTATTCCGGGGGGCTTCCCCGCCCGTTAGTTGCCGTCGCCTTGCGCTTCTGTTGAGCAGAAGCCACAAATAGAATTCGAAGCAGCTTGCTTAGCCAAGGGGGTGAAAATCAAGGACTCTACCGTGTACGCACCTATCTTCTAGACCTGGACAAAGCCACTAGAAGCTTGATACCCCGCTCCCTGTACCACATGGACCTTTTCAATGCCGCTTTATGTCGTCCCACTGTGGTGCAGTATTGGCGTCGTCTCGACCAAGCAGATGGCAATCGCAATCACGATGTTGTGACGGATGCAGGGAGTGGATATCGGGGGACTTGGGGGTGCCAGCCACACTTGGGAAAGTATATGCAGAGACACATGAGGTGGGAGGTAGGACAGAAGGTACATCGACGTATTCGATGTGCTGTCATGGCTGGGTAGACGATGGTGATAGGCGAGGGAGGTACTGCATGCTACAACAAGTATACCGCGATTGAGTAGACTCCTCTGCCAATGTCAGTACGTGTGCCCTTGTGGGTGTAGTGGTCAGTCTACAGCTTCATGAGGTTCATAGTGAACGACGGTGAAGTTGCCAAATTCGTGTCACATAGCCCACAACCATACCTTCACAATCGATATGTTCTAACATCAATTAGCAATGGTGTCGGTTTCTAAATCGTCGTTGCTCAAGACAATTCGCATGGCTAGTCTGATTCTGGCTGTGCGGAAAAGTATCAGTCCTTAGTCATCTCGCGTTTCATTTAGACGTCAACTGCATTCGTCCGCCGCAACTCCTTCTTCATATTCTCAAAAAGCCTTCCGCAAGTCTCAAGTGCTACGATTGCTACTCCATATTTCAGCTCTTGGTCATAATTCCCGTCTCCGATTCTGATGACGTCACAACTGTCCAGTGTTTACCGCGGAGGAAATGTGCATCGTAGTGAGAGCAAAAACATTGGCCACGTATGAATCTGCACAGAACACTTATTAGAACTCAACAGGTACTCTTCTCTGAAATGTACGCCAGTCTCTGCTTTCATTGCGACGCATACTCTCTTTGCTTCCCTCTCCTTGTTCGTCCACATCATTCTCGCATCCGTTGTCCCATGTTGACGAACGTTGATACAATGTGTTCGCGTGAGTTTTCTTTTGGCTCGTCATATATTCCTGCACTCGTGCGTTTGTCGGTGGTACCTGTACGATGCGACTCTCAAGTCATCGACGCTTCCACTCTGGTATACAGCCACGCTCCGGCCATGCAATCAAGTTCTGAATGCTCTTCACAACACTAAACACCACCGGTTTATCCTGCTACAAAAACCGTCTTTCACCTTCTGTACGCCATGTTTCTCGGTAGTCCTATCAAGGCGCAGGTGGCAGCGATCAGCTGCAAACGCAAATCCGCCCAATCTCTCATATCAAAGGACTCATCTTTTGTCTTCACTTCACCACCTTTCACCACGTCTAACTTGCTCACCACAATAGCGCGCCAATTGGTCTGAGCTCGCACACTCTCGTTTAAAAGAAGCCCATTCCCACAGTCACCTCTGACCTTTTCCACCACACTCCAACTACCTCATATTGCACCCACAACACACTCTTTTGGCCGCATACGCGCTTGGAACGTATTCAGCTACGCATACTTAGCTCGATTCAACAAGATGTCTCACAAGAACGAGAACCCCGCTGAAGGTACGGCTTCCCAGCGTTTGATTTTGTCGTCCCCTTTGCTGCCTTCGAGAACTACATGCGTGGACACTTGTACTCACAACACAGCTGCTGAGATCGCTACCGAAGTCGCTACCGAAGTCACTGCCGGAGTCACTACCGAAGACGCCGCTGAAGTCGCCGCTGAAGTCGCTGCAGAGGCCACTACTGCAGTTCAGTATGACGAGTGGCAAGTGAAAATCTTGGCGGACATGGCTGGATTGGTCCTCCAAGGTACGCATGCTTCATACTCATCAAGCATGGTCGAAACTCTTGCTCACTGTTCAGATGTTGTCTTCAAGCCTGTGGAGACCCGCAACGACACGGTCGTAAGTAAATCTGGTCGTCCTATGTACCATGGGTTCTTGATGCTAACTCCCTTGCCCCTAGGGATGTCCCTTTCTACCCAACGAGATCATTGGTGAGATCGGTCGACATGTCACGAACGCCGCTGACTTCGGCAACCTGCGTCTTGTCAACCAGCGCTTCAACGGTGCACTGAACACTGCCTTCGTCAAGAACTTCGGCAATGGTCGAGTGATCTATCCAAGGTATGATTCATTCAAGAATTTCTTTGCTTTTCTGGCGAATGTCAACGTAACTAGCCATTACGTTGAACATATTGTTTTGGTTGCGGAGGGACTCAAGGAGAATGTCTATGGGTACGACTGGGCTTGGGAGGACTTGGTGAATTTCGGCGACATCGAAGTCAACAGTGAGGATATTGCCTACACCAACGCTGCCAATCACGCACACTTCAACGCCGTGATGGCCAACGATCCGTTTCTACATAGCGGCGGCTACCGGTCGCTTCTCGGTTTGTTGCTCACTCGTCTTCCCAACCTTCGCACCATCAAGGTCCGCAAGATGACTCCCGGCGAGCACAGCCCCGGCTGGAAGGGTCCCTACCTGCTCAAGCAACTCTCCTTCTACACGCCTACTCTCAACACGAACCCCATCTACTACGGCGACTGGCAGTACGACACCGTCCACCGCCGCGTCACGGTTCACAAGGATGAGTTCGGTGACGACATCGCCGAACCCAATGCCGGTCCTCAGGCGTCGTGCGTTAACGATATCGAAGCTGCCATCACCGCAACCGGTCACGGTGCTCGCGTCGTCTTCCTTCCCTCGGTCTAGACGGCTTCACATACCTCTTCACACATCTCGACACGTTGGCTCTTCGCTTGCTCGAAGACCTTGAGTTGCAGGAGTGTCTGAACACACGATATTGATGCTTTTCTTGCTTTCTAGCATCAGCTGTAAGTCACCTTCCCTTCCTACCATCTCACTCCAACCACTAACAACATCACAGGATGCACATAATCTCATCCGTCTACTATCGGATCTGCGACGGAGGAGATAAATGCGGGAGGAGTAATGGTTTGCTTGCTTTGGGGGTTACACGTGTAGGATATCTCGAATGGGTTGATACTTCATCTGGAGAGTTGCTTCCTGAGTCACTTTGGTCACTCAACAAGCATGCTTAGCTGGAGGATACTTAATGCAACCATCTACTCCTCACTTCAACATATGCTCTTGGTGTGATGTGAAAACTTCAGTGCGTATCTATCAATCGAGATCGCATGGTGTCTATGATGTGAAGGACTGGAGTTCCTCAGTGCGTTGTTGACTGTCGGTTGATCACGGGCGCATGAGATCTGCACACGACATGTTCCCAGCCAGTTGAAGTTCAAATAGCTTTGTATATGTCCCTGCTTGCTCGGAATATAACCCATAGTGCCAGTTCTATTCTACACGCTCGAATACCCTCCATCAACCGGCAGCCCAATCCCCGTAATCCACGCCGCATCCTCGCTTGCCAAAAACACTGCCGCCCGCGCGATATCGTCCGGCGTGCCCAAGCCGCGGAACGGATGTTTCGCCTCGATCTCTTTGATTACTCCCGCTGCCTCAGGCGTGAGTAGATTTGCAAGGAAGGAAGTTTGTGTGTAGCCGGGACATAGAGCGTTTACGTGAATACGATGAGGCGCGCAGTCCCAGGCCGCGGATCGTGTAAGGCCCATGACAGCGTGCTTGGAGGTTATGTAGGCCGCTTGCGAAGAAAGTCAGTATATAAGTGAGTTTGGTAAGAGTATGGGGAGGGTAGTGGAGCATTGAACTTACCGGTCCCAGGCCCGCCTCCTAGTCCAAACACCGACGCCAAGTTTATAATCCAGCCCCGATCGCCATTGGGATGCGGAGTCTGGTCTTTCATCTGTCGGGACGCAAATTTGAGGCCGTAGAAGACGCCTTTGACGTTTATATCTAGCGTCTTGTCGAAGGCGTCTTCCTCAAACTCCCAGATCGGTCTGTGGCCGTGGGTTCCGGCTTCCATCGCGATTCCTGCGTTGTTCACGAAAATGTCCACTCGTCCGAACTGCTCTACGGCTTTATTGACCAGTGCTTCCACATCCGAGGATGATGTTGTGTCGCATTTCAGGTAAATGGCTTTTGCGCCTAGTTTCTCTGCTTCTTGCACGGTGGTGAGGTCGGATGAGTCGGTGCGGTATTCTGTACGAGCCTCCTCACGAATGTCGGAGCAGACTATGGAGGCGCCTTCACGGGCGAATGCCAGCGCGGTTGCACGACCTATGCCAGAAGAGGAGCCTGTTATGACGGCGATTTTGTTTGCGAGACGGCCGGGCATGATTGCTTGAGAGATCGGAGTTGGAGTTTGGAAGGTCGGGAGATGGCGAGGTGATATGGAGCTATCTTTGTGAGCTTGAGAGGAAAGATAACATAGTTGATTAGAGACAACCATGCGTCTTTTAAGTTCAACTACCCATACCTTGGGTAAGTAGTGAGGGGTTCGTGTGGAGCTTGCTTCCTCGGCCTAGTCGAGTAAGCTTTTGAGGTCAATTAGTAGCAAATGCGATACCCATGAGAGATAGTATACTTGATTCACTAACTATGTGATATTGCCTCCTCTGGTCACGAGGGATACTGATAGGCGTCTGTTGAGAGATCGTAAGATTAATATGTCGTCTTACCCGGGAGTATACAACGCAATCCATGGGTGATTTCGACGAGGCCAGCGTGCACAGTCATTGTCAAGACATTTTGAACCGGGAAGGCCCCAAGCTTGCCTCCGACATCTCATATATGGAAGCGCTTGTCAGAAGAGCTTGCGTAATGTACTCGCCTAAGGCTTGCAGGCCGAGCTCAGATGTGGGCGTACGCCCCAGAGCCCGAGGCAAAGCTTGTATATATCTTCACAGCATATAGAGACCCACCAGATGTATACTGATGAAAGTCTGAAACACAGGAGGCCTGATGAGGATTGCGTACTTGAATGGTTGTGTAAAGGCCAATGCGTGGTGTGGGGTAGTCTAGACTCGTTTGAGAAAGTTAAGGTCTCGAAGAACATCACGTCATCGCAGGTCAAACACAACAAAGACAATCTGACGGACGAAGAGAAAACTAACCCGTCGTTTCTCTAGGAAAGTCTTCGTCGCTCTCCACGCATCGGACACAATGACGCCCCCGGACTCCAATGACCCAGAACCATTCCCATGGCATCTAGGCGTATACGATGCGCACTGCCACCCCACAGATACTATGTCTACCATTTCCTCGATTCCGGCCATGAAGACCCGCATCCTTACCGTGATGGCCACACGAATTCAGGATCAAGATCTAGTCACGTCGACGGCAGAGACCCACGGTATCAGGTCATCAGATCCTGCGAAGTGGTCAAGAGATGAGTGTGTAGTCCCGTGTTTTGGATGGCATCCATGGTTTGCACATCAAATGTACTTCGATGATGAGCAGAACCACAGAGAGGGAGAGAAAGATACGGGCGAGCTAGAAGGCCAAGCAAAACTCATCCACTACCAAAACGTATTCCAGCCACACAGAGAGGTCTTGAGCGAGGAAGATCAAGAAATCCTCCAATCCCTTCCATCTCCCATCCCATTTTCCGCCTTCCTTGCCGAAACTCGGGAGCACCTAGTCAAATACCCCTACGCCCTCATCGGTGAAGTAGGCCTCGACCGCGCATTCCGTGTTCCCTCAGCATGGTCACCTTCAGCATGGTCGCAACGCGACACCACAGTTACACCGGGGGGTCGGGAAGGTCGGCGTCTGACTCCTTTCCGCTGCAGCCCTCAACATCAGAAGAGAGTTTTTAAGGAGCAACTGCAACTCGCGGCGGAGATGGGACGGGCTGTGAGTGTACACGGCGTGCAAGCACATGGCTTAGTATTTGAATCGTTGCAAGAGCTATGGGCAGGCCACGAGAAGGTAGTCCTGAGCAAACGAGAAAAAAAGCGGCGAGGTGTCGACCACGAGTCCGTCGCGGCGTCCATGGACGACAGCGATGCGAATCCGAGCCCGAACGCGAACGCGCAACCACAGCCCTATCCTCCAAGAATATGCCTCCACTCTTTCTCTGGCCCGCCCTCGGTTCTTAAACAATACTTGAATCCCATCATACCTGTCCGTATCTTCGCATCCTTCAGCACAGCGATCAACCTCTCCGACGCCCTCGATTCAGAAACGCCCGCAGCCTTTGAGGATGTCATCAAGACTGTACCAGACCATATGCTGCTTGTAGAGAGCGACTTAGACCGCGCAGGAAGTGACATAGATACGCGAATGGAAGACATCATACGAAGGATATGTCGAATCAAAGGATGGAATCTGACAGAGGGAGTACAGCAGCTGGGCAAGAACTGGCATGGCTTTGTTTTTGGATCGTAATGATGCAGCACAGGGCTGGACGAAGATATAGACAGCGGTAGATGATGTCTTCATAAACGCGACGTCGAAGATATACTATGTTTGATATGTGGGTATGCTTCGCAAATATCATTCCAGCAGTCATTTGCTCAAAGTGTTGATACTTTGCATACTGACTGTACGACTGACGATAGTTACAGCTTGTGCTGGCGAAGAAAGAAGCTCCCAACGAAAGCAGTGAGCGACCACAGGAATGACATGACTGCGAATGTCTGTTAGCAAAGGTCTTGCCAAACACTACGCTCGACTCACGGTGTGCCCAAGTCAACGCCTCAACATACGAACTCCTAATAATACCGGCCACGAGCGGCTTTGCTTTATCCAAATAATGCAGGTCAGATACTGCGTGTTCAATGATGCTCCACTTCTTCTTGTCAGCAAGATCCAGCTCGCCAAGTCGACGATTGAGGCACTTCCTCAAAGCTCCCTGCAACACGGCGCTGGCTCCCGCCATACCAGCCAATGAGCCAACCGAAGACGACAAGTACAACGTCGAAGCAGCGATGGCCGTATGTGTTGGGTCAATAGCAGCTTGAACGCTGATGAAGAGCGCCGACTGCGCGATGCCAGTGCCAAACCCACCGGGGATGATGTACAAAGACTCCAGCCAATTAGTGTTGCCGTGCCAGCGGAGGATGAGTAGCAGATAGCCGATCGATGCGCCTAATGTCGCTACGATAATCAAGGACTTATAGCGTCCGGTGCGCTTGATAATGATTCCAGAGAGAATACCGCCAACGGCGTTGCCTACCACAGCGGGGGAAAGATGCAAACCAGCAACCGAGTTTGATGCACCGGCGGTTACCTGAAAGTATAATGGAATGGACAACATCATTCCGGTTTGGGCTCCGACTTGAAAGATCATGGTGAGAGACGAGACGACTATGTCCCTGTGTCGCAACAGCGACAGTGGGATAATTGGTTCCCGCGCAATCCATGCTTCTGTTGCGAGGAAGAGCGTGCCACAGACAACGGCTGTACCGAAGAGGAGGAAGATAATGGGGCTGGACCACGGAATGCGATCACCGCCGATCTCAAGAGGAAAGAGAAGCATGAGAATGGTTAATGTCAGGAGAGTCGCACCGAGAAAATCCACCCGCGCCAGCTTACTGCCTTGCTCGCCCTTCGGCATGTCTTCATCAAGATGGTGCTGAACGCGAGGTGGTAAGGTAATGGCAACCAGGATAATGGCAATACCTGCCAGTGGGACCTGCCCAAGGAACGACCATCTCCAGCCCACAGCATCCGCGAGCCAGCCGCCCAACGGGCCCCCGATACTGCGACCTGTAGTTGCGACTACATTGACATAGGACCGCCAGCTTGCAACCTCCCTCAGAGATACGAGGTCAGTAATCAGAATCGACACAAGAGCCGTCATGCCTGCCGACCCTGCTCCCGACACAACTCGTCCAACAATCAAGTGCGACATAGATGTTCCCATGCCAACCATTCCACATCCAACAGCGAACAAAGTATACGCCAACAGCAGCAGTGACTTGCGGCCGTAGATATCGCTAATTTTGCCGTACAAAGGCTGCGAGGCTGCCTGTGCTAGGGCAAAACTGGTCAAGAGCCAGCTGGAGTCGTGAAGGGCGTTGAATTCTGACGCGATAACGGTGTGGGTGGCGAAAAGGAGTGAAGTGTCGGCGTTTGATATGAAGCTACCGATCAGGAGGACGCTGACAATCTGGCCGACAGAGGTCGTTCCGGCATGATTCTTATGGGAGGGTTCATCGAGCCTTGCTTCCTCGTCCAGACATGTCTTGGAGTGCGTCGGTTTTGGTGGTTGATCGGTCGATACTTGGGTAGATGATAGACACAGGCTGCTCACTGAAGACCCGGTGTTATCCTGAAGCAATAGAGGGGTTCGCTCCGTGCTGCTTTCAGCGTCAAGTGAAGCCATGTCATCGGTGAATCGAGAGCGAATATGACAAGATGATGTGCACAACGAAACGCAGATATAGGGAAAACATCAGTACAGAGAGCAAAACTCTTCATTTCGAGTCATCGAGTGTATGGAAGATCGACAGCATGGGTCACGTTTGCCGGCTGCAGGGTCTGGTATTCCCGATGCCTGGATTGTGGAGCTCGCTGATGTTGCAACACAAGCAACCAATTGCGCGATCGGCACATCTCGAAGCCACAGCTTGTATCACCAAGCCACGCATAAACCTCTATAACACTCAGCCTGGGTTTGTTCAAACCGGTGGTTAGACCTAGTCGGCTAATGATCTTCATGGGTGAATACAAAGCCGTTTTTCTCAAACGGCAGACCTTCGGCATCGACTGTACTCGACCTTCTTCTGTTGTACTCCATAGAGGATGTCGAATCTGGGCAACAGAGCCTCGTCTAGCTTCTCAACATTCCCCGCTGGGCGGGGTGCACGCCATGGCTCGATGCAAGTGAGGCCCTTGCAAGACTTCAACATAAACAACAACGCGTCAAGTCTGGCTGCGACCTTCGGAAGTGGAAATCCTACCAACGTCTGATCCCCGTCACCGTGGTCTAGCAGATTCCGTAGCTGGCACAGATCGTCCTGTTCAAGTGTCGCCCGAGGGGGATGGGTGCGGTAGCCTAGCCTACAACCTCTTCGATCGGCCCGTCCACTACTTCAGTGAATTTGACATTACTATGAGGCAACTCTTAGAAATAATTGCTTACTTCTTTGACGGCGTCACTCAGAGAACCATACGCTTTGGAAGCGACGACTTCGATCGTTTGATTGCCCTAGTGATGGACAGGTGCGTCTTTGTTTCGCTGGTATGTTGAGTTTAGGTATTCGTACGTAAAAGGGTCAAGCAGAATATCCTGTGCGTTGTTGATACGTTCTGACCAAAAGCAAGTTCGATTACGCTCATCGAACCAGTGAAGCCTTTCACGTAGGGTGCATAGTAGTTGTCAATTGAGTGTGAGTTGAACAGCTTCCCCGTGTAGTAAGTGTTTTATACAGCTTCTTGGAGCCAAACTGGCAGAAAATTGTCGTTAAGTCCCTGGCTGAGATAAGCTGGCCGATGAGTCCAAGGATCCAAAACAACGATGCCCGTGTCGTCGTGAAAGTAGTACAAGTGAACAAAACACAACACAACACTTTTGTTACTTCCTCCCCGTGATTCGAGGCGTGATTGATAAATGAAACTAACAGCATGCTTACCTCGCTCCAGTGTAGTAGCCAGAATTGTGTGCTCCACGCCTGCGATCACCACACAGCTCCTGGAGCAGGGTCATGGGAACAGTGCCTCAACTTCTTGATAGTTACACGTTCTAGTGAGTTGCAGAGATGCAGTGTCTCGAGTTATCAGGTTCCAACCGAAGAGTTATGCGATCCATTGAAGGTCAGACAGTGCGGTGATTCGGAACGCGCTGAAGTGACGGTAAACTGTCTTCCGGAACTATGACGTAACGCGTTCTCTTCACCTCAACGCGTCGTCCACTTCCCACCCTCGCTACACATCGAAATTTGCAACACGTGAGATTGAATTTCTTCTCAAATGGCCCTAATGAAGGACTGTGTTGTTATTGACGGCTCGCGTGATGGTTCCTGCCATTCATGTACAAACGCGTGAGCACGTGGAGAGTTGAAACAGATGCAAATGACGAGGGCAATGCCAAACGTTGAAGGCAGTAACCTTTTGGTCTGACAGTTCCTTTGTGTGTGTTCCGATATGCAGGTGCTTTGTTCATCTAATTCAAGTATGCAGGTCAGCAATGATCAGTGCTCCTTCCAGTTTGCCCAGACGGAAACCGCAAGAGGTGATCACAGATTCCCAAGATGAACGGCAGCTTCCATCTTTCCGGCCTGATCAATTCTGCTTGCTAGCTGACAATCGTTCACCCTGGACTACTATAACACCAGATCATCGCTATACACATTACTCACCACCACTGCTACCCAACAGAGTGTACTATCGTTAGACTTCGTAACCAACGCACGTAAGTCCTAGGCCGCACGACAACATAAGCTGTCCATGCTGACTACATAGATTTTCGTTTGCCGCACACCTTCGCCGAGAGTCCGGACGTCGTTGCGCCGACACCGATCACTTCTGCATCGCAAAGCCTATCTCTATCAACAATGCACGATCAAATTCGAGAGAGCAGTCCGCCATCTGACGGGGATATGGACTATGAACTTTATGCTATGCCTAGTAAGATTAGACACATGGGTCTTTGTATCTCTGATCTGATTGCTCACGATATCACAGACGCCAACCTCATAGTCACCGAAGACGAAATTGATCCACAAGAAGACCTATCTTCTGCGTTCCATGAACAACTATCTACAAGCGATCCAACCGCGAACAATAAAAACGGACATGAGGGCACCTCTCCACATTACCCTCAGCACTCCCAACGCAAGAATCGATTCGACCAAGCCGTGTATACCGAAACGCTTGAAATCGATCCGCTTGTGCACAGTGATCAGGCCATACGAAATGAATGTGCGCTTTCTCCGTCTTTCTCGCCGCCAGAAGAGTGGCAAGCTATCGATCGTGCTAGTATCAAGCGCATCGATGAGGAAGGTCAAGCTTTCGTTTCAAGACTCGGAGATCGAGAACGAGAAATTGACGCTATGAACGCATCCATTTGCTCAGATCAATGGCCGTATACTATGCCCGAGAGCTGGAATAAACTAGACCTATTCAAGTTGGCCAAGCATCCTCAGCTCCATGCGTTCTACGCTCAACAGGATCTCATCATACGCCAGCTCATAGAGACCCGCATTGAGTTCATCAAAGGGGCTTGTTACACTGAGAGGGAGGGTGGCTTGGATGCGGAACACCAGTACTTGAACAAACAGCTATTCTGTCATTATGGTGATAGGGAAGACGACAAGGCACTTGGCGAAAATCTTCTGAATCGGGAAATGCAGCAAATGAAGATTCAGGAGGATGTCTTGCACGCATTACCAGCAGCTGCGGCCAAGCCAGATTTGCGCGAATCCATGCTGGATTACCCAAACCTCGATGGTCAGCTCGACCAACTTGGTAGCACCGACGTCCACGCCTTCCCACTGATTCTGCATGAGAGTGATGACAAACAACAAGACCCTCATACCGTTGCTGAACCGCCAGAGAGTTCAACTACGGCACAAACTAGCGCGGCCGCCGAAGCGTCCACCTCTAGTCCTCCGCCACCAAATGAGCAGCCAGCCGCAGACACACCAGCGCCACAAGACTCAAACTCTCCCAACACTGTCATCCCAGACAATGGTCAGCCAACGTCACAAATTTATCTGATGGTACCAATTACACTCCCGCCTCATATGCGATCAGTTGGTGTCCCCGGAACGCCTATGAACTCGCCTTCGCCCGCACTGTCGAACGATGTGGTAGACCAAGGACCTATCCCCGTCAGACTAGTATCGCGACTGGAGCGTATTGAGAACGAGAGGCGTCAATCTGCCGGGGAGGATGCAACTCACGGTAGCGGGAACAATACACGACTGCCAAGCGAGGAGGGAGAAGGTAAGGAGGCTATCTCACGCTTTTATCAATCTTGTAAGCTGCAAAGCGCTAACTGCAACAGGAATCGGACGCATAGGACCGGTCAACAGCGTCGCGGAGTGGCAGGCAGGCGTAGCGAGATCAGGCGGCGCTGCGGAACAGTCTACAGATCAACCTAGCAAGCAGACAGATGAGGACGAGGATGAACGGATGAGTAAGTGTGCGAGACTTGAGGTTGGGTTCTGAGAGACTACCCCATTAACATGCTTGCTCACACGCGTCTCACAGGCGATACATAAAAAAATCGCAGACATTCGCGCGTACATGGTCATGGATGAGAAGTGCTACCAGGCGCAAATGGAACAATTGGAATGGGAGATCGAGCTTGGGAACCTTGTCCCCAGCCCTGGCCATGCCAATGATATTTACGATAACAATGAGGCCGCCGAGTATGAGCCGCCGACTGTTCGAGAGGAGATGTTCGACTGGTGGGGTAGACGCCAGAAGTGGGCAGTTAAGCTCGAGAGGGGAACCGAGAGCAGAGAGTATGAGGGTTTCATTGCGAAGATGGATGGCCTTGTTAAGCCGGAGCTGTGTCGGACGATCACCGGGGAGCGGGTGAGATTTTCGCGGCAAGTTGTTGTGGGTATATCGTGCGATGACGTTGATACGTCGTGAGGCCTTTTCGGGGGGTTATGGTATGGGAATTGAGCTTTCTTCTCTTGTCTGCTGTGCTTGACTTCTTGCCTTCTTCCATGGAATTGTAATGTGGATTGATTTGAGTCAAAATGGCGGGGACATCTGGGTTAAGAAGCATAAGCCTGTTGTGTTGGGGTGGACCTATGGTCAACGCAGGTATTTGAGGGGAATTGAAGCGAAGTTGTTGTACTCGAATTCTTATTCCACGGGAAGAAAGGTTCATGCTTCATCTCCCCATCCGTGTATATATGCATGCATGCAGTCACCAACCCCCCAGCCAACGCCCACAATGAATAAAATGAAAAAGATGGGACCCGAAAAACGCCAAAGCCACACGATGCATGCTTCCTCGCACCAAAAAGCCACCCCCATCCCCTCCCACGCCATATACCTCCTACCTGAACAAGCTCCTCAGCTCCTCCAACCGCTGCTTAGTAGCCTGTTCCTTCGTCTTCCTCTCCCTCGCCATCGTCAAATCAGCAAGCGCCTTCTTCTTCCCCTGCAGCGCGAGCATCTTCTCCTCAAAACTGCCATCCATAATAAACCGCTTGATCGTCACCTCGCGGTCCTGGCCCAAGCGGTGCACGCGGTCGACGGCCTGCGCCTCAGCGGCGGGGTTGAACTGCGGCTCCATCATGAAGACCTTGTTCGCGGTCGTGAGGTTGAGTCCTAGGCCGCCGGCCCCGATGGATACGAGCATCACGCGGATGGAGGCGTCTGTGCGTAGGCGCTGCATGGATTTGTCGCGTGCGTCGCGCGTCATGCGCCCGTCGAGGCGGACGTAGGGATGGCCGTGGTTTTTCAACGCGATCTCGATGAGGTCGAGGTGTGTTGTCCAGGAGGAGAAGACGATGCTGGGAGGGTGGGGTGGTTAGTTTGGATGGAATGTGGGGGTGTGGTGACTTACCTCTTTATGGGTCGCTCTTCTGGGTGCGCGTCGCTCCACTCTTTGTGCTCCATTAGGTCGTTTAGGAGCGCTTGGGTCTTTGTGTGCGGGCCGGTGTAACTCCCGACTTTCTTCGCCAGCTTGGGGTCGTTGCGGATCCGCTCGCGCTCTTCTTGGAATGTGTGGTAGTCGTTGAGCTTCAGCTCGAAAGCTACTGGTCGCACTCTGTCCTCGCAGAAATGGCATGAGACGAATCCGTCTGGGAGAGGAGCGTCTCGCCAGCTAGCTTTCAGCTTCTTGAAGTGCGTTGGACAGACGAGATGATAACATGGGGTCATGAAGCCGATTGTGTCGGACTGGCTGCCCTCTTCGTCTTCGTCGTCAGATTCGACTGCTAGTAGGGATTTGCGGCAGTATGCGCAGTGATCGGAATCCGTCTGGTCGAGAAGTTCGAGCATTTCGTACGCTTGCTGGCGATTCAGGGCGGGAGTTTCCTCTTCCTCGTCTCCAATCTCCATAGGCTGGTCGTATGTCATGCCGTCGGTGGTCTTCAACGCCTCGTCGCTGAGCAGGTCTCGCCCGTGGGCGCAGATAAGCCGGAGATTGAGAATGGCAGTCAGGATCCTAGCGTACGAGTTCCCGCCCATCTTGTCTCCCTGGGTCACTGCATTGACTTTGCGTTGGGTGTCTCGCTCGAACCAATCGTGCAGCTGCTGTTCCTCCTTTGAGAATTTCAGCCGAACAATGTAGTCATTGCGCGCGGGTACTTCGTCCTTGATGATCTCCTTCGTTCGACGGATGGTTACGGTGCTGACTAGGAGCTGTAACTTGGGCACTACTTCAGGATCGGCAGCCTTGAACGGAGCGAGGATGTAGTGGTTGAAGCCATGCGACGTTTCGAAAGGACTCAATTGGATGAAGTTGAACAATGCGCCAAGGTCCTGTTTCCACGGGTCAGCATGTATTGGAGTAAAACGGACAATAAAGCTTACCTCAAGACGATTCTGCACAGGCGTACCTGTAACGGCCCATCGCCGCTGCCCAGGAAGCGAGCATGCTGCTCTCGACTGGCCTGTAGGATTGCGAATCATGTGCGCTTCATCCAGCACGATGCGGAACCAGTTAATATAAGGGAGAGGACGCTTCCTGTCCAACAAATCCTTCGCGATGATGTGGTATGTAGTCACTACGATATCGTGTTCCGCGAGCTCTTTGAACTGCACGTTGAAGCGCTCAGTGCCGTGATAGCGTGTCCACTTCAACGTACTCTTGCCCGCCGGGAAATGGTCTTTGATCTGATCCTTCCAGTTGGTCATGGTACTAAGAGGACAGACAAGTAGGGTAGCTCTGCTGTTGATGAGAGGTTGGATGAGTTGGGAGCCTTGGGGTAATCGAGGTGGCAGCTTGGCAGCAAATGCCCTCGCATCAGATATCGATGATGTGTCCGCAACCAGAGATAGGACACTGAGTGTCTTGCCCAGACCCATCTCATCGGCCAGGATGCCACCGCGACAAGGCTTTGGCTTCTGTGTCACCTCCTCGCCGGTGATGATATGGATGTAAGACTTCCGACCGTTGTCGCGGAAGTGAGGCTTCCAGAGCGTATCCTTGCGGTTGTCATCTTCCGCACCTGTGTGATCTTGTTCCTTGTCCCACATGAAGTACAAAGCTTGCTTCTGGTGAGGATAGAGCTCGGTCTTGATGTGTGTTGACGGTTCCCGTGTTGGGACAATCTCGGAGGTGCTAACTACCGTGTCAAACACATTCTGTACATCCTCGCGAATCTCATCAACGCTCCTTAGCACGTAGCTGCTCGATCCGGTGCCGTTCTGGTTGGAAACGGCTGCCTGGAATGTGGGAGCCTGCTCTTTGTTGAACGATCGCTCAGGAACCTGCGGGTTGTAGTAATCGAACTTGCTCAGCTCGAAACAAGGATCGATGAGATCAAGGCCTTTCGCCTTGAGGTATTTGCCAATACCGTGGGCGTTCTTCCGAGGACAGTACAACTGTGTTGTCATTGCAAGAAGACCTGAGAAGGGCGAGCCCGACGGGCCTTCATTCTGCGCCTTCCGTCGCGGATCGGTCCATGTCATCCACAGCATCCCATTAGTCTTCGCAGAATCCATAAGAGCTGCAAGCCCCTGTGCGGTCTTCATATCGACTTTCCCGAACTCTTTGCCTGTGGGGTCGGCAACCATGATGGTCAAGTTGTTCTTTTGCCCGCCAGATCTCCGAAAAGACACCTTTATCCGGCTCTGAGCTCCGTGGTTGCCAACGTACTTCTTCGGGTCGGGGAACGGAACTGTATGCGCTTGAATGTATGTCTGTTTGACTTTGCCAATGCATATAACCTGGTTGCTGTTGTCGTCAACAATCTGCATATCATCGTCGTCGCCTGGAGATGAGTCAGCATGGTCATCAAAATTTATGTGGTGGTAAACTCACTCATGGTCAGGTCGATTGCGGACCCTTGGACTTGTGGCGCTTGAGGAACAGGTGGCTGATCATCGTTGCTCGATTTCAAGTCAAGAGTGCTGCCGCCGTTGAAGTTGGCGCCGCCGGCGGTAGTCTTGCGCTGGCCATCGGTCTTGATGCGCTTGGCTGGTGATGCAGTGCGCTCATGAACGTTATGGAGGCGCTCGACAAGGGAGACCTGACCGATAGAGGCGTCGGCGCGCCCGCGGTCAGCTTCTTCTGCAGGTCGCTTGCTTGGCGTGGGGTTAAGCAGCGCTCGTGGGTCGTATTGCGTGGGTCCTGGTACAGATGCTGCAGGCGAAGGCCGTCTTGAAGAGCTGCTCAACTTTGGATTAAGTAGCGCTTGTGGGTTATACTGCTGAAACGATGACGTGGGTACTCCATTCTTCTGCTGCGATGCCGCGTCACCTGATGGGTGTTCTGTTAGCTCTGCAAGCGTCAAGACAGCGGTTTCTGTTCCAGCTTGCAAGTCGTCGCCATGCGCGGCATAAACTTCGAAGGCCTCATGATGAGGCTCAACAACGGGCATAGTCGGCAAGTCGGGTGCATGTGTAGTGTCCATCTCTTGCTCATACACCGGAGCATCCATGATTGTTGACGTGTTGTGTCGAGACCGAGGTTCTTGAAATTGAATTGACGAAGAGAAGAGTGATGGAGATGTAGAGGAAGAAGACGAGGGATATTTACCTCTCTTACGCGCCCCTTTGGGGTCAAGTAACAGCGCAGGATTCATAGCGTACAGGCGTAAACAAGGTGAGAGACGGCGCGACGCTTGAGGTGAGAGAGATGAGTGAAACCCCCAGCTCTTTTTCCGATTCTTCGATTCGATGCTGGGTGTTGCGCATTTGAATGCCTATGCCAAGAGGTTATGATGCTCGCCACCACGCGAACAAGTCGCTGGACACGCGGCTCTGAGTGGCGATAGAACGCTTCACGAGGTTGTTGGGTTGAATTGAAAGGCCGTGGGATGAATTCCTGGAGGTGAACTCTTATCGAGCGCGTGACCAGCTCCGTTTCCGTCCCTCAGCACCGATCCGGCGGCCGAGCAAGTAAAGGTACGCGTCTGGTATCGCGACGCGGCGGTGGAAATGCGGTGAATATCAACATATGCGCGTCTCGGGGAGGTTAAGTGTCGCGGATATATGCATTGGGCGTGGTTGTAGACGGCGTTGGGTGCCTTTTCTTGGAGATTCAAGATGGGTGCGCCACAGTGGCTTAAAACGAACTACGACTAGTCAAATGACGCTTTCGGCTTTCACGCATTTCACACATCCCACGCGGATCCAAACATCCGAAGAAGGTCCTCGAAGCGCTTTACAGAGCTAATTTGAATTGGTCACAAGATTTGTATGCTGCAACAAGCTTCCACGTGAAAATCAACAATACTACACACACTATGCGCCAACTCCCATACTCCACCCTTTGTAACCTGTGCAACCATCCCAAGCAAGCGCATATCGTATATTCGTTAAGAAACAACCCCTGCAATGCAACCCTATCTCTCAACACCAAGTAAACACCGGATTCTTCCCCTTGACCATCTCCAGCCTCTCAACAACAACCTTCTTCCTCAATCCATCCATGTCCTCGTTCGCCGCGTACCCCAAATCGCCCTCATCGCCCTCCTCTCCATCTCTATATGCCTCGAGCGAGAACCTCCTTTGCTTATTCCTGTACTGTTTTGGCTCTTCGTAGCTCATGCGGCTTCGGTGCGCGGGTCTCGCGTGCCCGTTTCCATTGTGATTCGCGTGACTTTGGCTAGCAGGCATTGAACTAGGTATGATATGTGTATGCGGCGATTGTCTCCGGATGTCCAGCGACGACGAGTCACGGGAGAGATTGAATCGGTTTTCATGAGTCGGCGAACTGACGAGGAGATCTGGTTGTGGTTTTGGCTTTGGCGTGGAGAGAGATGTAATGTCCATTTCCTCGTGTTCCTCTTCAAGTTTCCCATTCCGCCCACGCCTCTGCTGCTGCTCGTTCTTCCTCCGCATCTCGCTCGAGGTCGCCCGTAGCGGAACTGCGATCGGAATCTCTACTACATCGTCCCAAACACACACGCGTGCCCGTCTCGTCAACTCTAATGGGCCATGGTCGGGTGTTTTTAGTGTTTCCACGACGTTCCACGCCTGGCCTTTCATGACGGCAATTTGTTTGGCGTACATGCGCTCTTTGAAGTCCGCGTCTTGGGAGAAGCACGTTCGGAGTGCGGATTGAGTGTCGGACCACCATTGTTTCGATGTGAGGAGTGGGAGGAAATGCTTGCGGGTGGCGGGAGAGAAGGGCTGCCCGATGAGGGAGACGGGGAGGAAGAGCCAGCCGAAAGGGTAGGAGCGCCACTATCACATCGGAACGTCAGCACTGTCGAATGTAAGAGTAGAGGTGGAAACTGGCAGGACTTACAGCATCAGGATGTTTCCATGGCCACGACAGACTGTTGTCGATAGCACCAATGGTTACCCCGGGCGTGGGCGTGCTCTGCATGGGTGTGTTTGACCGACTAGTCGCCGTCATAGGCTCTCGCCGCCCATAGGGATCCAGCTCCGACATGGACTGTCTGGTGTAGTCGCTCGGCTCCGTATCCGTATCCACATCACTGTCCATCTTTGGTGGCTCAGCAACGATGGTGGCTTCCTGCGTCTTGGCGTCGATCTTGATCATCCAGTTGTCCAGCCCTCTGTCCGTGTTCCGCATGATGTAGTCGAGAATAACGAGCTTTTCCAACTGCTCTCTAAAGCTCTGCTGCAGCTTGTCTGTCCAGAAGCCCCTCCGTCTTGTACCATGCGGCCGGTCATCGTCGTCCTCGTTGTCGGACTGTGCGCCGCTAGGTCTACAATCCTCCACCCACCCCTTCTTCTTCTTGCGTGGCGCGCCGTCTGTTCTGAGTCCAGAGCTATGCTGGTCTGGCCACGGGTTCTCCTTCAAGAAGATGTTCGCATCCTTGAAGCCCTTCAGAAACACCTGAAAGCTGCCCGGTTTCTCTGGGAACTCCTTCCCCTTTCTGTAGTATGCCCGTCTGTCCCAGAAGTCGTAGTGGAAGGAGCGCGAGGAGAGGGAGACGATGTCGGTGTAGGGTACGAGGTTTGTGCGCAGCTGGGCGTCGAGGACGTAGGCGGCGGCCTCGGACACGTAGCTCAAGTTGGGGATGAGGCAGGCGCGCCCGAAGAAGAAGGGGAACAGGTTGCGGTGGATCCACTTTGTCCACTTGGGGTTGCGGGACGCGTACGGCTCCTCGTCCTTTGGCTTGAAGACGCCGACGACCTTGCCCTGCGTGTTGCGCGCAAAGTAGCTGCCGGAGCTGCCCTGCGTGATGAGCTTGGGGTGCACGTCCAGCTCGATGGCCGTGCGCACGCTCTCGACAATGTCGTCGAACTGCAGCTTGGTCATGCGGTCCGCCGAACCGTCGTCGTAGTCGAGCGTCAGCGACTCCGCCGTGGCGGGACGCACCCAGTCGGGCGCCTGAAAGACGGAGTGGTGTATCTCGAGCTGCTCGTCGTCGGGCGCGTTGGACTGCTTGTTGATCTTGAACTTCTGCGCGATCTCGTCGGCCCAGCGCTCGAATCGGGCGTTGATGGCTTTGATGTCCACGCCCGAGTTCGACCGCTGCCGTCGGCCCGTTGATGTCCTTCGCGAATCCGGGCCGGATTCGTCGGCCATGCGCATCCGCGAATTTCGCTGGGGCTGTATGGGAGCATACTGCGTGTTGGATAGGGAGTGTTGGCGTTGATGGAGCTCGTCTCCAGAATCGCTCTGCGAGTCTTCCTCTTCTTCGGCCTGCGCTATCCGAGCGTAGCCTGATGTGGGTGGTCTCTTGTCTTTCGGCATTGTGATGTGTGGAGAGCGAGTGGAATGTGGTGAGCTCACACGTCTTGTCACAAGAAAGTCCGCAATGATGATGCAGTCTGCTGTCCTCATGCGCTCTAGCGCGGCTGAAGTGGATCGCTCGTGCAGCATACCCCGGACATTCACATGCTTCTAAACTCAGGACATACCATACGCAAGAAAATGGTTTCTATTCTGAAGATTCCGGGTATCTAGGTCTGTGGATCGATAAATGAACTTATCTAAGTACCTCACATCCTCGCATCATAAATACATCCATGTCCACCCCTACTTCAAAAGCTGTCATCCAGGTCGACCTGGCGTCGGACCACGCTCGGGCTATCATCTTCCATCCCATCTGTCGTATCCGTGAAGTCCTTCCCAGCTGTCATCAGCAAGTCGTCCACAATGCGCTTACTGGCCTCACGAGCTGTCCATCATTAGCGTCCATCCGTGAATCAAGGCCACATGCACTTACCAGGCGTCTGCAACAACTTGCTCTGCGGAATATGAAACTGAATCGTCTTCGGCGGGCTGATCTCCAACTCATACTCCTCGTCTTCTTCGCTGTCGTCAAACACCCCTCCCGTTCTGTTCACACTCAAAGGCGCCCTGCCCTTCGCCGGCGTCTGCACGCTAATCCCTGGTGTTCGCGGCGCTTTGACGGGCGAGAAGATATCAGCGCGAAGTTGCGGTGCAGGTGATGAGGGCGGCGACGAATCCACCGCCCAGTCGGGAAGGTTTGCAGTGGCTCCACGAGGCGTGGGAGCGCCATAGCGTGATGTGCTGGGCGTGAAGGCGCCAGTGGGCTTGTACTTTCTCGGGCTGATAAGGGGTGTTGCTTGGACACGGTATGTCTTGTCCAGAACGCGATGCAGGAGGGGATCCTGGTTCAGGTGTGATTTCTTGCCTGTAGTAGGCTGGTGGAAGGGCGACGAGTCGAAGCCACTCATGTCTGGAAGTGCTTGGTTCTTCCCCGGTGTGACGGGGTCAAGCCTTGGTGTCTTTGAGACGTCCAAGGCGCCGTCGTATTCTTGCTTCAGTGTTTCGTAGGGAGAAGATAGCCCGGCGAACTGAGGTTCCTCCTCTTCTTCGCTGTCTTCGTCCAGGAGGTTTTTGCCCTTTCTGCCCGACGGCGGGCCTCCCGGTGTGCTGTGCCCGAGGGAGGGCGAGTCGAGTGTCATAGTGTCGTCTAGATCGGCTTGTGAAGAGGGAGCTCTTTGCGGTGTCGCCGATGTGCCTTCCTCGTCGTCTGCTTCTTCCGTCTCATCGTACGTCTCAGACTGCTGCGTGTCCTCTTGCGCGACGGACTCGTCCTGGTCAGGCGCCTCGTAGCCAGACAGCGAGACGTTCGCGCTGGCTTCGAAGAACTGCTTCCAGAACTAGCAAAGTCAGCATGCTTCTCCCCCAGCTTGGACGAGGCACACACCTTGGAGCCCTCCCACACAGCTTCAGAGTGCTTTCCATACTGTTCGACAATCGGCAGGATGCCCGTCGTCACGATGCGGTGCGCGCGGCTGAAGTTGTGGTCGATTTCTGCTGCTGTCAGTCGCCGTGGTGGGGCATGGTGCGAGTTTGTTTACCTTGCAGCGTCAGCGTGATGGACTGCTCCAGCTTCTCCAGTTCTTCGGTGAGCGACAGATTGCGCTGTGGCGCCATGCTTTGGCGAGACATGGTGTTTGGTGAGCGACGTCTACGTTGCGTTTGTTGTTGATTTCGCGACGCGCCTTGGACATGGACATGAGATGGATCGCGAAAGCGGTCTAGCGGGACCCCCGAAGCTTCCCCGCCGTGACCTTCACCCCTTCAGCTCTGCATCCCTTGTTCTTGTCGCCAGCATTCTTGTCCGAAAAGTGGATTGGTGTTCGGGATTGGTTTATGTGTAAGATACGGGATGATCTCGCATCGTTCTCGTAAGTAACCACAGCATATCATGCACGATAATATCACACCTCCATGGACAGACGTCATCTTCCGGGCCTCTTACACCCGATGAGCATCCAAAGGAACAGGGCTGAGCTGCGTTAACAAGAGGGGTTAATGCATACTCCGCATATTCGGGAATATGAGCCTACTGACGATCACCAACTGTGGAGATCTGGGGTAGGTACATATGAACTCAATACCGCTACATCTCTGCCTCTCAATTCTTAGTTCCTGTGTACTGTCCTGAATTTCTGTCGTGTCTACCTGAACGTGTTATAGCTGTCTTTCAATCCCTAAATCACCATGTCGTTTCGTCTACCAGCGAGAACCTTATGGCAAGCTTCGCCAAAACTCACGTCTTTACCTCCCCTCTCAACCCAAGCAGCACGATGGTCACGCAACTACGCAGCCCCAAAAAGCGAGCAAAGTAGAACAGCAATCGTGACAGGTTCATCACGGGGAATGTAAACCATCACTTCTCCTTTTCCCCATCAACTTGACCTGACCACCAACAGCGGCAAAGCCATAGCCCTCCGCCTAGCTCAAGACGGCTACGATGTCTGCATAAACGACATCCAAGCCAACAAATCCGGCTGCGATGAGGTCGTAAAAGAGATCCAGAGCCTCGGCCGCAAAGCCTTCGCCTTCACCGCCGACGTCTCAAAGCTGAACGAAGTACAAGACCTAGTCCAAGCCTCCGTCTCCGAACTCGGGCCCCTAAACACCATGGTCGCCAACGCCGGCATCGCACAAGTAAAAGCCCTGCTAGATCTAACCGAGCAAGACCTCAAGCGCATGTTCGAGATAAACGGTATGTGTACCGCCCGTCTCCGCTCAAACATGTTTATCTATCTACCTGGTTCTGACACACGATGCAGTGTATGGAGTATACAACTGCTACGCCACCGCGGCCCGACAAATGATCTCTCAAAACACACCCGGCAAGATCCTAGGCGCAGCCTCCATCGCCGCATTCCGGCCCTTCACCATGCTCTCACACTACAGCGCCTCAAAATTCGCCGTACGCGGCTTCACCCAGGCCTTTGCTATAGAAATGGCCGAGCACAAGATCACCGTGAATGCATACGCGCCGGGCATCGTCGGCACGGCTATGTGGGATTTGATCGACGAGAAGCTGGGGGAGCGGACGGGCGCGAAGAAGGGCGATATGATTAAGAAGTATACTAGTGAGATGATTGCGCTGGGGCGGACGAGTGTGCCTGAGGATGTTAGTTCTACGGTGAGCTTTTTGGCGAGTAGGGATAGTGATTATATGACTGGGCAGACTATTGTTATTGATGGCGGGATTCAGTTTACGTAGGTTTTTCTCGCTTTCTGCGGGGTGTAGGGAGGGATGGACATCAATAATACCCACAAGCACTACTCGGATTCCTAGCATCACTCCGTACCTGCTTATCATCTTGGTGCATCTGTCATTCCAAACTGAATTCTGCGCTCTGTCAGTACATGTCACTCCTGCATTTACAAAATCCTCTCGCCCCACGAATCCGGGAGAAAACCTTCCATCCCTCCCCTCCGTCAGTCAAAATCTCAGTGCAGAAAAATCTTCCAGCAGCTACACACCTACATCTATAATTAACGTGAAAGCCTCATACTTACAGCATTGGCAGTATGCGCCTAACATGCACTTCCGCAGAATCTATTGCATGGTTTTAGCGCTCTAAGAAGCCCTGAAGAACGTAACTTGACTGAGAATCTCCCTCGATACGGGTAGGAAGCTTTACCCCGACGGGACGAAGATGCATTACGATGACGTTTTAGCTCGCGGGGAACAGAGCGGAGTGCGGTGGTGTGATATAGATTTGCAGCGGGGAGATTGGATGGGCGGGGAGCAGTTGCGTCGTTCCGTCATGGGTGGTATGGATGGCTGGTGGGGTGAGTGAGAGGGCAGATGTGTTGTCCCAGATTTACTCAGTTCTTGATCCTTCGTTCACTGTGCGAGTATATTGTCCGTGTTTCTCTTGCGGAGGGACTGCAGACTGAGTCGTCGCATGTCTGGGTACGTCGTTCTCTTTCTCTGCTTCGGTCGCCTGGCCATCCACAAGAACACCTTTGGCTTATACGTCATCCTTCATCTTCTTCTTCGACGCGTCGTCCAAGCCGTTGTCTGATTTGCGCAGTGATGATCAAAAGTGGGTTGCTCTTTCCGGGGATCCTGGGGCGTCGTTCATCGCCTCCTCGACTCGAACTTCTTTCCATCGGATCACGAACAGCTCGGAACTCGCGGATACATGATTGCCATCGCTCTTGGTATTGATGTCGCTGCCTATGCTCACTTTTGCTTGGGCTTTCGTCAACACATCACAATCACAGTTGTGGGGCACACACCGAGCGCTGCCGGGCGAGCGGAATGCATGACTCGCTCAGCCTCGCACACACCCCGAGGTTACCAAGGAAAAACATATCGCATACAACATGAATGCCACAGCCGGACTAGGAATAAACATCAAGAGACGGCGAACTGCAATTAACAAGAGGTGGAATTGTTCACTGGGGCAATGATACTGTTCATGTGCGAGAGAGAATCTTTATACGACCTCTATGGCCCAGCTGCTAACTATCATCGCAGGAATGCCAACCCCTTCGGTATCCAATGTCCTCGAGATATATATTCGGAAACGAAGCAAAAACATGGGTATTGAAGCACTGCCCCATAAGTGGCGAACAGAAAATCGACAACGAATTATGTTGTGTAGATGAAGTCGGGACGAACATCGCCGAGCAGCTCGATCTCCTCCTCGGTCTTACCCTCAATCAGGTAGTCCCGCTTGCCTGCCAACCTGAGCTTGTTCTCGCGCTGGAGCATGAAGTGCTGGGCAACGCTACCGCCGAACAGGAAGAAAAACTGGTAGGCGAGCACAATGCCGTGACCGGTGCGGTAATGCGGCTTCTCCTTGGGGTTGTAGATGTTGGATGACACGACACCGTTCATGTTGCCCCAGCCGACGACTACACCGACCATGACACCGCGCTTCAGGGAACCCTCGAAGTTGTTGGACGCCCAGGTCAGCGTGTTGGAGACAGTTGGGTAGATGCCGACAGCGCCCAGGAAGGTACCCGCGTACTGGATGTGCACGTTGGAAGAAGCGAGGAGCATAGCGAATCCGACGCATCCAATCAGAGAAATGACCATGTTGCAGTAGCCACGCCACTTTGTTCGATCGGCGACGTATCCAACGAGGACAGTCATGGTGGCTGCGACCGCGTAGGGAGGGACGGACAGAAGTTGGGCCTTGGTTCCTGTGTAGCCCATACCGAGAAGAATGGTGGGCAGGAAGAGCGAGAAGCAGTACAACGGGCAGAGGCAGCCCATGTAGATGACGGCGTACAACCAGGTCTTCCAGTCCCTGAGGGCATCGAAAACGTTCTTCTTCTCAATGTGTCCGACAGCAGCCTTTGCTTGACCGTCATGACGGAGACGACGCATGGCTCGCAGCTTCTCGTCAGGAGTCAAGAATCGGGCTGTCTCGGGGAAGTCGAACACCATCCACCAGCAGAAAATACCAACGCCGACGGTCATGAGACCCTCGATGATGACTGGAGTCGTTAGCAGGGCACACGAGTGAGCTGTTTCGGTGAATACGTACAGATCCAGCGCCATCCCTGGTAGCCACCGACGCCATCCATCTGAGTGATGGCTGCAGCCAAAAGACCACCGAAACTTCCTGCCAGAGCGGCGGCAGAGAAGAAGAGCGCAGCGCGGAATCCTAGCTCAGTGCGCTTGTACCAGCAACTGTGCCAATGTCAGCAATTGCAAAGCCAGCCCGGGATGTGGAAACTTACGAGAGATAGTAGTTGACACCGGGGAACAATCCAGCCTCCGCAATACCGAGGAACCAACGGCATGCCAGCAAGCCAGATTGGTTCTTGACGAGACCCATGAGTGTCATGATGACACCCCAAGCCAAGATGATGCCAGTAAAGAAGACTCGTGGGGAGTACTTCTTGATCAGGATGTTGGTAAGTGGCTCGAAACCAGCGTAAGACACGAAGAAGATGGTCAAGGCATCATTGTAGTCGCGACCTGTCATGCCGATGTCTTTCTCCATATGCGCCACACGAGCGTTGCCGATGTTGGTTCTGTCCAGGAAAGAGAGGAGGTACAAGAGAGAGAGCCATGGGATCAGCCACCTATCCATCTTCCATACAAGAGCCTTGTCCTACGAAGGATCAGTGTCATGATGATAAAAGCAAGGGATGGTCGTACCAGCTTTGCGCGCTCCTCAGCGGATTTGCCAACATCTGGGTCGGGAAGGTCATCGTAACCGGGCGCACTGTTGCCAGAGCTGATATCGCTGTGGTAGACGGCACCCTTCTCGCTCACGTCGAGATTGGCATGAGGCTCTACGGTATGCATGTCTGTTGTCTTTTGGGTGACCATGGTGTTGACTGGAGACACAGGATAGAAGTCTGACGAAGAGCGCTCAAAGGGGCAGGCCGGGGTATCTTATACGTACTCACACTCGCATGCGCCCAGTGAAAGTGAGCCAGGCCTGGGGTGCGGCTTAGTGCAACCTCCCCATGGGGACGGTTAGAAGGGACGAGACCAAGTGGATTATGCTAAACTCCGCTGACCGGGGCGTGGCGGAACACGCCCGGAAAGTGCTCCTACGATTTGAGAAAGGGTTTTAGTGGTCCGTACTACATTGCCCTTGCGATTGTCTAATCTGTCTTACGGTAGCTCGCATGCATACCGGATTCCTGTTCGTCCTGTGTAACCGCCTCACCATCCCACGATCTTGAGTTGCAGTGTCAGCCTCCTCAAGACACCTCTGACAGATGCTTCTATACGGCTCCTCCGCGGCGCTTCCGCCAACATTTGTCCTTTCTCCTGCCAGAAATTTCTCCACATCACGGGCAAACACACGCATTGGGAAAGTACTGCGTTCCAGAACTGCCGGAATGGCGCAGAGGAGAGGACTAGGCATTCGCCGTTGTGTCCAAACACGAACTGCCAAAAACGCCCGCCAAGCCTTGGCACAAGATTGGAATGTAGCCATCTGCACCTGCGGACGGGGATCGTTGGATAGCTGTATTCAGCCGGCAAAACCGCATCGCCATTGTGCGCCCCTTCGATGCCAATAGTGTAAAACGATGCTTCTTCTCGACATCTTGCGGCATGGTGTTGAAATCGAGCAGCGGACTATTGAAACATTGACTTCATGGGGAATGCTTAGCATCCCCGCATTTCGGATCGTGGAGCAGACGGTGTGTGCTTAGCCTCCCGCCGTCTCCCCCGCATTCAATATCATGGAGGCCCCACGAACGCTCGGCTCGCACTGCCTCGACATGAAATCAAATGATCATGCAGCTTACGGCCGCTCCGACATTCGTACATATCGAAGGTGTTCCGGGCAGATGGAGGATTCCTCTCCGCGACCGCCGGTTGTTGGCGCCAATTCACACCCCCCTGGCGACGCACAGGAGAGGCGCATCCGTTACGCCGAAATCCCTGCCCAACGTGCCCAGTCTTGCACTGAGTCGCAGCGGGATTTCGATTCGAAATCACAATGGTGTTCCACGCCGCCCAAGACCTGGATCGCGGATCACGGATGGGCATGTGTGGCCAACGCCTCTTTGCCGATCGTCCAGGCCTCGGTTTATTACTGCGCAAGCAATGATTTGGCAGCATTTGGTCGGGTAATGCACACCATTACAACACGATACCAGACTATGTCTTCACTTCAGAGGACAGCGCAGCAATCGAAATTACTATGCAGGACATGAGCAGGACAATACGCTCGCTGCTTACGCACATGCAACTGCGCCGCACGGGCGTTCAGATTCCGTCCAATAAACAGGGTGCCCTGCTGTCAGCTCGGGTTGGTCTCTATTCACGACGTTCTGAAAACGAGACAGACGGCAAGCGTAACGGTCAATACCAAGCAAACTGCAGTGTCATGTCGCTTGACCACGTTAAATCTTATTTATACGTACACCTGCGGGCAGTTGCATGAGGACGCAAGGACCCGCGCTCAGGCACATACGAGGCCATATATATCCCTTTCTTTCTGTGAAACACTTCCAATCAGGTCAGGTTTGTATCATCGAAGAAATGAGAAACGATGGTCAACATGTGAAGTGTCATTGCGCCCCCAGCCGCTGCGGCATCAAACCATTCTTGGTGTTGCCAGACAAACAGATAGACATGCACGAGAACATGAGGTAGATAGCATTTCTTTCATTCCCCCGTTTCTAGTCGTCTCGTTTCGTGTCACTCTATCTTATCGTTGCTCGGCATGTACAGTATAGGTAGGTACACTGCCTCCGATGCCCCACTAGTCATTGAACCACCACAGCGGTACCTTTATGCCCCTGTCTGTAGGAACTTGGCACCGTTGTTGAGATACTGTTGAGCCATCAGTTGATATTGGCAGCATATCATGCAGGATACATGACACGAGCTGGTGTATATCATGTGCATCTTATAACTGACACACTGAAGTCGTTGCAGGGTAAACTCCCACTTTTAGTGGCTACCTACCCGCCTACATGAAGCTCTTCTAAGCGGATCGACGCTGTCGTGGCTGGTCCCGACGACCGACTACCACCTTCTTATCGGGTTACCTACTCATGTAGGACGGTCATCTGGGATGTACTACCATTGTGACTATTTACACTCTCCACTCTCCTGCTGTTTTGGCGGCATCAACGTTATCGCTCGGCTCTATGCATGGCTATCAAAAGATAAGCATACTCACACAGACATGATATACCATATTTAAGTTTATGTACTATGCGCCTTGGTACACGTTGTTTCTTATCACTGCCCTCGTCCTCTTTGGATATATAATGACAGATGACATCTGGCAGCGGGCCATGCGCGTGCAACGTATACCTCATTTCACTCTTCAATACACTTGCACATCATTTCGTTTTGTCATCCTTTCTTTATTTGCTTCAATTCATCAATATGTCGTCATTTCTACGCATCGTCCCTACACTCTCTACACTCTCTTTACGCACAAACATTCATACGTGCTACCGACGGATCGTGGTCGCTGATCTGCGCGCTGTACTCCACCCACGAGTTGATGTGGATGTGTTCGTACTTGGGAGATCGTTTCGCGATCGCATCCGACACAAACATGTGATCGAGCTCCTGTGCGCTCATGTCGAACAGGTAGGTGTATCGCTCCTTCTTCTCGATGCCAGCCGCGGCGTCCATATCTTTCAGCCCGGAGATGGACTGGAACTGTGTGAGCGGGTTCACGAAGGTGAACTCGTTGAAGTCGCCCGCCGTGATGACCTTGGCGTTCTTGTCTTGCGCCAGAATGTCCTGAGAACTGTTAGCCTGGGTCTTATTTCCGTGTGCCACGTTAGAAGACGTATGCGGGAGCATAGCTTGAGGAAACCATCTAGGTTGCCTGCGCCTTGCTAGCTTGGGATGTTGGGTCACTGGCGACTTACCTTGATGAAGTTGGCCGTTAGTGTCGCCTGTGCGAGTCTGTCCTCCACGCCACCGTTCACAGGAGGGCGCGCGTCGCCCTCGATCGAACTGCTACCACCCTTCGATCCGAAATGCACGTTGACAGTGAAGAAAGTGTCAAGCGTGTTCTTCTTGCCAATCACCTGCCATTGTGCGACGAGCGCCTTGCGGCTAGCCCTCCAAGCTGCGTTCGCAGGGTCGATACGACCGGGGTTAAGGCTCAGAGCAGGTCCAGCAACGACTGATGTCGCGTCGGTGGAGCTTCCTGGGTTGGGCTTGAAGAGGCGGATGAGAGAAGGCTTGTACAGGTAAGCTGTTCGGATGTTTCCACCCGGCTGGCCGCCATCCTGGTCATCAACGGGCGCGATGTCAGTGAAGGTGTAGTTGGGTCCTCCGGCAGCGGAGATGGCAGCGGTAAGGGTGCTCAGGGTCAAATTGGCGGACACAACTGCACAATGTTAGCATGGTGCAAGCAATCGGCGTGACGAAACGTCTTGTGGCACGAGAGTACTCCCAAGTGCAAGATAGGGTACAGTGCAAGGCTTCTGGAAACTTGTTACTTACCCGCATCATTTGTGGGGCCATTGTTATCCTGAATTTCTTGTACGAAGATCAGGTCCGGGCTGTTCATATAGTTCACAATGTGGCTGGCAATGGAAGGCAGGTGAGCAGAGGTGGGTGCCAGGTTTTCGACGTTGTACGCGCCAAAAGTGACCCCGTCGCACTTGCCGTTTGATTCGAGCTTGGTTGGGTTGGGCAACGCGGGCTTCTGGACACTAGTGACCTTGATGGCGGTCGTGGGCAGGATCTGATAGAAACCGAATGCGTATGTGACGATGCCGGTAATCTCGGCAAGGTCGTCACCCATGCGAGTGTTGGTGGGGTTCTTGGTACCGTCGAGAGGAGTACCGACTTGGATGGCCTCCGGGTTCGCGTCTACGACTGTCAGTCGACTTCACAGCCTTCACTCAATCGACTTGGCTCACCTTTCTCGGTCATGGTCAGTCCATCGTGGTCGTTGTGACCAGTGACCTTCCAGTCTCCAGCAATCCACGTATCGCCATACGTATTCGGCTTTGTGAGCGCTGTAGGCTTCTTTACAGTGACCAGCTCGCCGCACAAGCTCTCCCAGAAGTCCATTCCATACTTCTTAGGCTCCAACGCTGGATTCGCAACACTGACTAGCGACTGGTTGTTCGGTACCGCGAAAACATCTCCGCCGTCAAGGCTGCTGAACTGCTCGGTTGGCGGGCTTGATGTATCCTTCCCAATGACCAGCGGCGTCACTTTGTTCCCACCGCTAATCTTATTTTCCAACACTGGATTTGAGAGCTCGGTCAAGTAGAGATAGTCCTTGGACGACCGGTACTCGACTACCCTTCCGCCCACGGAGATCGCGTCGCCAACAGTCAAGTTCGCGCCGAACGTACGACCGAAGACGTACAGAGACTCTGAAGTGCGCGCATCACGGTCGGGCGTCGTGGAGCGGATCCATAGCCCATTGGGACCCTTCGCGGTAATGACACCAGTTACGCTGGTCACATTTTGGCCGCTGAGAGGAGACAAAAACTTGGGCCCGTTGATCTCGGCGATGGTGGTTGCTGAGGCAAAAGCCGCGGAGGCGAGGAGACAAAAGAGCGTCGCCATTGCAAGTCGTGATGTAACGAAAGTCGAGAGCGAAGATAAATCTCTACCGTCTATCGATCAATTACACGCGGATCTGCGAGCTCTTATACAAGGTCCTCTCATGACGATGCCCAGAGTCTTGCCTAGATACCCCATCTTCATCCACACCATTCGGTGTCACTACGCTTGCCCTGTTCCTGGCCTGTCGACCGTCCATAGTTCGTTTTGGCTCACCACTCCAGGATGCGACGTGGATATCGGAGGCGCGACTGTTGCTTATTCTACTCATTGGGCGGATGCACGCGCCACAACACCGAGAGCGCTAGACGAAGACGGCTTAGACCTTGACGAATGGGGAAGGTGCGTGTTGATTGGCCGGGATGCGGAGATTGAACGGTGGGCGCCGAGAAATTTAAGGTTCTTTCCTATCAACCACATCGCGAAGATAATACACGTGTGCTGAAAAGGGGACGGGACGTTTCGTATCGTTGTGGCGGTGGCAGAGGGGCGATGGGGAAAGGGGACGTGTGGTTCTCGGATAGATCCAATGAACGGGATGCATGTGGGCTCCGGGACGGCAAAGACGGGAGATATATGAGCTGAATCTAGATGTGTGGAAACTGAGCTATCATTGGGAACAGATATGTGATCCCTTGAACATATGTGTCACCGATGACCGTCGGGCCAGCTCTCTTACTTCTCGACTAGACATCAACTGATTTAACATACTTTCTTCGAAAGGCATTGAGCTACTGTGCTGGATTGACATGTTTCAGATACCTGAAGTGTCTCGTCGCACACGGCCAATGCCAAGAATTGAATATGCACTGCTCTGCCTTACCTTCTCAAGCTGGCAAGGGTCGTCTTTATGTTTATTACATAACATCACTTCCATGTTGGTCTGACGGATTTTGGTTCGGCCTTCTTGAAGAAGCATTCACCCAGTCAGTGTACAGGAGTCGTTGGGATTGTTGCCAGCAACCGTTTCTTATTTTGCGCTTTTCAATTCTCGTTTGGATTCGTGGTGTTTACATTGCGTGTTTGTATATCGTCAGTTATATTGACAACCCGTTTGTCCATCGCCAATCGCATTTCTCAGGTGTTATTCATATGAGTTGTTCGTTCCAACAGCATGGTTTTTGTTAACACATGGCGGCGAACACATGAGATGTTCGAGGTATAAGTAGTTTTTTTCTTTATAATCTCAATTGGCATCTCTTCAACAAAATCAACTCAAGATCGACAATCTAAAATTTACACCATGCCTCTCAAGACCAACATCAGCAGTGATGAGGATCGTCCAGAATCTGGACAGGATAGATCTCGATCTCGGTCTAGACAGAGACACTACCATTGGAATGACACTTTGAATGAAGAGCGCGGTAGCAAGTACAAGCGGGATACCAAAGCCAGAGAGCATCCAAAGCCTGAACAAAGTCACCCGAGGGCGCAGGATTTGTCTTCATCTCGATCCAGAGAGAAGCTCTACGTATACTACGATAATTCCTCCGATCTCGATAGCGAAATCAATGATCAGGAGTGTGGAGCTTGGAGCCAATCTCCTACGCACGCTCAGGCTGATAACGGCAACGAGGAACGTCAACAGGTCGAAGTTGTAGATTTGACTTATGAGAGCAACGAGAATCGTCAAGGACTAGTTGACAATAGCAAGCACAACGACCGTTCGTGGCATCGTCGGGACAGAGATGGAGTGTATGTCCAGCCTGTAGGCGATGAGGAGAGGGTAGAGGTTCCTGAGCATGTGTACAATACTGCTCAGTTGGAGACTGAAGCTGGGAACCAGCAAGGCCGTCCGACTCGAGTTCAGCTTCCGCTGGGTACTGGTCAGCCACAGACTAGATACTATGAGTTTGCCAGCCCGATTCCCATCCAAGCACCAGCCCAATTCGTCGCTCATCAGCCATTACAATGTTTGCTGGGATCTTCTCAGGAAAGTCAGATGCATCATGAACAGCGTAGTAGGGGTAACCGAGAGAGGTTGTTTGTGGACCTTGAGAGAGATCACCAGCATCATATGAGACACATAGCTGCCTCGCAAAGTCAATCTTGTGGACAGCACCATCATGCGTACCCTTCGCAATTTTTACAAATGAACGCCGAGCCCAGACACAACTCACAGAGGAGGGTATATAGAGATCCACGTACGGCTTCTGCAAATTGGCTAGCTAGCACCGTCTCTGGTCCTGTAGCTAGTAGGCCAGATACGGTGGGGACAACAGCCACCGTCCCAGAGTTGTTGCACGACGTTTTGGCCAGACTGAGGGTTATGGAAGAAGACATGGATTTTCTCCAGCGACGTGATGCTTCAAGTCACCAACGCCAATTCTAGTGCAAACCAGTCTAACCGATGTCATGCGAGGTAGTAGAAAGAGAAAGGTGCAGTGAGATGGTAATACGGACATTCATTTACAATCTCCTAGCCTCGTCTCGTTCGTTTTATGGTGCGTTTGTCTGTCACTGGGGTACACGTCACAATGAAAACGGTTGTTATAAATGCTTCCCCCAGATTGTAAATTTCATCCTTAACATTGCAATCGAAAATCCCAGCATCGCCATCTCTGTGGTATTATAGCCATGTCATCCTCTCAAATTTCCACTGTTTCTCCGTTCCTGTCACTCTATGCGCATACTCATCATGACCCGCGAGTAGCAGCAAGAGCATCGTACATTTTTGAGCAAGATCCGTACGACTGGGAGTACATGTTCACGTCGCTGATGGAAGACATGTGGAATATGAAAGAACATATGAGACGTACCAGGGCCCAGTGGGAAGAAGAAAGGACGTGCTTGTGGGGAAAGACGAAGGGGCGTGGAGATACATCCTGCGACGCGTGAACCATAGCCTGGGATATGATGAGTCCAGCGTCGGTACCACGTATCTTTTGTGTTCTTTAACAATCCTCCTCTCTATGGCTGACTTGTTTACAAGTCAGTCATTGGTGAGTCGTAAATGCTTTGGCAGATGGATGTCAAATCATTAGTGAACTAGCATGATGGAGACAGCGTGATTGTACTGTCCATGGATCTCTGTTCATAGGTGTAAACACAATCAGCTTCTGGGTGCGTAATGTGCTCATGCCAATCGACTCTCTGTATTTTCTTGAGGATGTGAATCTTCACTAGCTGCGTCTTGAATCTACCAAATGCAATAAAGGGATCCATGCATATCTATGTTTGCGTCTGCCCTGTCCCGTGACACTGCAAGTTGATTGTGAGTCACGTAGCGGCAGGCAATCAATCGGCGCATTGACACATGGAATGATCACACTCTTTAGTTCCGTGATTATCACGTCAATCAAGACTCAGACAAACGAAGTGCTATAAACTTCACTTCTAGCTGGTAGTATTCGCTGCTGTATCCTCGCACTTCACGATGCCAGACTTGAGTACTATTCAGGAGCCCTCAGATAAAGGGCTGGAACCCGATGAAGACCAAGACACAATAACTGTGGCCATGAATTTCTTGCTCAAAGATCGCCACAAAGCTCATGAAGCATACTTCTCTAACGCAGCGGAACAAGCCAGCCCCCTCCAGGAGACTTACTCCCAGTCATCCTATCAACCCACCCAAGGTATCGGACCAATGGAGAAGACGATGTTTCGACAAATCAAATCAGACGCAGTAACTACGGGCATGTTACACCATATTGGTGATATTCGAGACTTGAAAGAGTGGCTTGCAGTTTGGAATGCAAGATTGGATGATGTCTCTGGGTGTGAGCCATCGCCGAGGAATGTTATGGAGTGGTTACAGCACGTGAAGTTGCAGATGGTGGATGTAATTATGGGTCTGAAGAGGCCCCAGGAGGCGGATCGCAAATTCTTGAGAGAGTGGGAGGAGATCAAAAGGATGGGTGGAAGGGAAACGTAAGCAAGGAGAGAGAACGTTCATGTTTGATGAGAACAAATTACTAGGTCGTCATATTTGAGTGTATACAGTTTGAGTGTGCTCTCACGCGACTGTCATTTGAGATAGTCTGGAGATTCACTATCTTTGTTGCACCTTGTTTTTTGGATCATAAAACTGTGGAGCATCTACAGACTGCAAATTGAAAACTTATCATGTGCCTCAACAACTTGCTGCCATCCCTGACCAACAGACGTCAATGCTAGTAAGATGACCTTGTGATCGGACTCCATATACTCGAATCCCGTTTAACTAATGTACTTGGAAGTCTCGAACCTGCTGGTTTTTGGTTGCACTCTGCTTGACTGTCTACCGTACAACACTTCTCTTTTCTTCCTTCACACAGACACTCGAGAAAGAACCTAGTCTCACAGACCCTAGGATCAGGGCTTTACGTAATTATTCATTTTTTATCTGTGGCTGGCGTCGTTCAGAGCCGTGTCGAATCCTCCTCAACTCATAACACCTAATAAGACCTTGGGACTTGTGTGCTACGGCGATCTGTATGACAAATATCGTAATCCCATGGCCAGCAATGAAGCGTCGCCAGATGGTAAACTTTGCTCACCCGAACAGAAGACACGGCAGTTCAGTTTTACACATAAGCTCAACAGTTCGACACACAAAATGATGAAGCTTGTCGAGATCGACGATTTCCTCGCTTCTTGCAAATCGGATGCCGAAAACAAAGTCTCAACTCTGCGCGAGTGTGTGACATCGTGGGATACTTAAGTCAGTGGCGCGGGGTACCATCACTATCAGGAAATAGTGCGTTGGTCGCATGACCATATAGCCGGTATGAGATAAATTATGATATCCCTTCTACCCAGATTCCACGAGGCCACTCAGGACAGAGTCTCGGGAGACTAATACCGGGAGAGCGAGGAAACTGCTGTACAAAATCTCAGCCATCGTTATTGGACAATCAGGTCTGTCAACGGTTATATTTCTGGAAGGAGAAGACAGGAGCCGCGGAAGGACTGTAGATTAGAGAGTCCTGCGAATGGGGTTTAGGCGGATGGTGTACATGTAGCAAGCGTGTTTCGCCACCCTAACCATCGATACAATCAATCCCAATCTCCCGTGTACTCATGATCAAAATTGATAATTTCAGGATTTAATCGACCGTTGTGTTACTTCCAAGATCTTTAGTGGAACCACAGTGGAATTTTCCCGCCACATAGCTACGCAGGAGTATATCTCACATATCATGCGAAGTAAGCTTAACCTTGTTTTTCCTCGAGGTTCGGACCAAGGACATGTCCATCGAAGACGAACAACAGATTATCGTAATATGCTCGCCAGCGTTACGTGGCATAGCTGTCCTCTAATCCAATCGTAATTACTGTCATGTGCTCTTTTCGATCCGAACTTCGTTTCGAAGGCTTTCGGGAAGACCGAGTGATCGCCAATTTGTTTGCTTACCATGTGCCACGTTTGTAATACATGATGTGGCTAGACTCAGACGTTGGCTCTCTGTCATTACCTCGGAGACGGAAACGTCCCCGCTTTCAGAAGACTGCTCAAATCGTAACAGATCAATTGACGATCGTTGCTTTACGACATGCCATTGAGGTTGTTGAGTCGAGACACACAGCAGCGAACAAGTGAAGCACCTGCTATGCCAGCGTGGCCGTTTGGTGGCAAGACGGGACGGAGTACTCGTTATTGAGATCTGTAAAGTCTAAGCCACCTCAGGATGACCCTAGATGCTCAGTATAAATTTTTGACTCTCCTGCACTTTCTGTTCAAACCACTCAGCAACGTCATTCTCCAGAACATCTTGTCTTGAAGGGTTTCCCGAAAGAAACACAAGCAGTCTTATCAATCTTTTTGTGAAAAGAAGCATCTGCCACCATGTTCGAAGTGGCGCGCAGAGGTCGTAGGAAGCAGATTTATAACGACTACATCCCATACATGGGGACCTGGGGATATGGAGGCTATGGTGGAGGCTATGGAGTATACGGAGGAGATCATACTCCATTTACAAAGATGTTTGGGCCCGACTACGACACACCAAACTCCATCGAAGAAGCCACGCGAGCGCACGTCAAAGCAGTCAAAGACTATGAAAAAGCACAGGAGGTGTTCCAAGAAGCAAAGAAAAAGTTTGAGGGATGCGAGAAAGCGAAGAAGGAGGCCGAAGAAAGACTGAACTGGGCGAAGCACCAGTATCAGTGGTGTTGATGCGACGTGACATATGGGGACTGGTGAGACGGCACAAACAGACAACACTGGATTTTTATTTCATAGCTCTAACGAGTTTTGCGGCTTTGGGGATTATTGATGCGACTGTAGTTCACTTATTCCGTAATCTGAGACGGTTGGTTTTTAGATTAAATTTCTTGCTTGCCTTATTCTGTAGATAGAAGTTCGATTTATCAACTAGAGTTGATTGACATTCATTTTGTTAACACTGTTAGTGACTTATTCACATATTTGTTTACTGAAATAGTATCCGTCAGTCTCTTATATTTGTTCATTCCCGAGACCACGTCGTATTCGTTCGATCGCAAAGAGCTGACCGTTTGCAAGAAAACGATAGCCCGTTCAATCATCGGTCTATCTGAGCTGGGTGCTGGGTGCTATCAGAACACCTCGATCGACACTGACACCAACAGGATGATCTGTAAGCATCTCAGCACTTGGCACAGTCCAAAAGTCTACCACTCGAAGAGACCTTCACAGTAGGGTAACAGTTGTAAGGCCAAGACGGTGATACATTTACGATGAAGCAGAGCGTAAGGATAACATCTCCTGGAGGGTTTCCAGTAATCCGACCCAATCAAAAGACTACAGTCACGAGATGCGAGGATACCGAGAAGGGGAATATGTCTAAATGTGTGCAACTAATCTGTCACGCAACTAAATTCTTTACTGTTATGCAGTGCTGTATAGTTTGGTAGCATAATTCACCGTCAGAGTCATGTGTCTTGACAACCCTCCATGGTTACTAAATGTAATGTGCAATGTGAAGAAAAGGGAAACGAAGGGTCTTTAGGAAAAGAATCCAGAGCTTTGAAGCTAAGGCTCGAATTTGAAGTCTAGATATCATGTTGGGTAAGCATGTTTCTATTGCTAGACGATTTTAGGCCTGATCGAGGCTGGAATACGTGGCAGCCAACTGCCAACACCGCTGAATGTAAAGCATTTTGTGTTCACTGTCTACCCTCAATCTTATTCACTTCGTGGTGTATGCGCAATTCGCAATGTCAGGCATATATTCATGAGCTTAGCTTTCGTCCACGTCACTGCCAGGTCTTGGGCTGTCGGTGGCTATAAAGCAGAGATCAGGACCATAGTATCTTGGACCAACAATTATATACTTCCGCAAGTGCATCTATGACCATGAAGAGAATCAACTCTCTCAAATCTATGACGAACATCAGTAATCTCTATCCGAGAACCTTCCGCACACCAGCCAACGCACCATGTCCGCGGCACTGTTCGACGAAATCCTCAGACTCTTCTCCCAGACCCGAAACAGACGACAAAGACAGGGTTGACCTACCCCAAACATCTACAGGCAATATGCATTATACAGACCGAGTTTCCGGGTCCAACACTCATAACGTTGAAGTCGCTTCGCCATTCCGCCCGACGCTGGAGCATGATGATGCACATTCAGGACCTTATGGCGTAGAGGCGCCTCCATGTTGGTCGTACATGGTAACAGTAACAGAAATCCATGTGGAAATCAAGATCGATAGCGGAGACGATGATCAAACGATCAAGTCTAAAGAGGTAGGACATGTGCCGAATCGGTTGCCTGCGAGTGACAATGAACGTAAATGATTAAGAGCTTGCACCAATACCAATGATGCCTTTTCAGCGTAAGTAAGCTGTACATTCTATAGCAGGTTCCCGTATGAAGCTCCAGTTACGTAGACCCGAATACAAGCTCTTTGTCCAGGTTTTACCGTTGAACCTCCTTGCTCCTGACACCAGTATCCGGCATGTCTGAAAATTCCAGTTAAGTTTCCATAAGTACATTAGTGTATGAGGCGAGCAGAACTTGTACGATCTCCACAAGCCAGTAACCAAAGGCAACGATATTATTCAAGCAACTGAAACGACGATGAGGCGACTTCAATAAATTGCGTCCTTGATGGCGCAGCAGAAATCTTCATCACACGCAAACTACACGAAGGGCGAGGACAAACGTGGGGATCTCGAACGATATTATGGGACACAAAACGCCACTGAGCAACTAAAGCTGCAGTCCAACGGGGAGATGAGCGTCGGTTTGTTCAGACGTGGTATCTATTGCTCGTCTGGATTGGGTCGCGTGCTCTAACTCAGGCCGCGGAAACGAACCCCCAAAGACCTACTCAGATGAGGCCACGCCAATTGAACGGTAGAAAACAGAGATTGAGTAGTTGTTGAACATTATGTAATGCCCCAGCCATCCCAATTACCTTGGGCATATAGTTCGGCCTTACGTCTCGATTACCTGTCCAATAAACCATCTCATTCATCAAACTATCTCTCTTCTGGTGCTCTGTTCAATAGTAGTTTCTGACAACTCTCAAATAGAACTGGAATGGAGATGAAGGAGAACGCGTCAAAACACGCTAATTCTACTTAGTACCTGAAACGATGATTATGACATCACCTTGTGGAACCGGTATTGGCGTCCTTGTTAACACTGGCATCCGCCAAATCTGATTAGCATTGGTCTACTTTACTGCCTACGATGCTGGATACCGAGTCCTCCACATCTTCTGGGTTCAATGGACATTACAAATTCCATGTCATCGACAACTCCTCTCCCTAGTGCACCGCTGTCACAGTATGGCCCGCGAGGTGCTTCTTCGCAGCGTCAATCCTTTCCAACTCAATCTGTTTCTGTTTGTCGTCCAGGTTGTCTGGCAGCGTTCCCAGTGCACGTTCGCCGAAGAGTAGATCGATCTCTTCGAGAGTAAGCTGCTTTGTCTCCTTCAACAAGGTCAGCAGCTGTTCAAGCAGTTCACTTTGACTTATACGTACCACAAAAACGAAGCAGATAGTCGGCAATGTGACGCAGAGATTGAAGGCCACGAAGATAAAGTAGAACTTCCAGGAGATCTCTCCAAGACCGATTGGCGAGACCTGCGACCACACCGTACCAACTAACCAGTTGCCAATTCCTGTCGCAAAGGCAGAACCGCGTCCTCGGATACTAAGCGGCATGATCTCGGATGCATAGACCCACGAGATTGGGCCGAATGACACGCTGAAGATGCAGGACACCAAGAACAGAAAGAAGACACCAGCCCCCGAGAGCCCGTTCTTTTTCGATCCTGTAGCACCGGCGACTTGGGAGTTCAGTACCGCCTCACAAACGAGCGCAATGGAGATGGCTATGGTTCCAAAGATGAGGGGCTTCTTGCGTCCAACGCGGTCGAGGAAGAATATAATGAAGATGAGGTTGAAGATTGGTCCAACAAGGTTATAGATGCCGATTACGAGTGTGTTGCGATCGCCAGTGATGCCTAGGTTATCATACAAGATGGAGGAATAGTATCCGATAACGTTGATACTACAAGACATAGGTCAGCATATTGAGCCGAAAATGAACATATCCACGATGACTTACCCGGTCATCTGCGTGAACACCTGAGCCAATGTGGCATGCATCAGCCTCTTTCGCCATGGCTTGACGGTGAACATGACTTTCCAGCCAGGCGCGGTGATCGCTTTCTCGGCTTCGCTTGTCAACTTGATCTCGTTAAACTCGGATTGGATCCACTCGTCGTTAGTGCCGTCGTAGTGGAGTTTCCTCAACACCCTCAAAGCCTCATCTGCACGATCTTTCTCCATCAGGTATCGCGGCGATTCGGGGAAGAACATGATACCGCAGATGATGATTAGACATGGGACGCATTGGAAAGCAAGCGGAAAACGCCACGAGAAAGAGCTAGTCGCCGGAACTTTGGAGGCGCCATAGCCTATCCACGTCGACACTGGCCAACTGTCAGCTACCTGAGTTGTGGGAAGCGGGTAGGAACTTACCGATGTAACCAACGCCAATCATCTGCTGAGCAAGACCGACGATGAGACCTAAGCATCATTTAGAAAGTCATCAACACACCGTGGTACTGTGATAACTTACCTCGAGTCTTTGGATGCGCGCATTCAGTCTGATAGACAGGTACAGACATACTCAACAAACCGACAGCCCAGCCTGCCAGGATCCGTCCAGTGAGGATCATTCCGAGGTGCTGAGCTGAACATTGAAGTACAGCACCGATGAGGTTGATGACGCCACCAATGAGGATTGTCTTGCGACGGCCAATACTGTCCATCGTAAAACCTCCCCTACAATACATCAGTTCCCTGAGACAGTTCATTTATGTCGAAGACCTACATCAACGAGCCAAACACCGCGCCTCCTGAGAACGTTGCATTGATAGCTCCTATGATCGGCGATGTTTTGGTAGTTCCGAAGAAAGAGAGGAAATTGGGAGACCCAATGACTATCGTCATAACTCCAGAGTCATACCCAAACAAAAAGCTCTCGAACTGTTAGCTGTGGTATGGAGGGATATTGGTGTTTATGGGGGAGTGTAGTTGTGGTACGGGGGGTTGGCTGTGTGGTGCACGCATGATGGGGCGGGTTTGCTCACCTTCCAGTGGCCGCAAATACTGCGAGGAAGACATTGAAAACGAGACCCATGGCTGCTGCTGGCTGCAGAAGACAGAGGCACTGGAGTCCTGGAATTGTCGAGCATTTCCCGAGGGAGCTGTCCAGCTTTTAATTGAACCCATGCCGTGTTGCTCACGCTACATGACCGTGCCATACATGGCTAGATCCGGAAGCGCGCCCCTAGTCTCCATGACCGCCCGCAAAGGACTCTGTAAGGTGAGCGTGTGGTTCGAGTAGTAGGCCTTAATGATCCTTCTGGCACAAATCCGGGGTCGATACGGGGTATCGGGGTACAAGCATGCGCGGGGATCTCAAGCGACCGTTGAATTTCCCGCCAATCGACCATCAGAACCCCCGCAAAGTCACAATACCCGAGTACATTTAGCCTGGGTCACTATGGAGCGGCTCTACTTCTACTTCGGTCTAACATACGATATTTGGCAACTATTTGCTCTTAGTCGTGCTTCTGAGATCAGATCGTCTATCCTAGCCTCTTGACCTTCCAATCTCCGCTCAGAACGTCCATTCCCTTGAGTTCGCCGTTTGAATCCACCTCGAGTACACCATTTCGTCGACCAGTCGTATCCACCAACACCGCTTGATCTCCCTCCTTGACGCCGTAGAGTCTCAGTTCACCACCGGAGTTTAGCCAATCGTAGCCAAATCCGCCCTCGCTCTCAGCTTGGCCAAGAACTAACACACTCCCTTCCCGGACGAACAATGGGCATTGAAGGAAACCGTACTTCTCTTTGATCCATCTGCCGCCTTGCACTTCTTTTCCGTCCCAGAAGTTGAACCATCGGCCAGGTGGCAAGTAGTACTCTGCGTCTCCACTTTCTTCAAAGACCGGTGCAGCCAAAATCTGACTTCCGACCATGAACTCGCGGTCCACATACCACGAGGTAGGATCGTCGGGAAATTCAAGGGCGACAGCTCTTACACTAGTTGGCCAGCCATTGGCAACACTCTCTTCAGCTTGAGCATACAGGTATGGCATCAGTCTGCGTTTGAGCTGAACCCAGTGTCTTAGCACGTCTGTGCAATTCTCCGGTTCGGTGGATGAGTCGTCAACAAGCCAAGGAACACGGTATGAGTTGGAGCCATGAAGGCGACTGTGTGAGTTGAGTAGTCCGAATGCAACCCAGCGCTTGTAAATCCAGGGTGGTGGATATCCTTCAAATCCGCCAATATCACTGGTCCAGAACGCGAAGGACGCAAGACCCAGGCTCAAGCCTCCGCGCACCGACTCTGCGAGAGCAGCAGGTGTAGACTCGCAGTCTCCGCCCCATTGAAGTGGGAACCGCTGGCAACCTGCTGTGGCCGTCCGCGCGAACAGTATTGCCTCGTGCTCTCCAAACCTTTTTTGCACAGTTTCGTAAACCAACTTGTTGTAGATGAACGCGTAATAATTGTGCATTCGGCTTGGATCCATACTCTTGTCGTGCCACTGAACGTTCTTAGTCGGCACTCGTTCGCCGAAATCCGTCTTGATGGAATCAACGCCCATATCAAACAACTTCTCCATACACGCTCTGAACCAGTCACACGCCTCAGGGTTCGTAAAGTCCACAATGCCCATGCCGGTTTGCCATAGATCCCACTGCCACACATCGCCGTTTGTCTTTTTGAGCAAGTAGCCCTTTTCGGCCGCATACTTGAATACCGGGCTGGCTTGTCCCACATATGGATTGGTCCAAACGCTTACTTTGTTGGCGAGTCCTGCTTCTTTCATGCGTTTGATCTGACCAGCTGGATCTGAGAAAGACTCTGGGTCCCAGATGAAGTCACACCAGTGGAAGGCGCGGAGCCAGAAACAGTCGAAGTGGAAAACTTCCACGGGAATGCGCGACTCAGACATGCGTTCAACGAAATGGCGGACAGTTTGCTCATCATAGGATGTGGTAAAGGACGTGCTAAGCCACAAACCGTATGACCAGGCTGGAACGCGGTTGGCCTTGCCAGTCAAGATGGAATACTTTGTGAGAACCTCTTTCGGGGTCGGGCCGTAGATGAGGTACCTTTGGTCATTAGCAAATTATGAGTGGGCACGTTGGCGTCCACAACTGCAGACTCACCACTTCAAACGCTGTCCTTCGACCGTAGTCTGCAATCTCGAACACCGCTCACTCCCAATCTCCATATCAATCCTATCTGGCGTGTCAATGAATACGCCATATCCCCTCGAACTCAACCAGAAAGATATGTTTTTGTACGCCTGCTCGCTAGACGTCCCACCATCGTCATTCCAGACCTCGACATTCTGGCCAACCTTATTCCACGCTCCAAATCGTTCACCAAGCCCATGAATTGACTCGCCCACACTCAACTCAGTCTGCGTGAACACATAATGCTTATGTGCACTCAAGTCTTCAACCTGCTTTGGTGAGCTGAGCGCAGGTGAATATGCGAGCCCAATACTGCGATTGAGAAGGGAGGTCAAAGTTTTCGATCCATCAGTCGCATGGAATTTGATATCAAATGTGTGCTCGTCGCCGCTGACAGTTGCACTCAGAGAGCCCGAGGTGACGGTGGTTCCATTGCCGGCTCCGCTTCTTTTCACTTCTCCCTTTACCTCAGGCCGTCCATCGGGGAACAGTTCGAAGTCCGGGCCAAGTCGCCTGGCGCCCGCAAAGTGAGTGACTTCTAGTGATATGACGCCGTCAAACTGAGCTTCCAGCTCGACCGAGAGCGTGGTGAGATTGAGTGTATCGCCTCGAGAGAAGATCTTCTTCGACGGGCAAAGGAGTGTGATGGCTTTGTTATCTTCACGTGGAGTGACAGTGTATACCTCCTCAGCATGCTGGACCGTAAACTGGTCGTTCACAAGCCACATTCCTGTAGTGCGTTAGCACCAATCTTCAAACGTGCTTGACACACCTATAACATACCATCGCGAAACTTCATGTTGTCGTTAATGCCCGAGTGGTGAAGCTCAAGGAGAGTTGTTCAGTGACGTCCAAGTCACTGCGAAAGTACTCCCCCATTGCTGGATCTTATTCATATTCAGATATTTAGGCTGTTAGTACCTTGACGTCGTTCGGGAACGCGGTCCGGCTCGTTGCGGGGGTCATTGATGTGTGGACGGAAGATTCGGTAGGAGATCAGCCGATGTCTCCACTGCTAGAACGTCGCATCTAAAATTTACACGTGAAGTCGAATGCCGATCACGTGTATATCGGTACCTCGGTGCACGGCGGCTGTCATGCTTAGTCGGGCCTACTATCGACGATCTTTCCGGTTTTGCTCAACGCAGCAAGTGATCCGATGCAACTCTTTTCGGATAACCACGAGTGCTTTATTATTTTGCTTCAGTCAAAGACAGCACGTGAGAGTGTGTAAGAACACTGATGATCAAGCGTTTTCATGGTACAATTCTGAAGTTCTACGATAGACTAATGGCCATCTTGGGTTGTCCGTGTACGTAGCTGCCTTACGTCTATGCTGGTAGCGCTTGAAAATCAGTTGAGAAGGAGCGATAAGCGGATGGGAGACCATCGGCAACCGAGTCATGACGATCAAACTCAACACACACCGCGCCCGAAATCTCCAAGACAAGACAAGCAACATCTACGAGTCCTTTGTCTTCCGCGAGACAACATCAATCTTCGAGTGTGTACACCGCATTGGGCTTAGCGTCACGCAGCTGTCCGCATCGATCCCGGTCTGGGCATTCTCGCCTCTGTCGGAATAAGGTTCTGGACTCCAATCCTTCAATAATCGTGACCAGTGGCTGATATATTTCCAGTAGTGGTTCAGCTACTTCCACCTCTTCCTTCTAGGCAAGGAGTAATCCGTCATCCAAAGCTTCCTCTGCCTGGTCAACAACAACAATACCAACAACAACAATCGCAATCATGACGATCTCGCTAAAGTGCTTCTATACCCGCCTTCCGACCTTCTCACCCGCCGAGTTCAAAGATTACATGGAAACAGTCCACGTTGGGATCTGGAAAGAAGTTATGGGACCTCACTATCCAGAAACTTGGATCCTTCGTTACGTCGAACGAGCTGAGTCCGGGATTGGGGATCGCCTAGGAATATCTATCGGGAGTGAGAAAAACGATCCTACCGCGCCTGTTCTGATTATTGGTACGCCGAGTGAATTGGAATGGGATGTCGTCGGGGAAATGGTCTTCAAAGACATGTTGCATCTGCAGCAGGCTCTAGCTGTAATAAACACCCCGGAAGGCCAAAAAATCAAGGACGATGAGGAGCGGTTTACCGATGCGGGAAAGTTTCAAGTGGTGGTTATGGGAGCAACTACGGTTTTAACCTAGGATTGAATATGATATATCGAGGATTGCCATTCGAGCAGGTGTGAGGAGGGGGGCGACGCGCGTAGTCGTGGTAACGCACCTGTTCTGAAAGTGGTAACAGGCATAGCCGTGTTATTGTGTCAATACGTTTTACATCAGCTCCAAGTGGAACACCTGGACTCTTTGGACCATCATCTGCTGCAAGGACAATTCGAAAATCATTTCACAAAACACTCAACATGGCCGATGCATCTACCATTTCCTAATTGGATGGGTTATATCTGGACTTCAATATTGAGGGTGCATGCCAAGGTCACAGAATAGGAACGCTCCACTAGGAGAAAGTATCATCAGGGGTTATGGAATCCATACAATACCCTTTACAACAACATCCTTGAAAACAAGACAATCATCTCCCTGGTTGATAATGTATCGGTGGTGCACAAGATCAAATATCCTAACTAATCCCGTGCCCGTGGAGCAAAAACATACCGGACTGATTACGTTTCTATGTTTTCTTTTTTCTTCTCGCGGTCAGCATTACTTCATCTGTATACGGGGCAACCCGAGTATTGTACATGCAAAAATGACTCATCGACTCGTCAAGATCTGCACTGTGTGAGAGCATATAAATACACTTCAACACCGAGATGCCATGTTGGTGATCGATTCGGTAGGGATTTCGTCTTGCTTGGCAGAGATAGCGTTTAATGGAGATCGGCAGATGCGTCAAAGACGCGTCTGGATCGGACAAACTAAGAGCGCGCTAAGACCAACGCATGAAGAGTATACCTATCACGCAATGCACCCCTTCGTCGCGTCTTGGTCTTTCCTTGCCTTTGAACGACGTTGTAGTGACAATATCGAAATGGAGACATTTACTCCACCGTGTTGGGGAGCACCAACAGTATTGTCAACTTCTCACGTCTCGTCAAGGCCACAACACAACTATGCTCAGCAACGCAAACGAAATGGTGGGATCACGGAAGAAGCCTGGACGAAAATTCTTTCTATACTCAACTCAGCGTACTGAAGCTGCGGTGTTTCGTTGGCAGAGCTGACAGTTCAACATGTCTTGGAAAGATTCTAATCCGTTTTCAGCTTTGCATGTGTACGCCTCATGTCATACTACAGGACGTCAGAACAAAGCTTTCCATTCGCTGAGCCCTATCCAAGCAACGTACCAGCAGACGAAGTCTTACGTATTTATGCTTGCACGTAATGAAACTATAGCTATGGAAACTGGTAGAAATGTCTGCCAGTTGACGAGGAGTCATCACTTACGTTTGGGCCTGATCATCTCAGCCCTCGAGATTGGTACTCCAGGCATAGCAACACGAACACGACATATAGACTGCCGCACAATCTTCCATGGCGTATATAAGTAACACTCACCAACTAGCTCAGAGTCATGTTACTGAAGAGTGCGTTACTAGGTAGTGTGTTACTCGGGTCCTTTTGCACTGTGCTAATGTTTACCTTACCTCGTGATTCACATGTAATTCGAAGCAATCATTGTGTTTCCCAATACATTTCACCGTCGCCTATAATCCATCAACAGAAGTTATTGTACATTTGTAGAGTTCTCGTTGAGTCTCTATGCAAATCCTCGTGGTCTCTTCCTACTGGGTCAGTACTGAGTCATGCAGAATTGTACAGCGCATGCACATTCTGCATTATTTCTGGATGGTCTCGTTTTGAAGAAGGTCGCTGAGGGTACGATGTGCTCGATGGATATACATCATGTGTCTGTTAACACCAAGAGAACTCTTAACGCTACCGCACGTTTGCACTATTCCCCTTCACACAGCCGTGTGCTGCATACGGCAAATCAAATGCATAAGCGAACACGGACGTAAATGATGGGCACGCAATTCACGGACGAGAAGACCCGGAAAAGAGGAGAAGAGGGAGGAAAGCAACCAAGCAAAAGGAAGAGAGACTCGAAACAAGCAGATGTAAACCTTCGGCCACCATGACTGCATACTCCATAACTGAGCTGGCGATCTACAGCTTCAGACGACCAATTACAGACTATTGTACTTTTAGGTTCATCAGTGATTGTTCATCTTCATGCCCAACTACAAGGGATCTCCTCTTCCGAAATTCGAGGGTCCACCATGAAGATGAAACAGCCAGGGATTCCGCACGCTGGATACAAATAGTGTCCACATCATGCAGTATGCGACAAGAACGGCATGTGCATGTTCGTCCTCTATGATGCTGGGGTATCGGGATTACATAAGCATCGAAGGAAGCCGATGCTTGTGAACAAGGCAATTGCCGGCCGACCCCGACCGTGCAACAGATGGTAATTGGATAAGTGACAAAGACAATGCACTGATGGTCCCGTAAAGCCTGCGCTACGGCACTGTACGTTGGTACCAAATGATCGGATGGATGAAGCCTACGCCATATCCTGTCACGAATGCCCTAAGCCTTTTCGAGCGAAAAGCTGGCGGCGGCGGGTACGCGCATGGGAACACCACGTATTACGTTGTATTGGAGGAGTCTCTGCGTTCCAAATTCATTATATAGATATGGTCATCCCACTCTAGTCATTCCTCAAAATCGATTCCGATAACTCCAGCCCGCACCAAGCGTCTACATCCTCATGAACAGATTTTGTAGCCATGCTCTAAGTGCCTTCCCGAGCGTGCCAAATCTTGACACCAGAACGCCAGTCAACGTTAGCCAGTCTTCATACGAATGTCAAAATGTAGACTCAGCCAAGCTGTATCAAACCCTGAAAACAGATCACCGTAACAAGTGGTAACACAACATCATAACAAGCGGTGGTACAACCGAAGACAAGACCATCCTGCGGTTCGACCATCCTCTGCTCCCCAACAACTGCCCTCCCGAGTCCCTTCGGTCATGAAGGGTTGGTTGAATAATGCTGCCGAGGCTTTGCAGATCAGAGCCGCAGGTTGGGATGACAATGGGCACGTTGTGGTAATGGCGGCCACATGGACATAGCAGACCTTGCGCAACAACGACCGTGGGGTCGTGTTGGTTATCCATCAAAGGGAGTGACGTGTTTCCAGGAAAAACATGATAGTATATCGCCGTTGTTGGGGAGATATTTTGACCGCCCCAGGTCAGGTTGGACACCATCGGACCAGCGTCAGCAGAAGTCCTGAGTACGTTACTACCAGGAACCGTGGGCATAGCATCAACAGTCTCTGTGAGTACAGTATCGACGAACTGAGAAGGTGTAGAGTCCGTAGGTAAGGGACCACTGTGGTTGTCGTTGCTAGTAAGGTTTGTTCTGACAGACTTGGATGAGGTTCCGGCGCCACCGGTCATAACGTAGCGCGAGTTGGCGCTGGGAGAACCTCCACTGATACCAGCCAGGTCATCTCCTTTCCCTTCGACGATAAGATCCAATCCACGAAAACTTTCGTTCTCAACTGCCACTACTTTCTCCCTAGCCTCCGTGGCGACTGGCATAGGATTCGTGTCAGTGGCTCCCTCAGGGTTCGTGGTTATGGCTTTCTTCGAACCCATCAACACGCTTTCGATAACGTCAACGACTGGAAAATGTCAGCAATGAGTTGTTCAGAGAAACTTTGGTGCCATGAGGCCTGCCACTTACTCAAGTTTTTGCCCTCGGTCGCTTTCAAGAACCTCCGCACGTCACTGGGATAGCTCGCATCAACTTCGCGTCTTTGGACCAATCGGGCTTCAAGCGCGTCGATCAAATTAATAATAATCTCAGCCCTGAGCCGATGCCGTTCGTCGTCCGAAAACAACCAGCTATCAGAAGACGGACTGGTAGGTACGAACCATTCGACGGCGCTGACAAGTTTCCCGAACGGTTTTCCGTCCTCATGGCCGTCCTTCAAGAATTTGAAGACCTTGCGGATGTCTTTCTCCCTCGACGTTGCTAATAAATGTCAGTTATGGTGCTCAAGCACGACATGTATCGGTCTGCATTGAAGCACCACAGAATCCCACATCGCGCCGTCAAGCAACCGTCAATCGCGTATCGTCATCACTATCGAACATAGTGTATCATTAGAGCTACAGTGCCAACAGCACTTTAGCCATGGCGCCGACAGCACCAGTACACATAAGTTGGCGGATATGCGATGGTCATAGCGGGTGCACGCGGCATGTAACTGCTGCTGCATGGAAACACTGCGATAGTGCGGAACTGCTCCGGCTATCGCCCGTTCCAAATGCAGTGGGTCCTGGCTGCATATCGTAGGCTATCATAAGGAAGTGTCACTCACCAGGAGCCTGAAAGTGACCGTCTAACTCTTTTGGGCTAGCCATCCTGATGTCTGGGGATATGCACGGTGGATAGCGGGAGGAAGGCGTGTCTACGTAAGGACAAGGTTGGCAGGACGGTGCTTGTGCGTCTGTCTCGGAGGACGTGGTCAGTCGGGCATGGCGAGCGTGGGGAAGTGGACGTACCTCAGGGAGCTGTGTTGTGGCAGTCTGTAGACACAACGATATAACTAGGACAAGTGCCGTCCTCTGCCGGTACTGAATGAGCTTCTTGCTGGCGTGGCTAGAGTCCGGAGCGGAGCGAAGATGATGCGTGTGCAGTAACGAGCGTGAAGATATTGTGGGTCGGAACACGATGAAAATTGGTGAGGAGCGCTGGTTCTGAACGGCGGCCAAACGTGCAGCGCGCGATGTGTGACGAAAGAGTCGCGCTGACGCAAATCCCTTGGGCGGATTTCCGGGGTCGTTCAGGAACCCGCCGCTCCTATGGCTCCTTACGGGAGGCGGTGGGGCATTGGTTGATGACTAGCGTAGCATTGGCCGATGCCATTCTGCTTCTCAACATGGTTGCGGGTGTAAAACCATGTCTTCGTTTTTGTCTTCGTCTTCGCCCCATCCTTCTTCGTCTCTTGGAACGTCAAGCGTTTTCCAAAAATTCCCCAAGCCAAAGTGGTGGACTCGACAAATTTCGTTTGTGTGAGACTCGCATTCTTTCTACGGCAAAACGTGGCTCGAGCTTGGCATTGAGCCGAGCCTCGAGCAGTGTCGCCAGTGCTCTCGCTCCTGGGGACGCTTTCGCGCAACAATCCACCAGGCGCGGATTGCATCCGTGGCCTTTGCAGCACATGGAAGACCAGGACATGCGTGCAGCCACTTTGTTCGCGGATGAAGCGCAACGTCCCGGCGAGAGCTCCGCTCTGCCAACCAAGCCCCGCTGATATGCGAACAGGTTAACATAGGGCTGTGCGCGCCACTGTCATCCATGGCTGAGCCGCGTCGACGCACCTACTCTAAACACGTTCTCAACTACCATGTATAGTCATGACAGAGTAGCTGCAACCTATGCTGCACACATCTCAGATGAATACTTCGATGGAAATGAGCAGCCCAGGCTATGCTCCCGAGCCTTCCCTATAGCCGACCTCGAGTCCAGCCGAATCGACGCCGCAACAAATTCGACGAGCGACTATAGCCACGCACGCTTTGCCGTCGCTCCATCAGATCTCGCTGATGACGCATACAATACCTACCTACAACCTTTGGATAAGACAGTCGCTTGTATCTCATCTGCTACAGAGCAGGGCCTAAGCGTGGCAGAGACATCCAGCATCTCGCCTTGGTCAACATGGAATCTGGCTAGTTCTGGAACATCATCCCTGGATTTTCAATATGGTTCTGCCTTTACTAGCATAGCACCAGACATGGGGAACGATTGCCCCTGGTCTGGAATATGTAGTGATCGTCACGAAGAGGTATATGGATTTTCGTATGAGTTGGACATCCCTACATTCATAGCACAGATTGCTCCATCTACAACAACAACATACACTGCAATACCATATCCGCCTTCAGAGAGCCCAACAGACGCTCCGTTCGACTGGGGCAAGGGAGGGAGCACTTACTATCGTGACGATTCCAAGGAGCTGCTTCCATGCTCATTATCACCAAGCGAGAATTTCGAGCTATTCGAGTTCTACTCTACACCACAATTTCACCATGTAAAACATGATCAGATTTTCAGAGACGAAACAGAGCTCGAGACACAGAGACACCCCACTCATTTGGCTCATCATTTCGGAGAGCATTTGCATGCCAGTATGGAATTCAACCAGAGAGATGAAGCCTCAAAACGTATCAAAACACAACAACGCCATTCCGGCACCGAAATTCTGCCTATAGATACCATGGGTGAAGACTCTATTCAAGATATGTCTTGGAGGTGCGATGCGGTCTTAAAAAGATCTAGTCATTTGAAATCAAGTGATTCGCTTCTTGCAGAGATAGGCGAGATACCTACTCCAGAATCTAACACATGTTCCTTTGCCACACCCACTACGGCTCACTCGAAAGCTTCTTCCTCTCATTTACGCAAGAGGAAACTACACGACTGTCCAGTGCCAACGTGCACTAAACAGTTCACTGTGAATTACGACCTCTGTAGGCATCTCAAGACGATACATATGGAACCAGAAGAGGGGGGATACATGTGCGCTTTTGAAGGCTGCCCCAAGGCTGATAAGATATGGACGCGCCTTGACAGCTTTAGAAAGCATGTAAAACGCCACAGTGGCGTTCATGTTAACGACCTTGTTCTACAGTCCAGCAGATCACGCCCCAGTACAGATGCGAAATTCCCGTTTTCTGTAACAACTCCGGAGATCATGGTTCAAAGGGGGCTAACGAAAACGAACGTCAGATCACAAGACAATGGCAGGGATCCTTAAATATACGTTTTCACAGGATGCAGAGTTCATATATAGAATTGAGCTACGTTGTTCTCAACAAATGACCCAATTTGAAAACAGGACTAAATGCTACGAGTTCAGCAGGCTAGTCGTATACTGGTAACGATGTAGGCGCACACCTTTGACTTGAGCTTTGCATGTAGGCGTCGAGTTATTGCATGATTTCGCTGCAGTTAAGTTCTGGGTGTTTCAACCACCCGTGAATCACCTTCGTCAACTAGTATAATTCGGCAGCATTCGTCGGTAAGCGCTCGTGTTTGCTCAAAGTACAATCAGCACTGAAACAACTTGATCTTGAGAAGCACAATAGTAAAGTTGGTTATCGTTGTGAAAACATGAGTCTTGACAAAAAGATGTCGTTTATGTGTTGCAGAGAGCGAAAAGATACAGAAACGAACATTTGGCCAAAACTCAACTAGGAAATAACAGAGTCAACTACTCAACTACCCTCCCTAACTTGCAGCATTGCTATCAATCATATCTTCAATTTCTTGATAACGCGCCGATATTCAATGCTCTCAGCCGTGCACGTACGTCAGCTTCTTTGGTGGCCTCTTCGATGACATTCTTGATCACATCCATCTCTGCAAGCTGGAAGCAAAAGCCGCACATTGATTGCTGGTCCGTCACCTGCTCTTGGAACCAATCCCATGCTGGCTGCAGTTGAAACCCAATCTTCTTTTGGATATCATCAGTGTCTTCCGTCATACAACTTGTACGCCTGAAATTGGAAAGCACAAAATTCAAACTTTTAATTTCCGTCTTGTCCAAGTTGATGTCTTCTTCCAAGAATGCTTTTGCCTCTTCAGGACCGCCAGCGAAGACTTGGAGGAGCGTCAGCGCTTCGACCATGATGGAACATTGCTGGGAAAGTCGGTATTCTTTCAGCATGATTTGCTTCTGTGGGGTTCTCTCTCCCTGTTGTTGGTCCTCTTGTTGCTTGTTCTTTTCCTCTTCCTCCAGAAGCATATGGCGGATGAGACACAAAGGTGCAAGAAGTTTCTGTGGTGGCTCGAGCATAGGCTCGAAAGAAACTAGGATATCCCTTAATCTAGGTGCTTTCGGATAGCCTATATCCTTCAGAGCTCTACGCACAATGAGAGGCACATTCTGGTTGCTGTTGACGAGGTAACGGAAAAGAATATTGGTTCCTTCGGGTCCAAAATCTGCGTAAGACCCTTCCTGTTGTTCCTTGGGACTTTGTAGAATATCCAAGCCTCGAAGGAAGGTTCCAAAGTCGTATAGGTGCAGAATCTTTGCACGGGTTCGTTTGTTCACCAACTCTCCGAACTGCTCCAGGAGGATATCGCCCGTTGAGACCAGACCGCTGAGTGAGTCTAATATACGCTCTTCCTGTGTATCTGGAGGTCCGTATGCGTATGTCTTGTACAATACATCGTGTCCTACCTCCGCCCAGGCATGTACGAGTGCTGAAACGACCTGTATCTCAACCCTGTCATGCTTTGACCACTCATAAGATGGTTTCGTCTTTGTACCACTTTGATGCTTCTCTGTCATTGTGACGCGGTAGTGCAGTGCTTGATACCCACGGTGTCTTCGCCTGTAAGCTTTCCTCCTCTCATTGTGATGTGCGTCTGTCGTGGAAACCAAATTCTGCTCAGGTTCGGAAGAGAAGCCATTGATTGTGGACGATTCTCCTGAACCGTCATGTAGTATTAGCTGCACATTGTTCTTCCAGATCGATCTGATCATTTCTCCCACTTTCTTGTGTTGCCTCTCTGTGGGTGTGTAGAGAATAATCCGTACTCCGGCCAGGTCATGTATATCCTTCCAAATGGATTCGATGGATTCATACGGCTCTTCTTTGTTCCTCATCTTTAGCTTCTCCTCAAGACTTTTCTTGGTCTTTGTGCGACTGGTCACTTTGGCTTGGACTTCTTGCCCGCTGGAGTCCGTCAGGTCTTCCAATTCTGCTTCTATGAGAGCTTGGGCTTTGTCGGCAAGTGTGAAAAAATGGGCTCGATAATAGCCATCCAAGAATTGAGCAATTAGCTTTGGTGTTTCTTCTTCCACTAGCCAAGTTCCGGAGGTTCCTTGCCTCCGACGAAGCACAGGAGGAGGATCGTCATCATTCAAGCCTTGAGTGTTGAAACGTTTCATTATGTTCTCTAAATACTGTTCTTCGTATCAGCCTTCTCGAATAATTGTACACGAACGTGACCCTCGGGACTGTAGAAAGCGACATTGAATAAAAGTTTGTGTATTCTTTGATGTTGGATGCTTAATTGAAAATCATACACATCGTTATACTAGTGATCGTACCCAGAGTTTCAAATATGTAGTTGTACCAAGAAGATAGGAGTTAAACGCAACAGAAAGGAGTAATCACCAGAGGTAGATTGAAGCTGCCACAAACTGACGTTTGAGTGCCTCAATTGCCACGGGAGAGGTTATACAGAATGGTGATTGTTGTTGAATCTTGAGAGTAGTGTGTCGCCGAATAGCCTTTGCATTCAATCGTGGTCGTCAGGCTAGGTTACAATGAGGGAGGAATACTAATCAGACTTTGTTCTGTATCAGGTTGGGGATGCTAGTTATACTTATATCGTGATATAAACGCCACAGGCTGCAAGGCTCTCAGGAAATCCAGCCATATTCACGTCCGCAGCCACATTCGCAAAAAGTGCCATCATATTTCGATAGCTATTGGAGCAAATCCGTATCACTGCTAGTGTACATCATGTTGGTGGGGTGGGACCTTCAGGAGCGCTAGCGTCATTGACGGTGGTCACCGGTACAAGCGACCCACAATTATGGCTACGAACAGCTTAAGGTCGAAGGAGGATGCATCCAGGCAAATTGCCTGATTTTGCCTCTTTCCAGGCATACAGTTTGCCTGAGAGTCACGTCAACGAGGCAGCTTGAACTCAGCCCCATATACTCATGTGCCTAGGCCATCCTCAATGCCGCCAATCGATTGCGGCATTGGCGGCCTCCTCGCTATCACGACTTGGTCAGCCTATAACTTGCATCTTCCACTCTCAGCTTGTTGTCTCTACGGCGTCCCTCCCCAACAACGTGTTTCGTTTATTTTATCAGTTACATCAAATTGCTCTGCAATTCGTCATTAACCTTTGTTTTGTGGCCTCAAGGAATTATGCCGCATCCCAAAACATACAAAGATTACGTCGAGGCTCTCTGTCCACGCTACCCGTCGTTACTTACCCTCTACGGCTTCCTTTCAAATCCAAGGGCTCGTCGTCAGAGTTGCCGTGTTTCCGCACTGGACTTCCAAAGAGGATCACCTACTCCTACTGCGCGCCAAATCGGTGGTATTGACCATCTCTCTTCTGAACTGTTGAGCAAGGCCGATATAAGTCATGGAGGGTCTGAAGACGATCATAGCCAACCACTACAAGGACGGATGTTGGTGATAGAGGACTTGACGGTCGAAATTATTGAGCTACTTGGTTCTGAGCTTGACATCGACCCTCTTTTTTTCGCAATGCATCTGCACACAGTTCAGCGGAAAGCCATGCGCCATCCCATTCCAAATGAAGCGACTTTGCCATCCCGGCTCCTCTCGCAAAACTACCTCAACGCCGCTTACCACTGTCCTGTTACCTATGATAACGCAGATCTTGCTGGTAGGCAGCTGGTGGGAGACACCGCAATCGATCGCAAAGTGGTATTCTTGCGCTCTACTACCGTTGGACTCGCGGCACGCCAAGTATCCATCATCAAAATCCGGCGGAGTAACGGCTTATGGCTAGGTACGTATACGATGGTTGTAAATGCTTGAGTCTGACGTTTTAAGCCTTGACCCTTGTCGACCCGCCGCTCGGAGATGTCTATTTCACCTCGGGACACAAAGAAGATGCAACACACAAGGTCCAACTGATCTTGCGGCCCTTCTTAGGAGCTTACGAGGATTTTGCGGACCCCCCAAAATTCTCTGAAAATTGGAATACCCTGAACGACTGTCCAAGAGGCGGCATGTTGGACGATGTCGTGCAACGCTGGCAAGCTCGCGTTCCAGCTTGCTTCAACCGTGAAGATCCCACGATCCAATCATTGGCATACTACCCCCTCAAGATTGTAGCAGCGGAGTGGGTGAAATATCACGCCGTGATGCGACACTGCATCAAGCAGTACGAATACCGAGGCAATCAACTTCCAGATCTTGACAAATTCAACGCGGATTTACGTGAACTGCAAGGCTGGCAACGCCGTAGCACAATCTCACAAGAAAAGATCAAGTTGGTTATCCGCAATCTCCGTTCCCAAAATTCTTTAGGCTCGAGGAGTTGTGCAGCGATGGATCACGTCATCAAAGATTTCGAAGTGATCAACAGCAATATAGAGACTGCGGGTGCGAGATTGGAGAACATGCTACCTGTCGTCACGTCTCTGGTTTCTATCATCGATGCGAGACAAAACTTTGCTGAAACATTGAACATTAGTCGCTTGACTGTTCTCGCACTTATCTTCGTTCCACTCAGTTACGTCTCAAGTCTCTTCAGTATGAATCCTGATAACATGCCAGGCAGTCCGCATTTCTGGGTTTACTTTGCAGTTGCAGTACCCGTAACGACCCTAGTATTCATCGTTGCTCGACCGCCACACTTCGAATTACAAAGCGCGCTTGCATGGATTTGTAGACTTTGGAGACCGAAAAGGAAATCTGAACCGCCGGCGGAGATCAAGAGCGCCCAGGCGAAGAATTCGAAGACGTTCACATGGTTTCGTGGCTGGTGGAAACATGGAATGACACCCGATACGTCGAAGAACGTGAAGAGTGTGGAACAGGATGCTTCTAAGGCTTGACCATCGCTCGTTACATTTTCCAATGGTGGATCACGTCCACAATAGTATTCAGTAATCTAAACGAAATATGTGAAGCACCCGAGGTCAAATAGAGGAAGGCGTTTTTCATCTTGCGTCCTACTATTTCAATTAAACTTTTGATGTCGATTCTATCTGTTTTCATCATGCAAGAGATAGTGTAAGTGCTAGGTCTTAGGGTCACTGAGATCTACGACCCAACGCGTCTCTTTGTCCAAACTGCGTCGTTCCTCACCCTTCAGGTCATCCAGTCCGACTTCTCGCAAATCCCTAAGTATCTCGACGGCCTTGCCGAAACTCTCGTTCGACGCATAGCCCTCATCGGTCAAGACACCTCGTAGCCCTTTCCAGAATTCCTGGCTCTTGTTGAAAGACTCCGCCTCTTCGTAGTGTTGCCGTATTCTCTCTGGCAAGAAACGGTACGGACATGGTTCGTTAGTACCTAAGTGATCCCACTCACTGTACCAACAGTTAGCTAGGATAGTGAATAGGAAACATATCAACAAACTTCTCAACACGGATCAAACATTCCTCAAAAGGAAAGAGACTGTTGTCCCAGGTAGAGCCAACAAAAGCTTCCAACTGCTTGAGGGTCTGGCCATGGGGATGTCGCATTACCTTGTACATCAGAGGGTTCTTCTCCGCGGTCAGTGTTTCGTACGTGTGAATCAGGACAGACTGAGACACTTGGTATCGAAGCTGGTCCTTTGTAGCATCGTCGAGTGCTTTGAAGTTTCCAGGGAGCTTCATCAACATGTCGATCCCATAGTCCAGAAGCAATGGGGGATTGGCTCCGATAAACACCGGGGTAGTCCAGGCTCCTTGCCAGTCGATGATACATGAAATCCGGGCTTGGTCGTCGATATAGATGTTACCAGCATGAAAATCTGGGTGCCAAAGTCTGGGCGAAACAAGCTCTGGGTCTTGGGGAACGATATACGGAATTGTAGATAAGAATTTCTGCAACAAAACTGTGTGAGCCTCCGGAGAATTTTGCTCTGGGCTCATGTACGACCATGGAGTTTTATTCGGTTCCTGTAGGTTCGCGTGGGCGTTGATCCAGTCGAGCTCACGGTGAGCGACAGACTCTAGGTATTCTGCAGAAGATGTCCCTGCAACCATCTTGAGTCTAGAATCCGAAATTCATTGACGTCCAGACACTCACAAGGACCATAGTAGTGCATGTCACTGCGCTGTTTCACCCAGAACTCTGTTCGAGTGATGGGTCCAATGCAATAACGTGATTCGACATGACCGACGACATCCTGCGGGCCAGATGTAACGATAGCAGGCTCGCATCCCGCGATATCACTATCCTTGAAATACAATGATCCCAGTCTGTCAACAAGCGTAAGTCAAACTGGCGGCAAATTCTCCATTGGAGCAAGCTGAACCATACCTATCAAAGGAGACTGAGAGTAGTTTCCTTTCGATGTCTACAAACTCACGAATGATGTCAGACTTCGTCCGCAGTGAAAGATCTCGCCAGACTTCGTGGAGTAGGGAGCCTCTTGCTTCTTCCATGATGATGTATTCTGCCTGGACAGAACTTTGGTCGGTAGCACTCCAAGCAAGAACCTTTGGGACGGGTATATCCAGAATGGTCCGGGCAAACTCCATAGTTGCCACTTCCGATGTAGTGGTAAGTACTGGTGGGCCAGCATTAGGATGTGGGACTTTTGCGATGACCTTCTGGCCGTCTTCCATCTCAAGACGATATGCCTTGTTGTAGTTGCCTTCACCAATCTTCTCAATAGATACACACTTGTCTGCGCCGACGGCTTGGCAGGCCGCTTGCTGAAGACTGGGCACGTCGAAACGTCGATATCGGGCTTCCAGTTGCTCACGCTCATTCCATAACCATCGTCCGCTGGTGTAGCAGAACAAAGGATTCATGTCGGTTTGAGGGTGGAAGTGCATTGATTTGCTACTTCCCGAAGTATGTAGTAAGCGAGGATAGCGCCGCTTTGCGATATTTGTGAAGATGCTTCGACCAAGCGTCATGACTGTAAAATTGCAAGTAAAGCGGGCTGTGATACAATCAGAGAGACTGAGTTGAGGAGATCAACGACACGCAAGACGTCGAGACGCGCCGCCAAGTCTCACATGCTCTATTCATAATCATCTAATTCTCTCTCTGAGCTCAGACTTCAGAAAGGCATCTCGCAGCCGCTACAACCAGCTTCTTAGGAAAATGATTGAGGTTGTGATGATAGTGGCAATTTGTAAGCGGTTCATCGTCGTGAAGTGATCTGATCAAAAGCTTAAGGGGTATAATGAACTCGCAAGGAAAGCTACAATAAAATGCACGACAATGCAGGGCCCATGAAGCTTGACAACAGCTAACGAGAAACTCGCGAACACGATTACAGTTCGCCGACTGGGTATCGTACCACCCTATCCATCCGACATATCTTCGTCTCCGTCAGACATTGGCCCGTTCTCCTGATTCTTTGCCTTGTTCCTCTTGTTGTTTCCATTACCAACAGCCGCCCCACTGACAGCCCTCTTTCTCCTCGCTGTCCTCGCGCTCGCAGTCGAGCTCGGCGTGTCGACGCTCGCCAAATTCTCGGGCAAGAATTTTCCGCTGCCGGCAGCTTCTCGGATCAATGACGTAAAGAAATCTTGAACGGCAAGTTGGCCTGCACTTGCATCCTGGGAGGCCCCACCTTCGTCTGAGAACGACGTGTCTGCAAGGGTGTCTGGTGCTGTGAGCTTGAGGCGCTCCGTGCCGAGGTGGAAGCTGTTGCAGGATATGCGCGAGATTAGCACTTTTGGATGTGAGATGTCGAGAGCGAGGTGTTTTTGAAGGTAACTGGACAAGGCGGCTGTGAAGGGCTTGTTGTTGGTGCTGATGAGTTGCTTGCCTCGGGTGAGGAAGCCTGCAACATGCGCACCAGCGATGGTGATTTCAATGTGTTTGAGCAAGGTGGTAGTGCTTGGGAATGCCAGCTGCACGTGCAGTTGCCGTATGACGTCCTGGATGGATTGGGTGGAGGTGGCTGCTGACAGACACTTGAAGTACGTTTCGAGACTGGATGTTATGAAGGACGAAGACAGTTTTAATGGTGCAACATGGGCGTCGAATGCTGTGCGGAGGTAATCGAGGAAGACGTCTCGTATGGGACCCGGCATCTTCACCAGGAGGAGGGGGAGAGAGGTGAAGCCATCTGGCGACGATGTGATGCCCGGGTCGCGTAACAGGAGCGCGTTGTAGGACTGCTTCTCGTACTCGAGGCTGACGTGGATGCCCCGCGCCTGGTCTGGAGTCAGGACCGTAGACAGCTGTGAAGCATCCACGTCGGCTGCCTGGCGGTAGTGGTCTATCCAGGCGTCCTCGTCCCCCATCATGTCCCAGCTGCACTCCTCCAAGGGCCCCAGCTTGGCCGTGTCGTCTGCACTGGCAAAGTCGACCTGCACGCCGCGCACACTATCACCCTTCAGCTGCTCCCTCAGCCGTTTCGCGTGCGTTCGCAGGGTCCGCTCGGCCATGAGAGAGCCATGGCTGTGGTGCAGCGGCGACAGGCGGTACAGGTTGTAGGTCCTGTTGTAGAGCGGGTAGGGCGGGATGTCTGCCATGTTTATCGCGTAGGGCGTTGCAACACGGCAATCGACACGTCGTGACGCCAAGGGTGAATTACGCAAAGGCCCATGGGGGCCCCAGCTGCAATGCGACAGCAGAAGACGCGACTTTGGCCGAGTCGCCTTCGCGCGCGAATGACGTTCTTGGGTCCATCCCTGTCATGGGCGCACTGACCAGCTGTGGTGGCAGATGGCGGGGCACTAACAGTTTTGTTCTGGAGACTTCCTGAAGTTTCCACAAAGGACGCCAGTTTTTGCGATATCAGCATTGCCCGTCCGAGACGTCTGAACCCTCCCTCACGACTACTACACAGCACACCCGCTGCCCGCGCTCTTTCCCTGCTTTTGACCGCCTAGATACCCCGCCACTCCGCCGATAAACATGTCTGTTGTGGGCATCGACTTGGGGACGCTCAACAGCGTCATTGCTGTTGCGCGGAACCGTGGTGTCGACGTGGTGAGTGCTGACGACGACCCAGACACGCCTGCCCAGCGCATACTGACTCCCGCAGATTGCAAATGAAGTCTCCAACCGCGCGACTCCGTAAGCAAACACGCACCACTACCCACAAACCCCCTCGCTAACACACACAGGTCGCTCGTAGGCTTCGGGCCCAAGAGCAGATACATTGGTGAGGCCGCCAAGAACCAGGAAATCTCCAACCTGAAGAACACCGTCTCATCGTTCGTCCGCCTCGCTGGCCGCTCCCTCAACGACCCCGATGTCCAGGTCGAGCAGGACTTTGTGTCGGCGCCGCTCATCGACATGGGCGGCCAGGTCGGCGCCGAGGTCTCATACCTGGGCAAGAAGGAGCAGTTCACCGCGACCCAGATCACCGCCATGTTCCTCACCAGGATGAAGGCCACCGCCTCTGTCGAGCTGAAGCTGCCCGTCTCGGACGTCGTCCTCAGCTGCCCCGTGTGGTACACCGATGGTCAACGCCGCGCCATCCTGGACGCCGCCGACATCGCTGGACTCAAGTGCCTGCGGTTGATCAACGACAACACCGCCGTCGCCCTTGGCTACGGTATCACAAAGCTCGACCTTCCCACAGCAGAGGAGAAGCCACGGAGAGTCATCTTCGTCAACATCGGCCACAGCAACTACACCGCAACCGTAGTCGAGTTCCGCAAGGGCGAGTTGGTCGTCAAGTCCAGCGCCTGGGACCGTCATTTCGGTGGACGCTACTTCGACAAGGCCCTGGTCGAGCACTTCGCCAAGGAGTTCAAGGAGAAATACAAGATCGACGTCATGGAGAACAACAAGGCACGCTTCCGCCTGGCTGCCGGTGTCGAGAAGCTCAAGAAGATTCTCTCAGCCAACCAGGCCGCCCCTCTCAACGTCGAGTCTATCATGAACGACATCGACGTTCGTGGCATGCTCAAGCGTGAGGAGCTCGAGGAGCTCGTCAAGCCCATGCTTGATCGCGCCACCGCCCCCATCGAGCAGGCGCTTGCCGAAGCAAAGCTCACTCCAGACGACATCGATGCCATTGAGATGGTTGGTGGCTGCACTCGCGTGCCTTCCCTGAAGAACGCCATCCAAGAGTACTTTGGCGGCAAGACGCTCTCCTTCACCCTCAACCAAGACGAGGCTGTTGCTCGTGGGTGCGCCTTCAGCTGCGCCATCCTCTCCCCAGTCTTCCGTGTCCGTGACTTCTCCATCCACGACATGGTCAACTACCCAGTCCAGTTCACATGGGAGAAGTCGGAAGATATCCCAGACGAGGACACCAACCTCACTGTCTTCAACAAGGGCAACGTCATGCCTTCCACCAAGATCCTAACCTTCTACCGCAAAAACCCCTTCGACCTTGAGGCCAGGTACGCCAACCCAGAGCAGCTGCCGGGTAAGACAAACCCATGGATCGGCCGATTTTCCGTCAAGGGCGTCAAGGAGGATCCCAAGGGCGATTTCATGATCTGCAAGCTTAAGGCTCGTCTTAATGTGCACGGTGTACTCAACGTTGAGTCTGGATACTACGTGGAGGAGACCGAGGTGGAGGAGCCGATTCCCGAGCCTCAAGAGGAGAAGAAAGAGGGTGATGTACGTGTTTCCAGTTCTTCTACCGATCCGAGTACCGGACAGCGACTCAATTCGGAGCCTGCCGCGAAACGACACAAGTCCAGTAGTGAATTTGTATTTGCGCGTCCTTCTGCTTCTGCCACTAAGCCAGTCGAGCTAACACATGACACACAGGCAATGGACGTCGACAAGGATGCGCCCAAGGAGCCACCCAAAATGCGCAAGGTCAAGAAGCAGCAGAGGAAGGGCGACCTACCCCTGTCAGCAGGCACAGCGTCGCTCGATGAGGCCAGCAAGCAAGAGGCAGCCGAGCGCGAGAACGCCATGATCATGGAGGACAAGCTCGTCGGCGACACCGAGAACGAGAAGAACAACCTCGAGAGCTTCATCTACGAGCTCAAGGACAAGATCCTTGATGTCTACGCTGAGTTCGCCAGCGATGACGAGAAGTCGAGGCTCAATGCCAAACTCGAGACGATCGAGGTGAGTTGCCCAAGCACCCGTGCGACTGAATTACACTAACATGGTATCAGGACTGGCTATACGATGACGGTGAGGACGCCACAAAAGCGCAATACGTCTCCAAGAAGGAGGATATCCGCTCCATTGCTGGCCCCATCATCCAGCGCTACAACGACAAGATCCAGGAGCAGCAACAAGCCGTCCGTGAGAAGTACGAGAAGGAGGCTGCCGCAAAGCAGGCCGACATTGAGCGCCAGAAGCGGGATATCGAGTCCAAGAGGCAAGCCGAGGCACCGCAGACAGAGGAGAAGGACACGGAGATGACGGATGCAGAGACTGGCAAGTCCGACGCTGATAAGTCGTAGAGGGTTGACGCTGGAGGTGCTGGTAAATGTGAACAACGAATGACAATGACTGGGAATGGGAGTAAAAGCATTTTGGAGCGTGGCAGCATTTGGACTGGATGAGAGTTACATGATCTTTCCCATTCCTTTTGTGATGCGATGACGGTAATGCCATGCGATGCAATGTTTATGATAGACCGGTACATAGATGAATGACACGAGATTTATTCAAAAGGACTTGTTTCTCCCATAGTCTTGCCATCTGTTCTCTTCCAACTTCAACCTGTCTACTGAAATCAAAACCCTGAAATGCACACCGTACCAAATATTGTGGCAAAGATGAAGATGACCCAGCTGATATAGCTCAAGATGCAGTACAATACAATACAAGCAGACAGACAGTACTGTCCCACCATCGTGCCGTCTTGTGATAAAGTCGGCGGGGGGACAAGAACCCATACTGCCCATTCCTAAAAGAAACCGAAACAAATGCTACAAATCCCCAACGACAAGCCCAGACTACAGGTACAGGGGCAAGCGCGGTCGAACATCGCAAGAAAAGAAGAACCGACCCCAACCCCTTTCGTAGGAGAAAAAGAAGATAAACACACCAAACACTCATCGACCTCCCCTACCGCCCCCCCTCCCCACAACAGGACTCCCCGTAAAACTCCCCCTCGGACTCCGCATAACAGGCATCATAAGCGAGACACGCTCGGTGCCGAGTTTCGTCTCAAAGATGCGCATAACCAGCGCCTGAACGCTCCTCTGCACATCGCTGGCCATCTCGGTGCCCAAGAGGCCGACAACAAGCGGCGCGAAGATATCGACGTGTTTCTCAAACTCCTGCGTGGGGAAGTTTGTGTAGCCGTCGAGCACGGTGACGACGACGGGCCGCCAGGTGACGATGTTGCGCTGCTGGGTTTCCTCGTCCAGCTCGATGTAGCTGGCGATGATGTCTTCGCAGAGGGGCAGGAGGGCGGTTTCGGTGTCTGCGCGCGAAGCGGCGCGGTCGGTTGATGTGTCGTGGTACATGCGGAAGAGGATGCTGACGTAGACGCTTGCGGAGCCGCTTTCTTGCTTGAGCAGGTTCGGCGGCTGCTTCATGAAGCCCTCGCGGAAGAGTCGGGATCTCAGATCGCGGTCCGCGTTGAAGCGTTTGGCGAAGTGGTAGGATTTCTTGAGCACCGACATCAGGCGTAGTAGCTCGCCTGAGGGGATCTTCTCGTATACTGCTTCGTTTGTGAAGAGCTCTTGGACTGTTTCAATCATGAGGAGTTGGAGCACGCATTTTGTGATGATTTGGTTGAAGAAGCGGCGGCGGGCGGCGGTGACGACAATGGGGGGTTGTTGGAGGTCGGAGGTTTCCGGCCGGTAGTCTTCTAGGTCTTGGGTTTGGGACTTATGAAGAGATAGTGCGCGTTGCTCATTTGATAGCTCAGATGTTACAAGAGAGGCGCGGCGGGGCATCACGAGGCCGTTGATGCCTAGTGCGTTGTCGGGTTTTGGTTCCTCGGTGGGCGTCTGCAGTGAGAGTTCGCCGGGTGGTGTCTCTATCTGTACTTGCTCGTCGGACATGCTTCGCGTTCCGTTGACTGGGGTCTGATGGGCCGATGAGCCACTGGTAGCAGCGGAGAACAGCGCCGATGCTTCTGTTCTTTGGAACAACTCCACGAACGCCTTGACGATTTGGCTCCAGTGTTCAGGCCTGAACTTTTGTACGTTCTGCAGTACTAGCTGTTGTAGACAATTGCTGCCAATACGCGCCAGGGTATCGTTCTCCTGGCAGATACAAAGGGCAAGGAGATCAAGGAAACGGTCAAGCATGTACTCCAACGATTCGAAGAAGTGTGTGAAGAGCTTGATCATGTTGCGCAGCGCCTGGATCATGGTCGTGGAAAGCCAAACAGAAAGTTCTTCGTGGTTGAGAACCTTGGTCATCTCGGAATTAGACTTGAGAACCATAAAGATGGGGTAGAGAAGTTGTCGCCAGAGCATGTCCCAGAATTCTCGCGGGAAGTCACCGCCATAGCTGATCAAGGTATCGAACAGATAACTCAACGCTCGCGACCGTACTTCAAGATCTTCGCCTGTCATGAGAACGTCGTGGAAAGCAAACAATACTGGAAACCAGAACTGTTCCTCTTGAGTCTGTCGGCTAGGCTGTTTTGGTATCAAGGAACCTTTGTCGGACTCTTTGAGGTAACCTGCGCGAGCAGACAGCGAGCACTCGGGCGTCCGCAGCATCTTGGGTACGGAAGATTTGAGCAACTCGATTGCCTGTAAAGACTTTTTCTGGAACTTGAAGTTCTTTGAGAATTCCGTGAGACAGACGATCAGATCGGCGAATGCGCCTTGAGAGATGACTACGCCGAATCGCGTGTTGTAGACCTGGGTGACATTCTCGAACGCAAGATTGACGATGCCCTCTGTTGACTGTGAGTAGTTGCAAAAAAGAAGAACGTTGGATGGTCCTTACCGTACGGCTCCCTAGCGGCCACAGTGAAAACACCAAACATGGTTTTCCAACCAGATCGGATGTTCTCACCTCGAGCTTGTATCATTTGAATCAGACAACGCAAAACCATGTCTTTGACAGAGACGACGCTGGCATTATTGATAATGTGCTCAAAGGGCTTGAGAAAATCCTTTTGGAACTTGAAACCTGGAAGCTCCTCGATTTCCATAAACTTCATCGACAGCTGACGCAGCGAGTTGAGTGCGAAAAAGACGACATTTGTGTTGGTGTGGCAGCCGACTTCATTGAAATGGGCGCCTAGTATCTGCCAAATGGTGGTCCATTCGAAACGCACACGACTCATATTGTAGCCACTAATCTCCACCAGCTTTTGCAAGCTGTAGGTACGTGGCGACTCGCTCTGGCCAGACGACTGTATTTCTTGCCAGCTAACTTGAGTGAGTGCCTTGACAAAGTCGACAATGGCCTCACCCGAGAGATTCGCACTGTTGGTGAAGATACGATCTACCCCTCTTACAATATCTGTAGAACGGCTCTCTTCAACTACGTCGGCTTGGTAGTTGATGCTAGTAGCTTGTGATGTCGGTCGCCGGCGATTAGGTGGTGGATTGAGATTCTTGCGAGACTGCGGAGTATTGGACTTGAGGACATCTGGCACAGCTCGTTCGTCTACACCAGCAGAGATAAGCTGGAAGCGATCAAGTTGCGAGACGCACGTGAGGATCTGGCGCCAGGATTCTCGCAGCAGGTTACCTTCAGTATGTGCGACCTCGATAAGCGTTTTCAGTGCCTCCATGTTCTTAGCCTTCATCTCGCTGAGATTATACAGGTTAGTAAAGCGTGACAGAAAGCCTACAAAGGCCTGTCGTGCACTGTCGAGGTCAAATAGACACGAGATGCGAATCGCCAACTTGATACCTTCAATACACAATCGAACAACTTCAATATTGTGGTCTTGTGCTTGACCGGACAAAGCAGTCAGAAAGGGCATCCAAGTGACTTCAAACATGGGTCCAATATGTTTTGTGGAGGATGCAGGAATAAACTTTGACACTGGGAGTGTTGCAGCTGTCCTCCGCTGAGCTCGCAGGAGTTGTTTGTACAACTGCTCGGTCTTGTTGGCCATTGCTTCAGACGCTTGGGCAATAGCCTCTCGTTGCAAGTCTCGTGCACCGCCTGTGAGTGCCTGTCCGATACTTGCTAGGCTGGTGGTGGGCTGTTGGGAAACCAGACCCTTGTCTGCAGCAGCCTCCTGTTCAGTGTTCAGAACGATCTCATTGTGGGAAATCTCTTCATAAATGCCGCGAAGGTAGTCTTCCGGAAGATCCGCTCCATCATTGATGCCTCGGTTGTTCTTGTTGAAATCTTCCGGTGTCATGCGTGGGCCTTTCATCTTCTTACTGTGTTGGTCGACGTTGAGCATGATGACCGAGTATGACAAGACGTATGCAGTGTCAGCATTGGCGAAAGCATTAGGATTACCAGTAATGTATCTCTCAGCAAACTTAAGCATGAAGCGATCGATCTTCTGCGCCTCGCCCGGAAGTCGAAAGCTTTGCAAGAATTGTCTCAGAGCGTCCACGAAACGTGTCTTTGTGAAGTCCATGATATCCACAAATGCATGCATGATGGCAATATTTTCAGGGTCACCTTCACCAAGAAACTCTCCAAGCGCAGCTTTATCCAGCTGATCATTCTGGTAGAAGAATCGGGCAATGTCATCAGGGCCGTTCGAGGCAATGAAGCCATCTGCTATCAAGGCCTTCAACCCACGCTTTGGCTTGTAGTTGAACATACGCAGGTCGTTTGTAAGGGCAGTCTTGCGTTGTTTTGCTTTCTCCAATTGGCCGTAATCGTCCTCGGCAAGCGGTGTGACAGTGCCTGAATCCGCACCAACGTTTGGCGACTCTGAAAACCTCCGGGTATCTGAGGATACTCGGAGATCATCGAGCGACGTTCGTAAGTCCGTGTTAGGGCCCTTTGGGTTTTCTGGTAGAGCTTGCTCGGCCCAGTTAACCAGGGAGCGCAATATCTCGACAAGTGCCTCGAGGGACTCATGCTTCATGGCCCATTCCTGAGGGTACGCATGGTCGGTTTCGTGAGCCGCATTCATTGACACAGTGGAAAGGGAAGGCGGTAATGTGCCACGACTCTGCCAGTCCATTTGTTTTGATTGCTTCTCACGTTGTTCTTGATACGCTTGCTGCTGGATAGCTGTGACTGTGACTGGTGTGCTTGAGATTCTTGACAGATGCTCGACAACGCGCTGGTACATGTTATCAAGCGCAGTGCGGTCGCAGTCATAGTTCAGGTAGACCTCGACCAGTGCTCGAGGGTCTGCAGCCAATCTCCCAAAGATGGTCAGAATGTACTGCTTCTGGAATGCTGGAGCGGTCCTCTTGTCCAAGGTGGCAAGATATATCTCCTTCAAGAACACTTCAACCTCCTTTTTGAGCATGACGCGCAGGTACTTGAGCATCTGCCAGAAGATCTCGCATGCCACCTCGAATACTTGCTTCACGGAGCTGGCACCATTGCGGCTCAAGCTTAGGCAAAGATACTGTTTGATTGCTTGGATGAAACTTGTAGGCTCATCACCACTGCCACTCCTGATGGTGGCGTACGGTGAGATGAAGACAGCAATGTTGTTGTGGAGGATGGTTTGAATCATGTGCAGCGAGAGGAGTTTCGACCTCATACCTTGTGATCGTACATCTGTAGCATGATCGACCGACAAGCCCTTTGTGCTCAGCCGACACATGGCTCTAAACACGAGATAGGCGTCTTTGACAAATATCTCGTCTTCCTCCTCCTCTTCGGAGTTCCCATGTTCGTGTTGTGTATTGGACGATGCGTCGTGGCCGGAGACGTGTCTCGAGCCGGGCTTGCCCTTGATTCGCGTAACGAGGGTTGGAGCGTTGTCGTGTATGCGATCGTCGTTGAAGCTCATGTTGTTTTCGAAACTCTGAAGGGTGATTTTGGGGCCAGTGTGCATGACGACGGCCTGGTCACTTGGCTCGCCCAAATCGGGGTCATTCTCGTTCTCTTCGGCCTCTTCATTGGGCTCGGAGCCGTCGACGGGCTGCGCGTCGCCCTCGAAATCCTCGTCGACGTTGTCTCCGGAGCGGCCTCTGCCATTCAACGAGACTCGCGACAGGTTCAAGCGCGCTTCCTTGACAGTGAGCCTGGATTTGACCCTCTCGAAGACGGTGCCAACCATCTGCGTCAGGGCGCCCTGTGCTACCTGCTGGTTTGCGCTCGACCTAGACAGGAGAAAGATGTTGTAGGTCAGGCGCACAGCCTTGAGCAAGCCTGCGCCGTGCACTACGATTTTGTCGTTGAGGATGGCGGCGAGCAACGACTTGACAATCTGCAGTTGTATGTCTTGGTGGGTTGCTTCTCCCTGGAAGCAGTCGCATATTGTGTCGATGGCTCTCTCGATCAGGGGCGGCGCCTCCTTGTTGTCGGGGTGGGGCTCGGCGGGGACGGAGAAGTAGGAGTAGCTGATCAGCTTGCCGATGCAGTCCAGGGCGGCAATGCAGACGGGGGCGGTGGAGACTTCGGTGGCGAGCTGGAGGGGTTCGAAGAGCACCTCTGGGTTGATGCGCGCCGGGTCGCCCTCGGTCTTGATGGCTGCCAGGGCGGCATTGGTGCTGTCGCCGAGCTTCTTGTTCTTCTTCGCGTCTTTGGAGGCGGCGATTGTCTCGAGGGCGGTGACGACGAAGACGAGCGAGCTCCTGGTGGAGGGTCTCGTGGCGGTGGTGGCTACCGTCGACTGCGAGTCTGTCCGCGGACGGGTCGCGACGTGGGTGCGCGGGTCGAGGATCTGCTCGGAGGACCGCGGCGCGTCTGGGCCGTCGGGCACGTTGAGGGCGGGCGTGGACGACTGCTCTCGCTCTGGCAGTGTCTGTTGTGGAGCTGGGTCGTCGCCATGGCTGGATGCGTGCTGGGACCCTGCGTCTGCATTGCTCTCCGTCTCGTCTGCGGAGGAAGAGGGCGATGGCGATGGGGAAGATGAGGGTGATGGGGCTGCTGGGGCAGGTGGCTCTTCGCGTGCTTCCACACCCACGGGACTCTCAGCTCTCTCGGGGGTGTCGGTGTCGGCCATGATGGGCAGTGGTGGATGACGGTATGCGCCGGATAATCTGGGGACGTGTCTCTCAGCGTCTGGCGGGGCGGTCCTGAGCGACCATGGCGGGACGAGCAGCACGAGAGGAGAAGGGGGCGCGGGACCGTCGTCGGTCGGTGCAGGGCGAGGAGCAGACGGGGCGTGGACGGGCAAAGTGTCTTCGTGTCTTCGAGTTTCGGGCGCCGCTCCTTACTCGCCGGGGTTACGCAGCGGACGGGCGACGACGACGGCCAACTGTGGCTTGACTCTTGGCGCGAACCCATCTCCGCTACAGCTTCCACTAGCTTTTTTGTTGAGCGACACCAGCCCATCGTCCTCACCACACCTCGAGCGCTGCTCTGCTCCCCTCGCCCGTCCCCGCCCGCCGCCCTCGCGCCCTCCCCGTCTCCCGCCCAGTGTCTGCCTGCCCGGCTGAAATCCCACCGCTGCCGCCGCCGCCCCGACTCAATGCCTGCCACCTCCCACCTGCTGTCCCGCGCGGGCGCCCAATTGGCCTCGCGGGGGTCAATTGCGCTGCGAGGCGCCCTGCCGACGACACGAGGCGCCGACTTTGCTGCGTAGGTCGCTCCTGCCGCCGCGTGTATATACGTGCCTCCGACGTCGACTCTGGCTGACTCGGGACCCACAGCAGGCGCACGCCGTCTCTGGCTGCCCTCGCCCGCTACTATGCCTCCAAATGTGAGCAGCCCTCTTCTCCCTGGCGCCACCCCATTTCTCCGTCGCCCTGTGCGGTGCTAACGCCGGCCCCTCGCAGCCTACCCCTCGCACACGGTTATCAGCATGCCCGCCCTCTCCCCGACCATGACGGCCGGAAACGTGGGCGCGTGGCAGAAGAAGGTCGGCGACTCGATAGCCCCCGGCGACGTGCTCGTCGAGATCGAGACCGACAAGGCCCAGATGGACTTTGAGTTCCAGGAGGAGGGCACCGTTGCCAAGATCCTGTGCGACGCCGGCACAAAGGACGTGGCCGTGGGAAGCGTGAGTCTGCTGCTTGTCGACGCGGAGTTGTTGTGACTGACGTGTGCAGCCCATTGCTGTCCTGGTCGAAGAGGGTGAGGACGTGTCCGCCTTCGAGTCCTTCTCCATCGACGACGCCGGCGGCGCCAAGAAGCCCGACACCCCCTCCAAGCAGGGCGACGCCTCCGAGGCCAGCGAACCTGCAGACTCTGGCTCCAAGACTGCACCCCCATCCAACGAGGAGCCCGCCCCCGCCGCCACCGAGTCCGACTCCACCGGCGCACGCCTGCAAACCGCCCTCCAGCGCCAGTCCTCTGCATCGCCCGCTGTCAAGAAACTCGCCCTGGAGAAGGGTGTTCCTCTTGGCTCCATCAAGGGCTCTGGAAAGGGCGGCGCCATCACCAAGGAGGACATTGAAAATTACAAGCCCACCGGAGGAGCCCCCGCCGCCGCCGGTGCCACGTCCAGTGCCGCCTCCTACGAGGACACCGAGGCCACCAGCATGCGCAAGGTCATTGCCACCCGTCTCACCGAGAGCATGCAGCAGAACCCCCACTACTTTGTCGCCTCCAGCATCTCCGTCTCCAAGATGCTCAAGCTCCGCGAGGCCCTGAATGCTTCGGCAGACGGCAAGTACAAGCTGTCCGTCAACGATCTGCTCGTCAAGGCCCTCGGTGTTGCCGCCCGCAAAGTCCCCGCTGCCAACTCGTCATGGCGTGAGATTGACGGAAAGGTCATCATCCGCCAGCACAATGTCGTCGATGTCTCCGTCGCTGTTTCCACTCCAATCGGCCTCATGACCCCCATCGTCAAGAACGTCAACTCCCTCGGACTCTCGGCTGTCTCATCACAGATCAAGGATCTCGGCAAGCGCGCACGGGATGGCAAGCTTAAGCCTGAGGAGTACCAGGGCGGAACCATTACCATCTCCAACATGGGTATGAACGCTGCCGTTGAGCGCTTCACCGCCGTCATCAACCCCCCACAAGCCTGCATCGTTGCCATTGGCACAACAAAGAAGGTCGCGGTACCTGGCGAGCCCACCGAGGACGGCACAGCTAGCATCGAGTGGGACGACCAGATTGTCATCACCGGTAGCTTCGACCACAAGGTCGTCGATGGTGCTGTCGGTGGTGAGTTCATGAAGGAGCTGAAGAAGGTGATTGAGAGCCCATTGGAGCTCATGCTATAGATTCTTCAACCATTTAGTGTGTAGTTTGGGGCGGAGTGATGTGTAACTTTATATTGAGTTGTCTGGCGGCAGTGTAGGGCAAGATGACGGATTTGTACAATGAATTCAGCCTCTTCCATCTTCTGATTTGTCCAACACGTAATCCGGATATAACCAATGCGCCCTTCTAGTCGACCTTCTTTCTCCTCCCATCTACAGCTTACTTCTCGCCTCCCCCAGCGTGACGACCAATTTCCCAAACTGCGACGCGTTCTTCATGTCGTCGAAAAGCGTGTCGATCTTCGCAATGTCCAGCCCATGCACACTTCGCGACACGATAGGGCGCAGTTTCTTCTCGCGCACAAACTGCACCATGTCTGCGAATTCCTTGCGCGATCCCATTGTCGATCCGCGCACCTCGACGTTCTTGAGCACGGCGCTCATGAGGAAATCCATCTTCGGCGACACCGTCATGCCGTAGATGGAGATGATGCCTCCAGCCTAGGCATACATGTTAGTATGGTTGAGGGGTTGGAAATGCAGGGAGAGGAACGTACCTTCAACAGCCTCGTCCCCTTGTTCACGACATCGCCGCCCGCGCCGTCAATAATAGCATCGAGATACGGTCTATCCTTCGGCAGTTGGCCCTGCAGCTCCTTCTCCCACTTCTCCGCTTTGTAGATGACGCCCCCCTTCGCGCCCAACTTGACCGCCTTGTCGATCTTCTCCTGGTTCCCACTCGTAACATATACATTGCACCCTTGTGCCACAGCAAATAGCAGCGCCATCAGCGCGACACCGCCCCCTATCCCCGTTATGAGGATATTCCGCCCAGGCAGCGCATTCCCACTCTTCACCCAAAACGCGCGCCACGCCGTCAAGCCCGTGAGCGGCAGCGCCGCAGCCTCCTCGTCGGTCAAATGCGCGGGGCATTCCTCGAGCTCCCCTGCGTCGGAGAGAATGACGTCGGCCAGCGTGCCGCGCGGGTCCGTCTTGGTACCGCCCAGGATCGCGATGCCGGCGGGACTTTCGGGCCCGTCGGGCGAGTCGGCCCAGCCTGTCATGGGGTTTACGACGACGCGCTTGTTGAGCCATGCTTGGGCTTTGGCGGAGGAACCCGCGCGTGTGACGATTCCGACCCCATCTGCGAGGAGCGGCACGCCGAAGGTTGTGCCTGGGTAGAGGTGTTGGCGGATGAAGAGGTCGCGGTGGTTTAGGGCGGCGGCTGTGAGGCTTGTTACGACCTAGGATGGGAGTTAGTATATATGTATGTATGAGGGATGGAAATGTATTCATACCTCATCATCCTTTGGCTGAGGCTCAGGGATTGTGATCTTCTCAAGTGGATAGTAAACTTTCCCCGGCTTGCCGTCGATCTTCTTTATGCTGATTGCGGACGGCATTGTGAGTGTAGTTCGAGCCTAGGTAGCGTCTGGTAATACTCGAGTAATAGTAGAATCCAAGGCAATTATGGAATTAGGAGTGAGCCAGGAAGAGAAGCGGCCGTCACAAAATCGCCAAGGTCTACGTTTGTTCGTGTCATGGTTGCATGTTCGTCCAAAGAGATCTTGATCCGAGATACCGAGGTCGTGAACGCGCAGCGGCGGGGAAGCAAGGGTCCGATGTCATAAACATCGAACATTGCATCATCCAATAGTTGCTGATAACACCCCTGTGTCTATTTATTTTAATTGAAACAATGCTGCGTTTTGGCCTTTCGGCGTTTTTGGTAAGATTTTTTAAGACGGTAGAACATAGCTCTTCACTAGCTCTGAAGAGTGGGAGGTATTCGGTGGAAAGGAAAAAGTAGAACTCAATCACGGGTTTTAATGAAACGGGGCGGACAATGTGGAGGAAATTTGTTTCTTATGTGTAAACAACATGGTGTTACGCCACACATTCGTGTTGGCGTGTATATGGATTTATCTTTGAAGTCGATCACAAACATTACACAAGGGAAGTTCAAATCATATCATCAAGTCATGCAAGCTCATAAATAAACAGTAGTAAAGTACATTGAAGCCATCGAGACATAATCATCCACTGGGGTATCTCTCGCCTTTTGAGTTGGTTGTCGTGTCACATGTGATTGTACCAATCGAAGTTTACTCCCTCCATCTCGATGATGGATGTCTCCAGTCCAAGTCTTCGATCTGTCCATACGACATGCCTGCCAGTTCCTGGTCAACATTTACGCTTTCCCGCTTCTTGTTATTGCCTCTGATCCAGAACAACATCGCAGTGCTGAGTATAAGAATTGTGCTGCTTGTAGCCAAGTTCAATCCGTTACCAATGTGGTAGTTGGGGCCGTCAAATGGCAGGAAGCTCCACGTGGAAATGAGACCACCAATGTTGCCGAACATGACGACGGTGCCGATGGCAGAGGCACGCGCTGTGTCAGATACAACATTGGCAGAGGCGTGTGCGTTGCAAAGCGCGCCGAAGGAGAACGCGCCAGATCCTATAAGGAACGTTGCTCCATAGCGAACTGACGTACTGGTGCTGGCCAGGAACATGATGTAGCCCGTCATCATAAGTGGAGCGCCGGCAATTATGAAGATAGTTCGCTTGTCGAAGCGTCCACTGAGATACGGGAAGAGCACAGTGAAAAATGCGCCTACCATGTAGGGAGGCACTGTATGGAGCTGCTGGGAGATGACGGTGTTCTTGGGGTAGATGGTTCGTACGATCGTTGGAAGGAAGAAAGCCAGACCCTGTACCGTGACGTTGTCGAGCATGAAGATCACGGCTGTGCTTAGGACCACCGGGTTGAAAATTCCCCTAAGTGTCTTCTTCTTGTCGAGTTTGTCGAGGACTTCGATCTGACCGACACGCTCCGACTTTATGCGAGCAATGGCCAAGTCCTTCTCCTCCTGGGTGAGCCATTTGGCAGTCTCGGGGCGATCTGTAAGCGTGAAGAATGCGACGAGGGAAATGATGCAGGTCACGATGCCTTCGATGGCGAAGATCATCCTAGAAGAGTCAGTGATAGCGTGTTATCGATTTTCAGATGACATACCTCCAGCGTGTAAGAGAACCAAACGAGTGAAGTTTGAGGATACCAGATGCCAGCAATCCACCAAACGCGCCTGCGAGTGGTGCCATGACAATGTAGAGAGAAAGGCGGAAAGCAAGCTCCTTTCGGCGGTACCAACGGCTCATGTAGTAAGCAATCCCTATATCGAGTTAGCTTAATTCAAACCACAAGCAAAGATCATACGGACCTGGCAACATTCCGGCCTCAAATATTCCGAGCACGAACCGAACACCAGATACTTGTGCTTTGTTGTGAACGAAAGCTGTTGCAATTGACACAGCACCAAAGCAGAGCGAGATGCCTGGAATGAACCATCCTGGGCCGATCCATTTGCAGCAGATATTCGATGGGATCTAATGTTGTGTTAGTGAGGTCCTTTCATTGTGCAAGATTTCCCGTCGATTGAGATGAACTTACCTCGAACAGAATGTAGCTGATATAGAAGACCGACAAGATCGAGTTGTAATCATAACCTGCGAGTCCCAGGTCTTTCTCGAACCCAGCCAATCGCGCGTTTCCAATGTTTGCTCGGTCGATGAAGCAGAAAAGATAGAGTAGAGCCACCGTAGGCACAATGTAGAGATCGATCTTCCGTCTCAGGCGTGCCTCCGCTTTGGGATCGAATTGCACCAGTGAATGACCATAGCTGGGTATGTAAGCTTACATGCATATGTTATGTATTGTTACACTCACATATCGGTAGCAGCATGGCCATGTTCCGCGACGTCGTGCGTGTCTCCGTGTTTGAAGTCTTCGTACTGACTGGTCGAGTCCTTCTCAGCAGCCATCTTGGTAAGTAGTCTGCGCGAGTTCGAGTGGTGAAGAGACAGCAATTGGGTACTGAAAACCGACGTACCGTCGACTCTTATACCGTGTCTGGCTCCTGTCGGCCTGGCCTGGACGGCAGGTGCCAAGTGAACTTACATGATCTTGGCGTTGAACTATGCAAAAGAATCCCCAACTTCAAGCCAGCTGTGATTGGGTCGGCACCAACTTCGGGACTTGTAGTCCTCTCGTATGCAGCGGAATCGATGCCGGTTTCTTTATCCCATGACACGCGTTCGGTTCATGGGTGCTGAATGATCTGTCGTGGCGTCCAAGGGCTTGTGGAGGTGTGGGGTTTGTGGGGACCCCAACCTTTTCCTGCCGGCAGATGGTCGGTGTTGGCACTAGTAACTGCCAGACCGATGCACAATGACTCGAAAACGACTCTAGGGCTGTTGATCCCATGCCGCATCCAAGTTTGACAGCAGTGTTGAGCATGTATATGTACGCAATTAGATGCAAGGCTCCAGATGTAGTTAACAAAAAGCTCGACATGGAGTCTGCGGTTGCGTTCAGCCTCAACACCAGAACCCTCAATCCTGAGGTCGCACATTTTAACGAGCGCTTATCTGTTCCGCGTGTGCTGTGTCTTTGCATGCTGCATCCATCCAGCCCAATCTGTCGCCTCCGATCGCCTGATGTATCTGGTGGCGCTTGGAGCTAGCTGTTGTGCTGCCCGCACTCATAGGTAGTAGAAACATTGAAATTCAGCCACTTCGCCAACAAACTGGATCGCGTTCCGACACTAGAACTAATCCCAAGGCTAAGGCACCCGACTGCAAATTAGAGTTTAGCCTCGGGACAATGAAGGGTCATGGAGACCATGAAAGCTTGCGCATGCCAATTGGTACGCTATGCCGGATCCCAGTAGTTAGGTTTAGATGAAAAGAGTGGGTAAAGTCAAGGGTGATATCTACTATTCTCAGAACAACGACTCTACGCTCTGGAGGCATGGATTGTGTGCCTCGTTCTGCGGATATTCTTGTACCAGACGTCTCTTGCACATGAATGAGAAACTGCTCTTGTTTCACCCGGACCTTGTTCACGTCAATATGTGTGTATGTGTGTGCTTAGGCCGGGTATGGTCTTATCCTCGGGCTCTACTGCATGCAATATGGCGTTGTTTGGAATTGAGGATCTCGTCTAAAGTTGCATGATGAGACGCGTTTTCGACCAAGCTTTACGAGGTGCCGTAATCACATGTTTATTACTGATCGTTCCAGGTACTGCAATGCTCAATAATTGTTGAATTTTGATTAGGGACCTCACGATCAAACACAGAAGCCAGGCATGTAAGAAGACGAACGATTTCGACAATGGATTCAATGTACCTTCACGATGTAGCAAACGTCTTACGTTGTCTGGTACAGAGCTGAAGCAGTAGGGCACGCGCAAATTGTTATTGTAATGGCCGGCAACTGTTCCATCCCCAGCATCTAATTTGACATCTCACCCTTCACGTCGATCAACCTTCCAAGCACGCTCGTTTCCTTCAGTTCCTCTTCCTCTGCAATTCCCAGCATCTTCTTTGTAAACGCATGATATCCCTTCTCGCCATTCTCCAGATCCATGAACTTTCCCACATCACTATAGATCAACTCGCCATAACGCCGGGAATCAGCCATGAGCACGACAACCGAACGAGCAACCACATCAGGCGACTGATAGTTGCCTTCTCCTAACGCAGCAATGACCTCGCGTGGAACGATACCGGTGTCGGTCCATGAAGGCGCGATGGCATTAATCCGGATCGGGAGATGAGGGGAAAGAAGCGGGTGCAATGCACGCAAGAGGCCGAGCACTGCGTGTTTGGCCGTTGCTGAGCAGCTGTCAGTTTTGGATATGTATCCAGGGAGCAGATGCCCCGCGTACTATAGTCTGTGGCGGGGAACCGCGTAAAGCTACTTCCCGAGGCTGTCAATACGACACTGCCACCTTTCGGGTTCTTTTTCAGGTAGTGAATGCCCAATTTAACTGTATACATGCATCCTAGCAAGTTGACATTGATCGTATTCAGTTTTGGTGGCATCAAATCTCCGTTTTCGTCGGTATCGTCTTCGAGTAGCGAGATTGTTGGCTGGATTCCCGCATTGGCGAACACATGGTCAATTTTCCCGTACATTTCTTGGGCCGCCTTGAACATTTCAACCTGATCTTTCCAGGACGTTACGTCGACTTTCATATAGGGAACTGACGATGCCTCTGGTTCTGGCAATGGGTTGAGATCACCGGCATACACTCTGCCGCCATGTCTGAGGACACGTCGGAGAGTTGCCAGACCAATTCCAGATGAGGCACCTGAGGCAAGTTAATAGGAGTGATATAGAGTTAGACAGTGGATCTCAACCGGTAATGAGGACGACTTGGTCCTTGATGCCTTCAAGGTTGCTGTCGGAAATTGTAAAACTAGTCATTTGGACCCGCTTTATTTGATACTAACAGGTCGTGTGGCAAGACTCCAAACAGTCTCGGCAAGAATGAATTTGGACAAGGGTGCTAGAGCCTTGATATATCTCTATGAGAACTTGATTCGGACCAGGGAAAGTATTGTTGAAGTTGATGGAGAGTATCGACGGACTACGATGTTCGGGAAGTGAGTTCCATTATATATACGATCAATGTGGAGAGACCGGAGAAGAAACAGTAGAAGATTCGTGTCCCCTCAACCGTATACACCGAAATAAGCGGAACCTAAGCAATCAGACCCCGCACTGACAGACTGACCTCGTCAATGACTAGTCAGTAGAAGAAACTTAGAAACGCATCAGGTCATGCTTGTAGATTTTTTTGAGCGGATGGTAATATCTGCAATGTTTCCGTTGGAAAGGGTTTTTGGTATTGCCAACTATCTAAAGTCGATCGGTATGGCCCTCAGTGCATTGTCGCGAACATGAAACTCAACGTCGTTCACGCCTCGCCATCCAAGGAAGGTAGTCTTATGTCGGTGGGTTTTTTTCACTTGAATACATCCAAGGCCTAGGGGTATACTGCTTGGTTGGACCAGCAATGCTGCTCGCAGAGACGTAACCGATGAATGTCGTGTATCTGACTGCTGTGTTGGCGCTCGTATGAAGTAATGGTGACTCAATCGATGCCGATGTGCAGTGGAAAACGATAGTTGCATGCGCTCGTTGCCGCCGAGGATGCGCGTAGAACCCATTCAAGCACCTCCGCCGCCGCCGCCACCACCACCACCTCCTCCTCGACCACGACCCCGCCCGCGCCCTCGCATGCCTCGACCCCCGCGATCACCTCTGTGGTCTCCCCGCTGGTGCATTCCACCACGGCCGCCTCGGTTCGCTTGATCCTTAGCCTGTTGTTCCTTGACGACCTCGACGATCTCGTCCGGTACTCGGAGGTACTTGATCTGCAACAAATCAGCCCTGGATTGCAGTATTGCCTGTGTATGTACTAACTGTACTGCCGCGCACATAGATCTCCGGTAACCTCATGAACTTGTCACCGTCTGCGCTCGTCTGGACCACCTCTCTCAGTGTGAGGTTCATCCATGTGTCGCAATTAATGAGGAGTCCGTTCAACGTCTCGCCGCTCTTGAGTTCGACGAGCATAGGGTGGCCCGTCGCAGCCGTCAAAAGGCCTAGAGGAAGCTGTCGTAGATATCAGCAAGGTATTCGAAATATTACTGCGACATCATGTGGTGTACCATATTATCGTGTGTGTATATTCAAGGCCGTAGTTATGGGTAGTGGGGTGCTAAAGCACAGAGTGTGTAATTGCGATTCGAGCAGTGACCCGTCGCTAGTTGCTTGGACAGAGTTGGAGCGCGTCGTGACCGTGACGTTGACCTGGAGAGGCCGCTCCATTGATCGTCACGTCGTTTGATAGAGCTTGGACCGTTTCTTGGCAAGACAGCCTTACAACCCACTTGAGGCTGATCGTCATCATACAGCTTCAGACACGATCTTGTGAAAGGTGTTTGCATCTTTCTACGAGATTTAAAGCAGCTTGTAACCCGGTAGCTCTTCTCCTGCGCTGGTAATTCCAACCGCCTTTTGAATGGAATGTGCTGACAAGTCAAATTGAACATTATCTCGTCAGGATAGTTGCGATTCCAAAAGCCAAGAGTCTGCATGAGGAATGCTCTGTTCTGGTGTGCAACTGTCCAGAAAATATTGCAAATAGACTGGTACAGGGCAAAAGGTCTGAGGACCACAGCACGCCGACAGCCTTCTGCACAATACCCACTTGAGACCGGTCAATTGACGCTCGTGTTTTTGTTTCATGCTTGCATTTCAGGCATCCAAGCTTAACCGTGACCAGACGTCTAAGCCACACTCTGACAGTCGCCACGCGGCCCCACGCTCACACGCATCGCCCACGCCCTTCGGCTGGTGCCTGATCCTCAAAGACTTGGGGAGAGTTTGATTCTCTACTTTGCCAGCTAGACGCCTCGCGCGTTTTCTCGTTGCTGGCTACACGGTCGTTAATATCCTTCTTGCTCTCGTTTGTGTTCTCGCAAGCATGCGAAACTTCAAGTCGAAAGTGCTCTCAGCTTACGCCTGGGCTGCACCTGTGCTTGCCGCCGTCGTCCCGAGCCAATATCAACTGGCTCAACCTCGCGGACAGATCTTCCAGATAGGTGCGAAGCGCTCTTATACTGTTTCATTCTCGCCATGTCTAGGCATCTGCTGAACAACATCTCCAGAGCACCAAGATACTTACGCGCAAGCTACCTTCAGTGTTCCCTGCACAGGCTGTCTTGGCTCAGACCACACGGGCCTGGATGACGAGTCTCTTGTAAGGCCCACTCCAGGCATCTAGATGCATCACATATGCTCACCACCTTTTAGATTTTAAACTTTCGAACCTATGGGCATGACCAAGAGTGTGGGGCTTCGAATATCACGCTAAATGGAGTATTCCTGCCACAGGAATGGGATGGTGACTTCGCATCCGGCTCTGCTTCTCACAACTACACTGGTGTCGCGAATCTCCCACAGGATGAAAGGTCTCCTCAACACGACTTGGATCTCGAGTGGAACTCAGCCTGTCTTCACGGCATCGAAGAGACAGATGAAACTGCGCAGGTGCTGACAGTCAATATCAAGGCCGTCGACGGCAAACCAATTGAAGTACCGGCTGGGTTCACGATCTCCTTCAACCAGCTGAAGCAACACAAATCCATATCATCGCCGTCACTTCTCAGACTTGCAACCGTTCCGAACCCCTTGGCCAGTGATAGCCTAGTAGCCGAGTCCTGGCGTAGCCCTCCACTCTATCTCCGGTTGTATTCACCGGACGCACCTGCAGACGGTCAGACTGTGGAGTCGCTCAGCGAACGTTCCTTACAAGCTGACATCCGCGAGCTTCAAGCTCTTCAGTCCGAGCTCCGGGAACTTCAGTATCTAGTAACCCGGAAGAGCATCTCTATTCAATCGCGGCTCAGATCAAACCATACATGCTTCAAAGACGAAGTAAAAAAGTGCAAGAACGTATCCTGCGTTGTCAAGGCCGTAGCCAACAAGGCTCACGGTGCCTGGAGGGATATTGTTGTCCACCTCCACTTTGACCAGCAGCGTCACGCTGCCGCCGACATGAATCGTCTTCACTTTGCTCCAGCACATGCTCAGTCGATGCAGAAAGACGGGGGCCACATTCAGACTCTATCGTCTGAAGCTCAGCCCCAACCATATGAAGCACCAACAGTGAGTAACATGTCTGGTGTCCGCTAGACTGCAACTTGCACTGACACGTCCCCAGAATGAACTGCCCCCGCGTCCCCCACGCAAAGCCCCATACGTTATTGCGCTCGAGATCACTCTCAGCGTCCTATGCTGCGGTTGTCTGATTGCTACCATTCGTCACAAGTGCGCCAGCCTACGTACTAAAACCGAACGCGCAGCAGACTTTGAGGAGCGCATCAACGCGCGCGCTTACGCCCGTGCCGCCCGCCAACACGCATGGCGAAACTGGTGGCGCGGGAACTGGCGGCGCAATCGAGACAGCGAGCGCATTGCCGACTACGAGGAAAAGCGGGCGCTTATTTCAGCACAAGAAGATGTGCTGGAAGACGCCATGCAAGAAGAAATCCGCCAGCTGAGAGTGGCGCACAATGTTGTAAATGACTTGGTTCGAGATGCTGAGGAAGGTCGAATGAACCGTCCGCCACAATGCAATTGTCAACGCCCGCCTGATTCGCCGTCGGCGACATCCACTTACCCACCCACGTCCCTGCCAGAAGTACCTTCCCGTCCTTTGTCGAGGACCGACAGTCTGCCCAGCTACCGCTCTGACCCGCCCGCATATGAGTCCGAAGGCGAGGTAGTAGCTAATGGCTTCAACTTTCTACCCAACGCCCGACAAGGTGTTGTAAGAGGTTACGCCAGGTCGACCAACTCTGAGATGTCGAGATGGACACCGGACAGTAGTGTGGTGGATGTCAGTCCGCGACCGAGTGCTGAGACGTTGAGGTCGTTGTATCCGCTGAGTGAACTTACTTCTGACGATGAGGAGTGAACGAGGAGTTGTAGAGGTTGGGATGTAATCATGGTTTACGGTTGTGTGTTTTGTAATTTGGAGTTTGGGAAACAGCGATGAGCGTTTGGTAGCTTTTGTTCGTCGTACTAATCAGTCTGGCGTAAAGGCGTTTCTAGGTACACCGTCGCAGGATATAAAGCGGCATTTCTTGTACTATACCCGTAATCGGAGGTTCCAAGGCGGACGTCATACACACATATGCAAATCGACTGGCAGAAGGGGTGTTTGACATGCAGAGTTGAATAAGTTCTCGTAAACACACTCATGCATCATGTGGTTTGCCGTGACGATATTGTACATTCGCTTCCGTCTATAGATATTGTACATGTCTCCATCCACGACAAGGTCCTTCCTCTTCTACCGCCTCCTCAGATACCAGTTGAATGCTAGCTGCCCCGTTTCCACATGGAAGGGCGTTGGGACCTCGGCCAGCCCCGGCCTCGCAACCGGATGCCTCAGGTAGACGGCGGCACAGATATTCTGATTGACCTCGAGATATCTTGGGATGAAGGCGAAGGCGCTCATGTAGTCCCTCGGTCTCCAGGGCGTGGCGTACGGTGCGTGTCTGTTGCGCCCGTTCCACACGGACGTGTGCTCTGCCTCCAAGCGCAGTTTCTCGAAGGCGGAGCGCAGCCTTGCCGTGTCTTCTGGCGAGATGAGGGGCTCGGATGCTTCGGGCGTGGAGGTCTCGGCTGAGCGGTCGGCGAGCTGCTGCTTCAGGAAGTCGAACTGCGTGTCGAGCGTGGAGACTGTCTCTGGGTTCGCCGAGCGCCAGAGGGAGATTGCCTTCTTCACTGTCTGGCGGAAGGCGCGGAACTTCTGCTTGTCCTTTGCCTTGACGTCTTCGGCGAGCACGTCGTCGACGTGCTCCATCATGGCCTGGAGGTGCTTCTTCAGCTCTGGGGCGGTGGGCTCCTCGCGGGTGCTCCGGGACACGGCCGGCTCAGCGGGCTGGCGGGGGGTCTGGCCTCCCGACGCCTCACGGGCAGCAGCACGCTCGGCGGCCTTTTCCTTGATGACGCGGCGGGCGACGTTGGAGCGCTCCTTCTGGGCGCCGGTCGCAAACATGACGGACGAGGGCTCGACCTGGAACATGTCGCCGGGGTTGAGCATGTAGCCGGGGTAGGGCATCTAGCTTGGTCAGCTCACAGCAGCAGCAGCCCCGTGGGAGAGGGCTCGACGCACCTTCTTGCCGTTGACGCGCACCAGGCCGTGGACGCAGAACTGCCTCGCCTGGCGCACGCTGCTCGAGAAGAGCGAGCGGAAGATGGCCGTGTCCAGGCGGCGCTCGACGGGGTAGTAGGCCATCTGCATGTAGGGCGTCATGGGCGGGGTGCGCTCGCGGTCGACCGTGTCGGCGCCTGCTCCCCGCCCCGCGGCCTGCTCGGAGCCGTCGTACCTGGCGAGGTACTTGTGGTCCATGGGCACGACGGCGGGCAGGCTGCGCTTGAACAGCCGCCGCCACTTCTTCTCGCGGATCTGCTCGCCGTGGTAGGCGCGCGTGTCGGCCTTGGCCGTCCATTTCTGCTGGAAGTAGGTGCGGCTGACGACGTTGGGGGCTTTGAGCTGCGCGAGACTGTACAGCGTCCAGCGCGACCAGTCCTGCCGCACTTTCTGCGCCCGTCAGCACGGCCGCGGGCGTCTGCGGCGGGCGACCTACCAGCTTCTTGAGCGAGTGGAATCTCGGCTTCTTCCTCATGGTGGCGGCCGGGCGATGGTGGGCGTGGGGAGTTTGGTGCTGGCGGCCACCGTCCCCGTCGCCCGCCGCCGTCGACGATGAACAATTGATTGAAAATGCTTGGCACGCGGAAATTTCCCCACTAGAGCTGCCAAAAGTCCGCTCCAGCGCTTTTCTCTCACCAACCTCCTCCCCTTGGCCTGCAAAACTCGACTCGGACCCCAGCAGCTCCAGATTTCCCACGCGACTCCAGCTGCACCAACCGCACACATGGCCGACACCCACGAGGCTGCCGCCGCGCCCGCCCACGCCGTCCAGGCTGAGAGCTCCGTCGAGGTCCAGTCAGCTCCCAAGACGGATGCGCCCGCGACCGAGCCCACCGCCGACAAGGCTGCCAACGACGGCGAGGACAAGCCAGAGCGCAACGGCGACTCGAAAGACACGGACGCACGCCACGGCGACCGCAACGGCAGGAGCGACCGCAACGACCGCAATGACCGCCGCGATGGTGGACGCGATACCCGCAGGGGTGGCCGGGGCGGTCGAGGCGGCGGTCGAGGCGGTCGCGGTGGTGGCAACTTCAGGAACAAAAAGTGCGCTCTCTCTGCCATGCACGTCGCATCGCGTACCCTTTCGCTGACTCACTCTGCAGGCCCAACGACGAGTTTGACGACCTCCCCGAGACAGACGACCCCATCCAGATCCGCTCCCAGGTAAGCTGCTGGCCGCTCCCTCTCCCCCTTCACACCCGTCTAACAACGCTCAGGTCGAGTTCTACTTCTCCCCCCACAACCTGGTCACCGACGAGCATCTGTTCAAGGAGCTCGACGGCCCCAACAACCGCCCAGTTTCCCTCAAGCACATCACCAGCTTCAAGCGCATGCGCCACTTCCAGCCCTACTCGGCCGTCGTCGACGCCCTGCGCGAGAGCACAGAACTCGTCGTCGTCGATGACGGCGACTTCAGCGGCACTGGGAAAGAGGCTGTCAAGCTCAGGCAGTCCCTTGTCGTCCCTACACAGGACGGTGACGACAAGAACCCCCCTTCCATTGGCGAGCTCTTCTACCGTTTCCACAAGGCGTCCCCCAACAACATCGACGCGAGCGTCTACGTAAAAGGCTTCGGCAATGATGCAGGCGCCGGCCAGATTGCCCTCGAGCAGTTCTTCCGGCCCTTTGGCTCCGTCATGGTGCGCAAGCGCCGCGATGACAGCACTGGGGTCTGGAAGGGCAGCGTCTTTGTCGAGTTCGACACCGAGGAGAACCAGAAGCAGTTCCTCGCCCTCGACCCCAAGCCCAAGTTCAACGACAACGACCTCATCATCATGGGCAAGAAGGAGTACGTCAAGATGAAGTGCGACGAGAAGGGCATTGTGCCAGCTTGGGAGAGGAATGGCAGTGACAAGCGATCCTACAACAACAATAACAAGGGTGGTGATCGCGACCGCGGCGGCCGAGGTGGAGGTCGTGGCCGCGGACGCGGAGGTCGAGGAGGTCGTGGCGGCCACCGTGATGACCGTCGCGAAAACCGCCGAGGCAACAACCGCTCCCGCTCTCCCCGTGCGCGCCGAGACCGCAGCGGCTCTGTGGACAGCGGCGACTGGAACAACCGTCGCGATCGCTTCCGCCAGGGCAAGGACGACAAGAGCAGCCGCAAGGACGAGGATAAGAAGGAGCCCAAGGACGTCGAGCGCGATGCGCACGGCGTACCTGTTATCAAGGACACTCGGGATGAGGTCGCGTCCAACAAGCGCAAGGCTGGCGACGAAGAAAATGCGGCAGGCCCCAAGAAGAGCAAGCTCGAGATCAAGCAAGACGAGTGAGGGGATTTCCTCTTCACGCTGCATCTTCCCCGCAAGCTCGGTCGTCGCCTCTCTGGCACAAACCAGGATCCATTATCCTTGGTACTTCCTTTTGCATTTGTGGCGTTAATGGTCTTTTCACACTAGCTATCTCTAAGATATCACAACGGATGACACGGTTTTGGAAAAGTTTCATTCATGATGGGCATACGCAATGCATGCTGCTGTATTTTGGCACGACCTGGGCGAAATGCAGAGTTTGCTCTATCTTTCCAGAACACTTTGTGATCTTTCGTGACAGTGATTCGTTGTTCAAAATGCTCAACCCAGCCTCTCGATTAGGTACCAAAGCTTGAAGTAAGCAGCGCCCTTTTTTCGAGCAAAATCACGCGTCAGAATTTAGGATCCACACTATGAATGAAACAGGTAAGGCGTGTATTTGAAGCACTCAAGCCACACCAATTCTACGCGGATTTGTATCTGTAGTTGTTGGGCCGGTGCAAGATATCGGTGCTGCTTAGGTCCAGCTGTTACCCCTAAGCACAAGCTGTTGTACATGAACGTCTCAACTATCAATGGCGCTCAAAGAACAGGCCGGAGTGTAGCATATTGCTTATGTCTAAAGCTGCAAGGTGTCCTGGCAGCTATCCAAGAGCTTGTCCATCACTATTATCGACGCACTGAGCTTCCTGGTCCTTGATACCGTGATACGAACCACTGTGGCACCACCGAAAATGTCAGGAATGCAGATTCGGTCGGCGTCTGTGACTGTGACTGTGCTGTCTGACCACCAAGCCGAGTGATAGTCGGTTGCATGGTCTCCAAGAAGAGTTGGACAATACAGCCCGTAGTATGGCATGACTCTACGAAAGTCAAACTGAGCCCTTTCGCAGACCGTCGTGCTGCTATTGTCTCTCTTGAGTCATCCTCTCATGGCCATAATAAACTTGAGACATGACTGGGAGAAGTGCATGCCGCCACCCACAGTGAAAGCCGCGCTAAACTAGCCTCTTAGCGTAGGCGAGAGGCGGGCACTGCGGGGCTCCTGGGCTTCAATAAAATCTTGCCTGTCGCTCCCCCTCTTCAGACTCGCACGCCAACTCAAGCCTCTATCCGCAGAGCGCTCCTTGTTCAATCTCTGGCCTGCTTCACCAGAGCCACTTCCGCAATCTTTGCGCTCATCGAGTCTCCGCGCGGGGTATTCGACTGCTACCCCACTACCGAATTTTCGTAGACAAGAACAACCACCAACACCGCAAAAATGGTCAAGTAAGTCGCCGCCCTGTCCGCCAGCTGTCGCAAGAGCAGCAGTTGGGCGAATGTGTCTCTCTTTCTCATCCAGCATGATGCTAACCGTCTGCCAGCTTCACAGTAGAGGAGGTATGTACCGCGCACACACGACAAGGCCGATATTGGCTTGCACCGCGAGATGGGAACTAACCTTGCCGCCAGATCCGTGGTCTCATGGACAACCCGGCGAACATCCGTAACATGTCCGTCATTGCCCACGGTAAGCACTGCCCTCTCTCAACACCCCCGTGGCGCCTGGAAGCACGCATGGCTGACCTGCCCCTCCTTAGTCGACCACGGCAAGTCCACCCTCACCGACTCTCTCGTCCAGCGCGCTGGTATTATCTCGGCTGCCAACGCTGGATCCGCGCGTTTCACGGATACCCGAGCGGACGAGCAGGAGCGTGGTGTCACCATCAAGTCGACAGCCATCTCCCTGTACGCCCAGCTTCAGGACCCCGAGGATCTGAAGGATGTGCCCGTCAAGACCGAGAAGAACGACTTCTTGATCAACTTGATCGACTCGCCCGGTCACGTTGATTTCTCATCCGAGGTCACTGCCGCTCTCCGTGTCACTGACGGTGCGCTCGTTGTCGTCGACACCATCGAAGGTGTCTGCGTCCAGACCGAGACTGTGCTCCGCCAGGCTCTTGGTGAGCGTATCAAGCCCGTTGTCATCATCAACAAGGTCGACCGTGCGCTCCTCGAGCTCCAGGTCTCCAAGGAGGATCTGTACCAGAACTTCTCCCGTGTCATCGAGTCCGTCAACGTCGTCATCGCCACCTACTACGACAAGTCTCTTGGTGATGTCCAGGTCTACCCCGAGAAGGGTACCATCGCCTTCGGTTCCGGTCTGCACGGCTGGGCCTTCACCATCCGTCAATTCGCCACTCGTTACGCCAAGAAGTTCGGTGTTGACAAGACCAAGATGATGGAGCGTCTCTGGGTAAGTTTTTGGGCGTTTCAATCTCTTTCGGGCATGAGCTTACAAAATGCAGGGTGACAGCTTCTTCAACCCCAAGACCAAGAAGTGGACCAAGGTTGGCACCCACGAGGGTAAGACTCTCGAGCGTGCTTTCAACCAGTTCATCTTGGACCCCATCTTCCGCATCTTCACTGCGGTCATGAACTTCAAGACCGACGAGATCCCAACTCTGCTCGAGAAGCTTGAGATCAAGCTCACCAGCGACGAGAAGGACCTCGAGGGCAAGCAGCTCCTCAAGGTTGTCATGAGGAAGTTCCTCCCGGCCGCCGATGCTCTTCTTGAGATGATGATTCTCCATCTTCCATCTCCCATCACGGCCCAGAAGTACCGCATGGAGACTCTCTACGAGGGTCCCCAAGACGATGTCAACGCTATTGGTATCCGCGACTGCGATGCCAACGGTCCCCTCATGTTGTACGTCTCCAAGATGGTGCCCACCTCCGACAAGGGCCGATTCTACGCCTTCGGTCGTGTCTTCTCTGGAACCGCCCGCTCTGGCCTCAAGGTCCGCATCCAGGGCCCCAACTACACCCCTGGCAAGAAGGAGGACCTTTTCATCAAGGCCATCCAGCGTACCATTCTCATGATGGGTCGTTTCGTCGAGCCCATCGAGAACGTCCCGGCTGGTAACATTCTTGGTCTGGTCGGTGTCGATCAGTTCTTGCTCAAGTCTGGTACTCTCACCACCAACGAGACTGCCCACAACATGAAGGTTATGAAGTTCTCCGTTTCCCCCGTTGTCCAGCGTTCCGTCGAAGTGAAGAACGCCCAGGATCTTCCCAAGCTCGTCGAAGGTCTCAAGCGTCTCTCCAAGTCCGACCCTTGCGTCTTGACCTACATCTCGGATTCCGGTGAGCACGTTGTTGCTGGTGCCGGTGAGTTGCACTTGGAGATTTGCTTGAAGGATCTCGAGGAGGACCACGCCGGTGTTCCTCTCCGTGTGTCCGACCCCGTCGTCCAGTACCGTGAGACTGTTGCTGGAACTTCCAGCATCACCGCTCTGTCCAAGTCGCCCAACAAGCACAACCGTCTGTACATGATTGCTCAGCCTTTGGACGAGGAGGTTTCTCAGGCCATCGAGGCTGGAAAGATCGCCCCCCGTGACGATATCAAGACTCGTGCTCGTCTCTTGGCTGATGAGTACGGTTGGGACGTCACTGATGCCCGTAAGATTTGGTGCTTCGGTCCCGACACCACTGGCGCCAACTTGCTCGTTGACCAGACCAAGGCTGTCCAGTACTTGAGCGAAATCAAGGATTCCGTTGTTTCCGGTTTCCAGTGGGCCACCAAGGAAGGTCCCGTTGCTGAGGAGCCAATGCGTTCCGTTCGCTTCAACATCATGGATGTCACTCTCCACGCCGATGCTATTCACCGTGGCGGCGGTCAGCTTATCCCTACTGCTCGTCGTGTACTGTACGCTGCTGCTCTGCTCGCTCAGCCCGCTCTCCAGGAGCCCGTCTACCTGGTCGAGATCCAAGTTCCCGAGCAGGCCATGGGTGGTATCTACGGTGTCCTTACCCGAAGGAGAGGTCACGTCTTCGAGGAGAACCAGCGTGTTGGTACTCCTCTGTTCAACATCAAGGCTTACCTCCCCGTCAACGAGTCTTTCGGTTTCACCGCCGATCTCCGATCAAACACTGCTGGCCAGGCCTTCCCACAATTGGTCTTTGACCACTGGCAGATCCTCCAGGGTGGCTCGCCACTCGACAACACATCGCTGCCCGGTAAGATCGTTGCCGACATGCGTAAGCGCAAGGGTATCAAGGTTGAAGTGCCTGACGTCAACAACGTAAGTCTCCATCTAAATCAATCTGCCAAAGTATTTACTAACGCACTCTGCAGTACTACGATAAGCTATAGAGGAATGCTTTCTCAAGTGTTAGATTTCCTTTACTCTCGACTCCGAAGTACGCGACGGTCTTGGACGTGTTTATGACTATCAGTAGCTGTATGACATGAATGGTGTCCTGTGGGAGCAGCCAGAGCTAGAAAATGTCGGTCCGGGCGGATTGCCCTTGACAAGGTCGAGTTCTAGGGGGCGTTCGCTCAAGATACAGATGATGAATCTTTTCTTTTGATGTTCTGAGTGTAATTTAGTTTGAACAAATCAAGCAACATTGCACAACATCTATTCCATCTTCATGCATGATGAGAATCGAGTGGTTGAGCAAGATACCAATGTACGGTTGATTTTGAAAGCGACATATGCTACTAACAGAAAGGAACCTTGTACATAGGACTGAAATTATGGAACGAGCCATCTGATTTGGCGTTTACCAATTGCACAGATTCGAAACCATATCCATGCCTCTGTTTCGAATGCTCGACGTACTGGGATAGTTGAGAGTGAATTGATCTGATGTATATACTTTCATGCGTCCTGCTTGTGAATAACTTAGTGATCCTAACTGCTATTAGAGCCTTACAGATTTCCCATCCTAGACTAATGCTTTGCTCACAGTTCGTTTAATGGGTAGAATTGCAATCAGGCGAGAGCGGGCTCGTCGCGCTGGGAACACGCTAGTACAAACTAGGACACGCGATTTGCGTTTGCGTTTCTGGTTGACATCATTCCCCGCGAACCCTCTACAATAAATCATTGGTTCCGAACCTCAACCCACATTCCTAGCGCTTGCGATCCTAGAGAGTGTGCATGAGCATGTTGCTTCGCGAAGAGGATCAGGACGCGTTTAAGCGATGGGTGCTTCCCAAGCTTGAGGTCATGTAGGTCTTCACGATCAGTCTTTCTACCTCTTGCGCCATGTTACTTTGTACCCAAACTATACGACCGCAAGCAAGTCTACCAAAATTTAAACACTGACATGTCAGATCTGATGCAGACGCAGAGGTACTCGCCGACTACGTGATTGCGCTCGTCACCACCAAAGATGCGACAGCAGATATCAGGCGCAATTGTCTGGAAGCTCTGTCGGACTTTCTTCAAGACCGTGAGTTCTTGAGCATAATGAGGTATATCTGGAGTATAGTAAACTGATAACTTGTAGATACTGGCGCATTCGTTGACGACCTTCTTCGCGCTCTCACCCAGAGAAACTATATTCCTCACCCATCAGCAAATACAGCGACTACTCAAGCCTTCAATTCGTACACTGCGCCCATCCCGTCCATAGTTGACATTTCAACCGCGGAAAATGTCCCACGTACACCGCCTTTGAACGCGCCTAGGGGTCCAGCTGCAACACGAACATCTGCTACTCAGCACCGCTTACCAGACCGACCGACTGGAACTTCCGCACACTTCGAAGCACCGGGTCTACACATACAAACGGACAGAGGGCAGCAATCGAGGAAACGCAAGCTGAACGAGCGTGAGACGAGCCGATCACGGGAAGGCCACGATGCTGCTCACAATAGACCGTCCAAACAGACATTACGCAAAGGCAGCAAGAATGCCAGAAATAGTCAAGGAGGCATGGTCCCGCAGGTTGGGTTCTCAGCCTTCGCACCCATGGCCACCATGTCCAATCTACCACCTCCACCACCAGGCGTTCCTCCTTTCGATCGTTCGAACCCGATGGCATTCATGGCAATGGCTGCTGCGTTTGGAATCAATATACCTGGTCTGGATCCTTCCAACTTGCCAAATGCGCAAATACCGGCGCCCAGTGGAAAAGATCGCCGAGGAAGGTGCAGAGACTATGACACGAAAGGATTTTGTGCCTTTGGACATATGTGTTCGTTCGAACACGTTGCGGAGGATGTTCCCGAATATGACCCAAATCATGCCTCTCTCGTGCAGCTCGACCAGAGAGTGCCCCAGCAACGTGTAAACAATCGCGTACCGCACGGCGACCGTAGCAGAAGTTTTAACAAGCCTACCGGTGGCCGCAACCGTGCGCCCTTCTCCCTGCCTGGCCCATCTTATGATCGTTCCAACACCACACTCGTTGTGGAACAGATCCCAGAAGAAAGTTTCGATGTTGATAATGTCCGCAAATTCTTCTCTCAGTTTGGAGGTATCGTTGACATACAGATGCAAGCCTACAAACATCTGGCAATAATCAAATACGAAGATCATGATGCTGCGAGTAGAGCGTATAATAGCCCCAAGGCCATTTTCGACAACAGGTTCGTCAAAGTGTATTGGCACAAACCTGATTCCCTCTCCAAGGGAAGCTCGAGTGAGGCGCAAAGCGAAGATGGTCGTAATGCAGATGAGGAGATTCTGGACATGAAAGAAATTGAGAAGCGACAAGTTGCAGCTCAGAAACTCTTCGAAGAGCGGCGGAGAAAGGCAGAAGAAGCAGCAGCCAAAGCTGAGGAGATTGAGGAACAGTTGAAAAAGAAGGATGCAGAGGTCAGCGAACTAAAACGTGAGCTCGCTGCGAAAGGGAGTAACGGGACAGCGGATTTAGACGAAGACTTCTCGCAAGATCTGTCCACTTTGCAAGCCGAAGCCGACGCCTTGTTTGCACAGCAGGGCGCGGATGTACCAACTCGTGGTCGTGGACATGGTTACAGTCGAGGAGGTTATAGAGGGCGCGGTCACGCAACATTCCCGCCGCGTGGACGTCCTTATGCGCCGTTCAGGGGTGCCTATCAAAGTCGGGGTCACGCTTCTTTCCATGGCGCGCGAAGCGGTGTCAAGAGATTAGACAATCGGCCTCGCCGCATCGCAGTTGCAGATGTTGAGAACGGATCCACACGAGATGAAGCCCTACGGCAGTATCTACTAGTAAGTCCTTCTGGACAAAGTGACTCGCAGAAACTAACACCTATTTCCCTGTGTAGAACGTCGAGGATTGTACCTCCATTGAGCCACATCCCCAGCACGCTAATGTCCTTATCCTCACTTTCAGCGAACGGTATCAGGCAGAGATGGTATAGACCTCCCTTTCTTCGCACCCTTGCAAAAAGATTCCTTATTCTTCTTCTCCCCCAAACCGTCTAGACCCTGCTAACCAACACAGTTCCTCGATTCCGCGAGGAATATACCCGATGTTGGCAAGCTAGAACTCTCATGGATGCCGAACGATGCTTATGTCGGCCTCACCTCCACTTCTTCGGACCCCAACAACCCTGCAGAAGCCAGCGATCACGACTCTGACGTTACCATTGGAGGTGATGATGAAGCGGAAGATGGGGAGCAGAATGTGAGCGCGGCCGATGCGGACATGGATGTTGCGGAGGATGAGGATCAATGGTTGTAGAGGTACATATACAGCAAGCCAGTCATATTTAACAAGACATGAATAGAATTTGGTACAACGTAAGGGGACCTAAGTTGCGCTAGACTTTTACTAATTCACGCCCCTTCCAGTTTCGAGATCACTACTCGAGCTATGCCTACTATCCCTCTTTTCCACTAGGCCTGCGCCCCATCGAGGCTCAACAGCCACAATAGTTCAATGAGCTCCCCAGTGAATATAGGTTGATATTTATGTCAAATTCTTACTTCTCTCACTAAAAGGGACTCACCTGCACTGGCCGAAAGTGTGTAGTCAATGGTCACCAGCCCGCAGGAAACACTATTCTGTACACATAGTTTGACTTAAGGAAAATAACGATCTCAAATCACTTGTCGGAAATTTGCCATCCACGCATTTTCCGCCACACTTGAAGTGTTCTTGTGGTCTTTGCTAGGCTAGGGGGAGTTGATATTGTGAGCCGGTGACATGTGGCATCCTGTTGGATAATCGATGCGGAAAGATAAGCGTGAACCATGGTATAGTTGGTTGTCAGACGGGCAGACTCCGATCTGTTGCTCTGCGGAAACGCGACCTTATCCACGGTGACCATGTCCATGTTGGCGACGCGTATCCCCATGTTGAGCAAATTGCGTTGTTACGTGGGCAGCAATCGTAGTTTCGCGTAGAGATGAGATGTCCTCACACGTCGTTTTTGGTGGATACTATGTCTGTCAAGTCGAAGAAGCCGCATGCCTGGCCTCCCTATTCAAGACTCAACCGGCCCCAAACTCCATCGATGAATGGGACCTCAGAAGCCACGCGCTCAAGACAATCCCCTCTCATAGCTCTATACACATGCTCTGTGCAGGTCGACACTTCTCGAATTGGAACATGTTAGTCGTCAGTCCAGACGTACGAACCCACCTGCGTATTTTCAGCGCGACGTTGAAACCTGTCCCAATACGAGTGCCCGCCTGGCTTTCCTCTCCATGACACACCATCATGAACGTGCGAGGAGGAAGGTGTGTCGTCACGGTAGCTCATCGAGACCTGCTTGTCATTATTCAGCTTTGCCCCGACTTAGATTTCAACATGGAAGCAAGCATTGCAAACACGCAAAACACACGTCCATACTCAACGCACTCTTCTCCTCTCTTCTTCGTTCGGCACTTCAACCTCGTACTCTTCCTCCTCCACCTTGTGGAACTTGTCGACCTCAGCCCGTTCGTCGCGCGCACGTGCCGCGTCAAGCATGAAGCGCACAGTGCCGTTTTGACCACGAATTCCGATTGCAGACGCAGGTGGGTGTGTAGTGCCAGGGGAGAGCGTGGCTGGAGTAGCTGGCGTAAGCGGGCTCGTAGGGTCGATGCCATTGCGAGGCTTGTTGCCGTTGGTGATTGTCTGCGGAGAGGAGGACTCGGACACGTACAAAGTGTAGCGAGGGATGTTTGCAGCGGAGGCTTCTTGATTGAGTTTGATGCGGATATCGATAAAGGCTTCAAGGGTGTAGAGAGGGCCAACCGAGGTTAGACTGCGGTGATGCGTGTACAGGTCGAGGAGGTCGAGAAGTGTTTCTGCTACTCCGTTAGCACACGTGGCAATGGCCTTCATCATTCAAGCAACCCACCCATGACCTCAGCCCTGCTGGTGTGCCACTTGGCGTATCTGACAAGACCTGCATCCACCAGACGAGACGCATCCATGTCATGCAGCCTCGCCGCGAGTTCGAGACAGGCGATAGCCATTGTGGGTGTCGTCTGTTTGAGCGGTGCAAACGTCCGATACAAGTCGACGCTGAGATTCCAGGCTGTTTTGGCGGCATCATTCTTGCCAAATCTCAAGGCCCTCGCTAGCTTCACCATGAGCTTCTGCGGATACCGATTGCGAAAGTCGAAGCCAGCGCTCTCGAGCATGAGCCGTTCGAGACCAAGGATCAGTTTGGAGTGGTTCTCGAAGCGCTACCCCTTGTCAGCTTCCCATAACGCATCCCGGAGCCCGCGTAATGCGTACCGGATCATCACTACTCAAGCTCTCGCCAGGCCCGACTTTGAGGTTCCAATTCGCACACAAAATCTCTCGGCTCTTCTTCAGCGTATCCTCAATCTTACACGCCGTGAACAGCGCCGCCGCCGCCGCATCCGCCCAGTTGTACTCGTTGTCGGCGTGGAGCAGTCTGAACTTGTGGTAATAGATGACGGCTGTGTTGAAAGTGCGCATGGGCAGTTGCAGCGCGCGGCGTACTTGGTCTATCCAAGTCACGCCCTGCAGGCGCACGGCGTCCTCTTTGGCGTCACTCATGCTGAGCTCGTCGAGGCATTTCTGAATGCGTGATTGCAGCATGTACGGTTTGGCGATCTCAATGTAGGACGGGTGTGGGCCTACGCGCTCGCGCTCACGCTCCGACGGAGAGACGGCGGGTGCCATGGGGTGGTTGTGTGTCTTCGACGAGCTTTCCCTCTTTCAAAGAGACCCGGCGTTTCCTTTGGTGGCTCTGTCGGACACAAAGATATGATGCGCGTTGGAAACTCGGCTCCGAATGCAGTGTGAGAAAGTGGTGGAAGGTGAGCGGCCCAAAAGTTCCGAGGCCATAGCTCCCATTGCTTTCTTGGCACCATCTTGCTGGCAGTACTAACATGTGCCAGCTGACCACAGCATTGATTACAGTGCAAACTAAGACTTGATTCACGCCCATTACCACTACTTCCACTATCTAAATAATCTCCATCTCCAGAGGTCCAAGCCTCATCGTTCCATTATGCCAATTCATCCTGGTATATGTCATCCCAAAGGTTACAATCATTAGGGTTAAGAGTGAAGGATGAGCATGTCTCTATCCTCGAAGAAAATCCCCAAGCTACGGATGCAAATGCAAGAAACGCTAAAATGTGCACATCGCGTAGTGACCGCAATCAACAACCCTATGCTGTCCGGTCCTTGAAGGTGAGAAAGCAGTCGTCCTAAAAAATGTCAGTACTCGTTCAATCTTGCGATTGGTCTTGACTTACCTGAGGAAAAATCGTGGCGAACACCTTAATCTCCTCACTTAGATCCGTAATCTTATGGTCCCAGTCCAGCAGCATACTAGCTTTGCCAATCATGAGCATAAGGTTGGCCTGCGCATACGTCTGTCCTAAGCAGTAGTGCGATCCGGTACCGAACACGAGCCAGTTCTTCGTCTGTTGATCAGCGTCACCGGTGATCCATCGCTCTGGCACGAACGAGTCAGGGTTGGGATACGCTTCGGGGTCATGTAATGACAGCCAGGTACTAGGAACAACCATAGATCCCTTGGGCGCAGTATAGGTAGGCGTGACGGGAAAGTCCTTCTTCGCGACGTAAGGGACCATGATAACAGGTGGGCGGTAACGAAGCGTCTCCTTGACAACAGCGCGGGTCCACGAGAGCTTCTCAAGCTTCTCAAGCGTGATTGGGGCATGAACATCGCCGTTCCTAGCCTTGATGTTCTCCTCACGTACCTTCTCAAGAAACTCGGGTCGGTCTGCCATGATCTGGAAGAGCCATGTTGCGGCAGAAGAAGTGGCGTCTTGAGAGGCGAAAAGAAAAGTGAATATGGTCATGGAGATCTCGAGATCGCTGAACCAGCGGATGAGCATGTCGGGCTTCTCCGAGTCGTCGACTTTCTCGCCAGCCGCTATACGCTTGCGATAGTTCTCCGACTCGATCATGTTGCCAACCCAGAAATCAAGAATGCACTCCTTTTTGCCACCAGCGGCCATACGGACTTTGCTCTTGGCAGCGCACTTGGAGAATTCGTCGAGAATCATATCAGCACACTTCTTGCCATACCAGCTTTTTGTGAATGGGATGATGATGGGGAAGTTGACAAGCTCCAGCGCAGCCGTAACCAGGTAGTAGTCATCCGCGATCTTCTTTACTGCTTCGTCAGAGCAATAGTGACCAACGAACGTCCGGCAGCTCAATGCTGTAATCAGCAAGCGGAACTCCTGCATCCAAGGGACGTGGTCGCCCTTGAACTCCACCTGTGAAAGGTGCACCCATCTCTTGAAGTAGGTATTGTAGAGTTCTTCCTGGTGAGGCAGATACTGTTCGAGCGCATTGCGCGTGAAAAGACCGTTTAGGCCCTTGCGGTAGTCGACGTGGGCACGGCCATCGAGGAACACCCAGTTTTCAGGGCGGAGGAGCTTGTAGGCGGCATCGACGACACAGGGCTTGACGAAGGCAGGCGAGTTGAAGATTTTGCGTGACATGTCGCGGGTTGAGGCAATAACAACAAACCTGCAATATTTGTCAGCAGATGCGATTGCATGAAGAACATAGGGGGATTGCGCCATACTTGTGGAAGACGGATACGCAACTCAGAGGCCCAGACAACCATTTCTCATGGTATTTGGTGAACGAGGGTCGCACCGACTCCAGGAAAGGGCCCATGAAGGGCAACTTCAACGCCGGCCCAACGATTGAGCCCTTGTTCCAGATATACTTGACTGCACAGTTGTCAGCGATGTTTGGCACAAGCAGCCGGGACAATGCATACACTGATCGTACACGACGGCCGCGACAAGCAGCGTCAGCACAAGCTTCCATGTACTGAGACCGTTGAAAACAGTAGACAGGAGGCCGTTGGCGTCCAGTTGTGTCATCATGTGGGCGACCTTCGCATCCGCCGTGGGCGAAACAAAGCTCGCGTTGGCAGCCATGTCGACAGTGAAGAGAATGCACGCGACAGAACGAGGGAGGACGCGCGCACGTCGCAGAAAAGACAAGACGAGTTAGGAAAAGGTCAATCGGAGACCGCGGATATCGCTGAGGGCTCTCTGTATTTAGGATGGGAGCGAATCTTTGATTGCGACTCACGGACATTGGCCACGATATTTCCTGCAGAGGCGCTAACTGCGCTTAGTTAGTGGTCCCATCCTTTCTCAGCATGATCCGGCGTCCGGGAGGTTGCGTTTGGAGGAGCGTGTCGGATCACGGATCGCAACAGACCGACCGATTCCAGTATCTTGGCTGTGTGTGGCCGAAGGCATTTTCAGGGTTGATTGTGATCAACATAACAAATGGCGATCTGACTGTAGCCTCGTTGAGCTCTGTGCCATGTCATTGTCCTTTGGTTTTCAGGTACGCGAGGACAACAATTGGATGGGACATTTAGGGCTGACGCATCGAGTGTTGGTGGTGCCACCTCCGCGATCATCCCGGCGTATCCATGACAAGATGTTGCCTGACGTGGGCCCGATATTTTTGGTATCCACATCGTCGGTGGGAGATGGCCATCAGTTCTACATGGGCATGCTCTCCGTTAACCTCACAGAGCTGGTTGAGTACGTGTTTGCAGATGTATCAAAGACAACATCCGACGCATGCCAACGGACCAATCACTATAGCTTAGTCGGGTCGTTATCTGTATTCGTCACCGCCCCATGTCATCGAGAAGAAGACTTCTCGCAATTGTGTTTGCATATCTGCCAAAGTCAACCGACCCCTCCCCCAAATACGGTGCTTGGTTGTATTCATTGCGGATCTATCTGCTATTTGATAGCTATCCTGCAAACGGTCTCAATTGCTTACTGTTCATCACTCACACTGCTTGCGAAAGATGATATGTTACCTGATGCAACTTTACACAAGCACAAAATCATAGCGAGGATATCATCCAATTCACACATGTAGAACAATCAGGAATGAGCTGTGAACTTCAGGTCAAATGGCCTTGCAGGCTAGGTCTTATTGCTGAACAGCTTCCCGTTGAATTCTGTCCAACTCTCTAGAAGCGATGCAGGTGCGGCAAATGATCTGACCTGACATTCATAGTTTATTCTGTGCTGATCTTGGGCCAGTATTTACCCTCTGAGACGAGCTGCTGGCTTTTTGTGTCGAGTGCAGAGTGCATACCCCATCGCTCTCTTAGAAGGACATCAGCCTCAAAGTGTGGAACACCGGAGATGGACTCGTGTGCAACAACGCCGGATGGTAGGATATAATACCCCGGAGTCCAGTCATGTCTTCCTGCATTGTTGATTTTCTCCTGACGGTGTGTTAGCAAGATACTTGATAATACAACGCGAGAACAGTGTACAGAAATAACGTGGATGATCAGTAACATCATGTTTGTCAACTTCACTCTTCCCGGATGAAGTTTGAAGAAACGGGTTGACTCACGTGATCCCATTGCTCTCTTGTCAGCGAGAACAATCCGGTGATATTTCGCGGAAAAGGTGATAGCAATTCGTCGTGGTGTACCACTGTGACCTTAGTTTTCTCGTGGTCGTGCATCAACCGATAAATCGTGTTTCTGATGGCCTGTAGAGAATTGACTAAATGGTGCGTCTGGTAGCCGTGCAAAGGATGCGAGAGTTCTGTCATAAGAATGAATTCAATATTCAGATCTCGCACTGGGGTATACTTGAGTTGCTCTGGAAGCACTTCAATGGATCTCTGCAAGCTTTCCAGCAAGCGGTGTTCTCTGCTTGTCATTTCCGTAGCAGTCATGTCTGTAACTTCATTGAAGAAATGCTCGTATTTCAAACGAATCTGCAAATCCTGCACAAACTGGATAGGCCTGACTCCAGTGTGATGGCGAGAAGAGCACGATTGATGTTTGCAAATATGGAACACTCGCGCGGTATCTCTATAGAGGAACATCTCAAGGCCGTTATCGACGTTACAGACTGAGAAGCTGTTGTTCGAATAGTAAACCTCTTGTGCTTCAAGGGCGACCTTACTGCCGACGTATCTTGGGTTGAAAATATGGCTATAAGGCATGAGTAGGTTGGATGCGGGCTTGTTGCTATGGTCTTCCTTCACTCGTCCGTCGGGAAGTAGAATAGTCTCATTCTGGGGGTGGATCTCGTCGTATTCAGACCCTGAGTCAACGTCTGTTGGATTCTGCGGGTCCAACTGGGAGGAGCCGGTTCCGTAGGCCAACGATGATGTGGAACTGAGCGGTTTGTACACGCTGAAATGATGGTATGGTCCTGCAGGTATCAATTGGTCCTGGACGCACAGATATTGATATACCAAGCCACGCAGTTCTTTTGGAAGTTTTCTACACATCATCTGGGTGAAGCGGAGGCAATCTGCTTTGGCGCAACGGATGCGATCTTTTTGAAACACGGCATCTTCGGCGCCCCTTTCTTGTGTGACCGAAGTTGAGCGCATTGTGCTGCAATTCCGTGAGCCGTCGTCCTTGCCAGTCATTGCAGATCTTACTCATTGTGCCAGTGGTCTGGCGACAGCACGAGCTTCTCTTGGACATTCGCCATTTCAGTCGTCTCCTGACGACAAGAATGAGACGAGGGTGATACGAGAAGCGAAAATCCGAAACGGCTCTAGTGTGGCCTGTAAACTCTCCACGTGCCTTCGCGTCAATCTCGTCGCGCCGCGGCTCGAGTGCATCGTGACGTGGGGTCATGGCCACCATCAAGCCTATCGAAGGCCGCTCCGTGCACCAGATTCAGTCGGGCCAGGTCATTGTGGACCTGCAGTCTGTCTGCAAAGAGCTCGTTGAAAATAGCATCGATGCAGGTGCCACATCGATCGGTACGCTCCCCTGCCTCGCGTGCCGAAGACTGAGACGCGACGACTGACGGCTGGTGCAGAGGTGCGCTTCCGGAACAACGGGCTTGACGCCATCGAGGTGCAGGACAATGGCGGTGGCATCGCCCCGCCCGACTACGAGACGATAGCACTCAAGCACTACACGTCAAAACTCTCCACCTATGACGATCTCTCCTCGCTGCAGACGTTTGGCTTCCGCGGTGAGGCCCTTTCGTCGCTCTGCGCCCTCTCCCGCTTCCACATCGTCACTGCCCGTCCTGCTGATGGCGCAAAAGGAACGAGGCTCGACTTCGAGCAGAGTGGCCGGCTCAAGGGTACATCGGTCGTCGCAGCCAAGCAAGGTACCACGGTTGTGGTCGAGACGCTGTTCCACAATCTGCCTGTGAGAAGAAAGGAGCTGGAGAAGAACGTCAAAAGGGAATACAGCAAGGTGCTGGCGTTACTGAATGCCTACGCATGCATCAGCGTAGGCATCAAGTTCTCCGTGAGCAACCACATGCCCAAGGGCAAGAAGTCAATTGCCTTCGCTACGAATGCGAATCCAAATACGAAAGACAACATCTCTAACGTGTATGGCGCCAAGACCATCTCCGCCTTGATCCCTCTTACCCTCGACTTTGAGATGGACCCGTCAAACCGGCCAGACACCACCCATCACACCAGAAACTTGAGTACTCAACAAGACTCTAGCTCGCGCGCAGTCAAGATAGTGGGCCACATCTCGCGCCCTGTTGTGGGAGAGGGTCGTCAGACTCCGGACCGTCAAATGTTCTTCGTCAACTCACGACCATGTAATTTGCCCCAGATCGCGAAAGCCTTCAACGAAGTATACAAATCTTTCAACATCACCCAATCACCATTCGTATTTGCGGATCTCAGGCTAGACCCAAATGCTTATGATGTCAATGTTAGTCCGGACAAACGAACAATCATGTTGCATGATCAGACAGCTCTGTTGGAGAACTTAAAAGAGTCGTTGATGCAGCTCTTCGAGCAGCACGAACAGAGTGTACCACAGGCTCATCGTTTAGGACATGGAGCAGCTCCATCTGCCACCAAGGCACTTGCTATGGGTCTACACGAGAGTATCCAGCCATCAGTAGTAGAAGCACGCAATCAACGCGACAGTATGATTGGCATTCGCTCGAGACCTCCCGCAAACGTCGGGGTCAGCACTCTGGCAGATGCATCTACCGAAAATACCCTTCCAGGCTTCGTCAAGGCCAGTCTAATCGAGAGGTTTGCTGGCCGCGACACAGAAGAGAGACTTGTTCGTCCACCACCTAAACAAAGACGTGAAAGCTCTCTCAAAGCCATCACAACAACAGATGAGCATATCCCCGTGATACATAACGCATCGCCAGAGCACGACCATACACAAAGCTCACTACGACAAGAGTCGCAATCACCGTTATTCGAGCCCGAACAGCCGGGCTCTGCGGTTCTAACCCAGTCAGTGCATCTCTCGAAGGCTCTAGAAAACTTCACGGAACGCACGGAATTCCAGCAAGTCGAAAGGATAGCGCGGGAACAGTCTTTGGAATTATCGGATCCCACTGCAATCGAGCCAGACGAGCCGAATGTTCCAGTAATCGAGCAAACTCCACAGAGGTCATTATCACAAAGTACAATTCAGAACGCATTTGATCGCATGCGTCCAATGCGTACGCCGGCCCAACAAGCTACAATCACGGTGGGAGGAACAACAACGCTGTCAACGGTTGTGCATGGAAGCCAAACGAGATCTTCGAAGCGAGCTAGGATACATACGCCGAAATACTCTCTGGATGGTACGCCTTTGAACCAAACCTCAAAGAGAATGCTGTTTACCAAGAGTTTACATGGTCTCGCAGCACCCGGTACGCAGACTGGAAACTGCCAGGAACAAAGTGATGATGATGAACAAGATGACATGCCACGTACGCCAGCACGCTCTCCTTCTCCACGCAAACCGCTCCCGCGCAAGGCATTTGAAGTACCAGAGAGCGACGATTTAGTTGACTTATCAAGCGCTCCACCTGCTCCTTCATTGTATACCGAAGACAGGTCCTTGGAGGATGTATCATCGGATGAGCTAGTCTCTTATGAAGACGCTGAAGATTCGAGTGCTGAATATCTCGACGAGTCAGAGAAAAAAATCAGGGAGGACGCAAAGGTTGCGCAAATGATCGCTGAGGCCGAAGACGCTGCCGCCGGACCTACGGATGTAAGTTTGAAACGCGCGAGCAGGTTGTTTAAGGTCTCTCAGAACAAGTACTGGACTATCAATCTTGAGCGTGTGATCGAGACAGACGTTACTTCAATCGCCCGACACGTATGCAATCTCCAATCCGCAGTCGGAACATTTCCAGGATCAATAACGGCGAGAGAAATTCCCACATGTACACAACTCAGCAGAGAGGACCCGGAAGAACGTTTGTCGCTCACAGTGCAAAAGGAAGACTTTAACAGATTGCGTATCATTGGTCAATTCAATCGAGGATTCATCGTTGCTGTCCTACCACCTACCTCAGTTTTGCCCACTTACAATCTGTTCATCATCGATCAGCATGCCAGCGACGAGAAGTACAATTTCGAACGATTGTCCGCGTCTACTGAGCTTTCTTCACAACGGCTGGTGCATCCCCATACGCTAGAGCTCACTGCCGTGGAGGAGGAGATTATCCTCGCTAATAAACACGTACTGACTGCAAACGGATTTGTTGTCGACATTGACATCCCAGACGATGACGCTGATGTCCAAGTTGGGCGTCACACAAGACTCACTTCTCTTCCCATGTCCAGAGATGTGACGTTCACCCTCACCGACCTCGAAGAACTACTCGCACTCCTCCTGGAAAGTCCGCCCTCATCTTCGTCATCGACATCTCCATATATACCACGCCCTTCCAAAATCAGAAAGCTACTCGCAAGCCGTGCGTGCAGGAGCTCTGTCATGGTCGGTCGGACTTTGCAAGATACACAGATGGAGAGCATTGTAAGACACATGGGAACAATGGATAAACCGTGGTCTTGTCCTCATGGGAGACCAACCATGCGGCACCTTCATAAAATGGATGATGAGGCCGGTTGGAGTGAAGGAGATGGTATTGTAGGGATGGGTAAATCACGAGAGAAGGCAAATTGGAAGGAATTTATAAGCAGATACCGTGAAATAAGTTTAGAACAGTAATGGAAATGTATCCGTGTCGTTTGTAAAGGCTCATCTCTTGATGTTAATTAGGCTTTTTTTCTGCCTTTTTTCTTACTAACCTAAGCTTTAAGTTTAGGAAAATTTGTTCTAGGGGACGTTGTAAAATAACTAAAAGCAATTAGACAAATATATATTTTGTTTAAACATAGTAGTACTTAAAAGGTACGTTCCCAAAATAAAAAGTAAGATAAGCTAATAATAAGCATAGATATTAACTAGACCTACGCTAGTAAATAGGTTTAGAGTACCTAATAACAGGTTAGAGTTAAGTTAGAGTTATATAGACTCTAGGTTAGAGTTAGGTTAGAGTAGTTTAAGCTTAAGGTTATAGTTAGGTTAAAGTAGTCTAAGCTTAGGGTTAAGGTTAGGTTAAAGTAAACTATATATTTAATTAAAATTAAGGTTAGGTTATACAGACCTAAATTAGAGTATAGCTATCTAGGTATATAATAATAAACTATAGTAAAGTCTTTTAATTAGTAGAGCTTACCTAACTTCTTCCTAAGGTCTATAGAACTTTAACCTAACTTTAATCTAATACTAGTATAAAAAACTTAGGTTAAGGTTAAGTTAGAGTAAACTATACATTAGGTATAAGTTAGTTAAGAGTTAGGTTATACTTATAAAAGACTCTACTCTAACCTAACCCTAACCTATTTACTAGTGTAACTAGACCTATATAAGTACTATATTTCTTATATAAAAAAGAACTAGAAAAATAGACTTATTTACTAATATCTATTAAATATAAAATAAGCTATTACTAAGTATATAAGTATTATAGGTATTTCTATCTAAGCTCTTATTAGCCTATCTTATAAGAGGCTAACCCTAAGGGTAGTTACTAGTATAAATTAGATAAATTTACTAAGAATCTATAGTACTAGTTTTTTTCTACTTATAGTCCTTCTAGTAGCATACTAGCTGTTTCTAGTAGGTATTAGTAGTTAGAGTAGCTAAGCTCTAAGGCTTTACTTACTAAAGTTCTACTAGGTCTAGCCTATTATATAAGCCTCTCTTTAGTAAAAAATTTTATATTTTAACTTTACTATAATATAATGTATTAACCTACCTCTATATATAATTTTTACTATAGCTATACTAACTTTACCTACCTTAACTTTTACTTTACCTACTACTATAATAGTAGGTTTAACTAAGAAGCCTTACTTATTTTCTAAGTTCTTTTTTATAGCTACTAGCTCTTTAAAAAAGTCTTTAGTAAAGAAGTAAACTTATTTTACTACTAAAAGTAATAAAAAGGCTTTACCTTTATTTATAAGTTTATTTAGTTTACTAGATTTACTTTTTTTTTTACTAACTTCTTATTTTATTAGCTTTACGCTTTACTACTTACTTATCTATTACTACTAGTATTATTTCTACCTCTACCTCTACCTTTATTACTAAGAGCTATAAGCCTCTCTAGCTACCTATTTACTTAGGCTATACCTACTATCTTCTAGAAGATAAAGAGGCTTATATTTTTAAAAAAAGTAAGTAGTTTTATACCTACTATTCTTAGGAGCAGTATACTACTTATTATAAGGTAAGTAATATTTATTTTTATTTAGGTACTACTAGTTAACTCTTATATAAGTTCCTAATTAGCTTAAGGTTAAGGTTACTTTTCTTTATAGTCTTTTTACTATCTCTATTAGTAATATTACTATAAAGTCTATTACTACCTACTTTAATAAGTTAGGTTTTAAGCTTATTAAGGCTTAGTTTAAGGCTAAGAAGAAGTCTATTAGTTAGCCTAAGTATTAGAATAATAACTTTAGTAATACTATTACTAAGTTACTTCTTTATACTATTATAGTTAAGCTTAGTAATATTTAGGCTATACTTAATTATTAAAGTAAAGCTATCTTAGTTTTAGTAAGTTTCTTTTCTAATTTTACTATTTTCTTAGCTAATTTCTATATTTTTCTAGGCTAAGACTACTAAGGGTTAGACTAAGTATCTTATTAATATTATTACTAAGCTTATCTTTCCTTTTTTTAAACTTTAAGAGTTACCTATCTATAAGAATAAGGTTAGTAGTAGTAATTAGAATACTTTTAAGAATAATACTACTATTAGTAGTAAGAATAAAGTAATATAGTAGTAGTTTCTTAAGTTTTTCCTTTAGTATTCTAGTAAATACCTAGTATAGTATAGTATTTTAGGCCTATAGTACCCTATTAGTAATACTTTAGCTACCTATAAGTAGTTAATTTTATACTTATTAACTAATTTTTCTTATTCTCTTTCTAGTAATATTTTAATTTTCTTAACTATTTATATTCTTAGCCTTAGTAAGAGTATCTGTTAGTAAACTACCTATAGTTTCTTATAATACTTATTACTAAAAATATTACTTCCTCTACCTTTACCCTACTATTATTAGAAGCTTTAGTATTATTATAGTTTATTAGAAGAACCCTTTTAAAAATTTTCTAGTAATTTACTAGTATTATTTTATTTTTTTTTAAAAAAGGCTAACTAGCTATCTAGTACTTTAGCTTCTTTAAAGTTTTTTACTAGCTTCTATAAAGTTATAGTATAGTCTTTCTATTTAACTAAGTATTATTTCTTATACTCTCTACTGTGTTATTTCTACCTTTTACCTATAATTTCTTTAATTTTTTAGTAGTTTTTTAGTTCTTTATTAATATTTTCTAATATACTTTTAGGTTAGTAATTATTAGTATCTTATTTTATTAGAGGGTTTCTAAAGTATAGCTGTAGCCTATCTATATAAAATACTAGGTAAATACTAAAGAAAGTATTTAATTTTATAGTATAAAGAGAGATTACCTTTTCTACTTAGAACTTTATATTTTTTTAGTCTAGTTTCTTACTTAGCTTACTATTAAAGAAGTATTTTTAATACTATAACTATACTTAGTTCTCTTCTTATAGTTATAGTACTTCTTATTAATAGTAGTTAGCCTAGATTTCTTATAGTTATTAGGCTTCTACTATTCTTACTTATATATAATCTAGTGTTTTTATAAATTTTATAGTAAGTACTTTATCTAACTTTTCTAAATTATTAGGCCTTTAATATTATTACTAAATTACCTATTCTATATCTTCTTATACTACATCTATATTATATCTATATTATAGAAAGAATAGGCTAATGCTAGTAGATACTGTGTTTCTTCTTTTAATAGTAATTTAAGTAGTAAAATATATTAGTACTTAGTTATCTTATTTCTAATTAATATAGGCTTATAGGTAAGCTTTTATAGTACTATTTATTCTTTTAGTAGTACTATTAGTTTCTAAGTAGTATTCTATAAATACTTAGCATATAATACCTAATTTTCTATAGAAGGTTCTTTAAAAATCTTTAATAAACTAACTACTATAATTAGATATAATAGTATCTAGAAGCTAATAGTAGGCTATAACCCTTTTTATAAAGGCTTTTACTACTATTTAGGTATCTAAGTCTCTTAGTAAAATAAGTATTATATCTTTACTTAACCTATCTATAACTACTATAAGGTACTAGTACCTATTACTTATAGGTAAGTTAATAATAAAGTCTATTAAGATTTTCTTCTATACCCTATTTAGGAGGAAGAGTAGCCTTAGTAGCTTCCTTTTTAGTTTCCTCTAAGGCTTAGTTCTTCTATATATATTATAGTTTTAAATAAATTACCTTATTATAAATAATATTCTTAGAAAGAAGTAGTTATAAGCTAGGATTATATAGGTGTTTTTATAGCCTAAATAGCCTATAGCTAGAAATTTATAGGTTTTTAAAATAATTTTAGTATACAGTTTCTCTAAATCTAGTACCTATTTTTACCCTTAATAATATAGGAACTCTCTTTTATTAATACTATATTTTACTAATAAGACTTTTAAGTTTAGGTCTAGTAGAAACTTTTTTTAGCCTATTTTTATAGCTTTTCTTACTCTTTTATATATTAGATTATTTTTAGCTATATCTCTCTATATTATCTTAAGTTCTTCTAAGCTATTATAGGCTAGGGCAGAATTAGTTCTAGCTTTTATAGGTATATTATTAGGTTTTATTAAGAGGTTATTATCTACTGTAAGTATACTATTAGGTTTCTAGAATTATAAACTTTGTATTTAGTAGTAGAATAAAATACCTACCTTTTTCTTTTTCTTAAGTTAGGAGTAGCTCTTTATATATAGTTATAGAAGTTAAAATTCTCTTATCTTTATATATTTATTATTTTAACTTATAGGTAGATCTTTCTCTTTTTAGGAAAGTATATCTACTCTTTTATTAACCTTCTTTAGGTAATATATAAAGGTTAAGTTAAATTAGCTAAGTATATTTAACTAGCGTATATATCTTTTAGATAATAGCCTTATAGTATAGAAGTATTCTAGGTTCTTATAGTTTATAATAATAATAAACTTTAAAACTTACTAAAGTTTAGTTCTCTATTAGTCTATATATTTTATAATAGCTAGTAGCTCTTTATTATATATAGTATAGTTAACTTCTGCTGTTATATTCTTTACTAAATAGTATATTACTATATAAAGTAGCCTATTTTTTCTAAACTATAAGAGGACCTCTCCTATTACCTACCTAAATATATTATATTTTATTATTATTTCTAGCTTAGGGTTAAAATTAGCTAATAATAGCTTAGAAATAAAGGTATTCTTAAGCTTTAAAAATGTTATTTCTTAGAGTTCTTTCTACTAGAATATTGTTTCTTTTCCTATAAGTTTAGTTAGTAGAGTAATAATTTCTAAGAATCCCTTAATAAATTATTAGTAGAAGTTTATAAATCTTATAAAACTCTAAATGCCTTTAGTACTTTATAGCTATTTCTATATATAGATTACTACTATCTTTTCTAGATCTATCTAGATACTGTTACCTACCTCTATTATAAAACCTAGGTACTTAGTTTTCTTAACGCTAAAGTTATATTTATCTATATCTAGTTATAGGCCTACTTTTCTAAGTTTCTAAATAATTGCTTTAACCTAGTATTTATAGTCTTCTT